TGCGGAGACAATTTTATGTCGGTCTTCTCTGCTCGAAGCCCACAGGAGAAAACTTGTTACAAGTTGCCTTTACGCGGGAAGCCCAAAGGTCATGATATGCAAATCACTCGCAAAACTTTTAGATAACAACAGAGGGCGCACTTGGTCTCCCTACAAGTTCCCTACTTTAAGACCACGCGACCCGAGTGGTCCCTAATAACACAAATACAAAAGCGACCTGATGGAGTTTATACAATTATCAATAACTAAGTGATTTGCAATGAATACATGTTACATATCTAAATGCAGTCATCAAATTAAAACGGGTTCAATGTAATATTACTTTCATCACAAGAATTATAAACATGCAATAATCCTTGTAAGATAAAGGGAAATACAACGTACATATCCACTCAAGGTTTGCTATATAAACCATCAGTAAGTCTAAACTGACATAAAATACATGATGGAATTAATATTCCACAAAACCTTCCCAAATCAGCTCAAAATCATGTAAAGGATCACATAAACCCTGTCTGGAAAATGTTCACATGTCGAGATCTGTACACAGTATAAGTAAACAAGTACAATAGTGTTGCACTCAATCTCATTCCAAAATTGATACATTGTAATACAATGAGGTCAACCAGGGTTAAACACAATACATGGTGAATTTATTACAGAGCACCCCTGCATGCACCATACACTGTCACTATACAATAAAACTGTGGTTTCATGCCAACAACTCTGAACATACACTCGTTATAATTTTAAACATGCATAACAAGGTAATGAAATCTAAATCACATTAGATCTGTATTAAGATATAAGTGAATCTTTGTTATAATGGAACAATTGGATATGAAGTGGCAGGCAAACAGGAGGTTCATACACTACATATAGGTCTCAGATACAAGTGGCTGTCAATACAAAATGTATTTTTCTCAAACAATTCAGTGCATCCCCAGATAGACTACAGGGTAGAATAATACAAAGTCTCGTTCACACTGTGAGAACAAACAGTTGGACAACTCAACCAACTACAACATCCTCCACCCACACAAGGCTAGGAAAACAATTACATTTCTACCCAAAACACAGCTAAACTGGTAGGAGCAACACCCATCACTAATGGTACTTAGGGCAACAACAATAGGAGAGGAATTTACAAAGTACATACACACATACATTTCCTGAAAATGGTCCTATAAATGGTAGATTGCATGGTGAAAGTGCCAGACAAATCTCACTTAAAAGGGTATACAAAAATATCCTATAATATTGTGAGTAAAAAATAGTTGGAATACACCAAACTACAAAACTGCTGACAAAATGTTCCACCTAGCAACTACACTAAAATTAGGAACCTACAATCCCGTCACTAAACGTTCTTAGGGAATACATTTGGAAATGTAAACAAAGACACACAAATTCCTATCCCATATAAAATGAAAGAGAGAGAAAAACATGAAAATACCACGTCTCTGTGAACCAACCTTGACAAGTCAGGAACAACCTAAAATGCATCTGCCTGAATCATGAAATTATAATGATCAATTAGTCATCATACAAAAGATACACCTACATGAACATGCTATAAAAACACAAAATTATAAAAGGCATATATAATGGTTGTACAACAATTCGTACAATAATCTCTTTCAAACATGTGAATGACAACAAAAATTTCCAAAATAAATGGATAAATATAAAATACAAGTTTATACAATGAAATAAGTACATATGGTGCGGATAAATCCTGTGTCCCTTTTTTCAAAGAGCAAAACACCAATAGTTGTGCAGTAAAATATGGAGGGGCAGCTTGAGCTATCAGTACATAGCCAAATACATATACAATGATCATGCTAGGCATAGATAAACACAAGTACTTTTAAGTAATGGCATTTGGCCACAGACCCCGAATATGAGGTACTGTACTCCTGTCAACAGTAATTATGGTCACCACTACTGCCAACACACAGAAATAAGCTGCGATACTACCCAAAGACAAGGGAGGGTTCCCTACTTTTCCTTGGGCTTTGCCATCTGACAAACTAAGTGAGGGGTGTTTTACATTACTGTAGCTAACTACATGAAGGCTATCATCGAAAACACTCACAGTAGGAGAAACAGACACTACTCTTGCCACCTGCACATTACAAAAATCAGCAGCTTCAAGTAAAACCGTCTCAATTAGAAGCGGCTTAATTAGCCTCTTCAAAAAAAGCATCTACCACCTCAACTGTATGAGAACACAAAACAAGGTCAGGACACTGTGATTCATGAACCCTGTCTTCACTCGGCTTCTCGAAACATTTCAAAATAGCAGCAAATCTATCATTCAGTGCAGCTTCAATGCTACTCACTGCATTTCTATCAATAGGACAAGCATCTTCATTTTGTTCACATAAAATATTTGTGAAGGCACTAACAATGGTCCTAGCTAAAGCACTATTTGACTTCGAAATAGAGTCTGGCACAGACATGGTTGGAATAATTACCTTGGAATGCACTCACAGAAATATGACTTGTTACAAAATCAGGCCTCAATCACTGACCTACAATCAAGTCTGCATACAAACAGACAATAAAATACAAGTCAAAAGTATGTCTAACTACACTGTAGACAAAAGTACAATTCCACTATAAAAATCTCCAACTGACACGGTCTAAAAAGTCACCCAATAATGCCAAGACAATCTAATAATACAAGAAACAAATGACACAATGCACTGGTGTAAAATGTCGTGAAAATGCAATCAGCTGAAAACCAGAAGTTACAATGGTGTGTGTGCAACAAGCAATACTAGTATTTGACTCAAAAACACTCAATCCAAAGCACAGGCCAACAAATGGCTCTATAATTATCTGCTCCTAATATAGAATCTACTACAGATTCACACAAGGCACAGCTGCCTAAAAACTAAACAGATCTAAGCTTGGATACAAAATGGTCAAATATCAAATACAATTCTAAAAATAGATTGTTACAATGAAAGTTACACAGCACACAATGTAGCTTGTCAATGAAGTCCTCTCAACGCAGGGTGAGGCAAAAATCAGATGATGACCATCACGTCTATGATCGCGACAATCAAACACACGGAAGCGATTCAGTGCGATTCGTGAACACGAATTCCGGTGCACTAGAAAATCTAAAGTCCGGGGAAAATATTTCCGGATAAAACGCGTCGTCAATAAAAAGTTCACGGCTATGTAGAAATGTCAACTGTCGGAGCACTCAATCCTGTCTACGACGCCATTTTGTAGCGGGACGGCAAAAGGAGGCCGGCCCTCTATTTAAAGAGGACGAGTGTTCTAACAAAAATGATGATATGACGACTATTTCGAATAACATGAACTACAATAAATTTATTCTTAAAACAATTCCAGTATTCAAAGCCCTATGCACAATAATATATTAAATATGACACAGTATACAATGTGTGTGTGTGTGTCAAAGTTCAACACATGTACGCTACACACTAGTATAATACAAAACTACACAGTCATGACAGTACAATGCAACGAATGTCTCATCCCAAAACTACACAGTTTCTCTCACAAAATGATGATGAAACACAGCAAAATACTCACTGGGATCTTTCTATGAAGTACCCTCCCAGAATGATATATCTCAGGAGCATGGCAGGAGCCATGCTCCCTACAAAAAGAGAGAATTTGCGGAGACAATTTTATGTCGGTCTTCTCTGCTCGAAGCCCACAGGAGAAAACTTGTTACAAGTTGCCTTTACGCGGGAAGCCCAAAGGTCATGATATGCAAATCACTCGCAAAACTTTTAGATAACAACAGAGGGCGCACTTGGTCTCCCTACATAAATTACTATTGCATTCCTTGATGGGGACAAGCGATTGTGACAAAGTGCCTTGCACAAGGAAACACGGACCACAACCCACAGGCTGGCCTGGCCGCTAAAGTGCAATCTGTAGTTCCCACAAGATACGGCAAATGAACCTATTTTGCCACATAAATTTGACATTTGTTTCTCCTAATCAACATGGCAACCTCATTCCCTCCAAGATTGAACAGTCAATGTAGCAAAGACCCCCCCCCCCCCCCCCCGAGAAATCTTAATTCCACTGAAATTCCATTAAATAACCCAGATGTAACTTTTTATACAGGACGCATTTAAGTTGTCACAAGTGCACTTTTTCGGTAAGTTTTGGGCTTGAAATCGACTTGTTGCTTGCAAGTTGTCAAACAGACGAATATGTTCCCAATTCACTTCTGCAGCAAACACAAGACGTTCGAATCATTCATGCATCAAACTTTGGTAATCTTGTTGATACAACATATACAAATGGATGAACAAGTAACTCTAAAGATTTAGTGAGCCTCCATGTGATGTTGCCCTGACCACATAATTTTGAAGAGGGTTTACTTTCCCATTAATAGCTCTCACTGCAAGTAGGACAATGGTGACCGTGTGTTCACACACAGAGAGAAAATAGTCTTGACAGTTAACACACTTTTGGGGGGGGGGTGGCCAATTGGTTATGGTTCGCGAATCATGATCAGAGGGTCAGGAGTTCGAATCCAGCCATAGGCCATATGTTGTGTCCTTGGGCAAGGCACTTCACCCCCACCTGCCTCTCTCCACCTAGGAGTATAAATGGGTACCGGCATTAGCTGGTGAGTAACCTGCATTGGACTGGCATCCCATCCAGGGGGAATAGAAATATGAAGTTCTCAATCGTTTCATGTCAAGGAAACCAGAGAGAAATGCTGGTTTGATGGGCTATATTGGCTCGTGACGTACTTTCCCTTACTTACACTTTCAAAATCGCTCACTCAGATAAAGAGATTGAGAATGACCAATGCATTGTCGTCCTAATGACCTCTAATGAAAAGGTCAACTCATTTACGTGTGTAAGGCCGTGTCCGAAATGGGCTTCCAGAGCTACGGCTACGTCTATTGTCAGCGCGTCCCTGCGTATTTTCAATGGGCGCGGACCTAGACCTAGCTCTAGACAGCTGATTCGGATGCAGCCTGAGTGTCTCCATGCATTGTAGGTAGGCACTGCATCCCCAACCGCATGTCACATGCTTCAGAACTAGCCAATCAAACTACAGGGAAGACGGCATCATCAAGGTACATAGGTGTAGGCGGGATTGTCAAACGGTGAAAATATCTTATTCATTTGCACACCAGTTTTCACTGGTTGCTATGAGTTACCATTCAGCACTCCAGACTCAAGTACTATTGGTTTTGAGTAAATAGGTCTGGAAACTAGACAAGGCAATGTAAGAAGCCCCCGGATGTCCGCGTCTACCTATAGCAACCGTTACAATTCAGAAGTTTTTTAGGGTGTTGACTGTTCGTGACCTCTGAACTGAATACGTGGAAAGGTGGTGAAGTGCACCCTCTACTGTTACGATCACGACAGGATATGCTCCAGGACGCCTTGTCGAATCAGATGCTCACATTGTGATCTCTGCAGAAAATGCTACAGAAGAGATAAATAAAATTTATACAGAACTTAAGCAAATTAAGAATTGTAGTCGTTTCTGCATTGAATCATTTACAGTGGTGCACATCCAAATGTTAAGGCTTTTTTTTCAGTAATCTATCCAGTTTGTTTACCTGGCTGTTTTTCTTGAGGACAATTATCGTTCCATCTTCTGTTTCAAACTCGCCGTGGTCCACCAAACAACGAACCTAAAAGTGCACAGAAAGAGAAACTTTATTATGACGTTAACCCCAACTCCAAAACCTTTTCCTGAATCCTCAAAAAATCACCCACAGTACAGAAAACCACTGATACCCAATAAACGTCAGCTTTCTGCTGACGGCTCTATGATGATTCATGATTTTATTCTGATTGCCCTACTTTTTAATTACATATTCATGAGGAATGCACTACCTATGTATATTGTAATTGTTGATCATCTGTGACGGAAAGTTGGACGGAAAGTAGGTTCTTACCTCAATATATAAACTCTTGGGTGGTTTCCGATCCTGTTGAAGGAGAAGAATATATTTTCACCAAAATGTAAAAGTAACTCAAAGATTTTGTCAAGATGATTCAAACGGGATTGTTTCCTTAACAGTGAAATTAGACTTCAATTTTTGCTTTGAAGCAAGCATACATAGTATTAAAGTTCTCCCCTGTTTTTGCCTTCTCCCGGAAAAGTATCAATAAATATTTTACAAGTTGTCAACATGGGGCGATCAATTTGCAGAGTATTACTTGAGGTATCGCACGTCACAAAGCCAGTCAAATAGCCAGAACAAAATTGGAACTCTGCGATCTTGAACCACAACCAAGATAAATTGTAATATCTCTGGAATTTCTTTAATTAAAAAATTTAAAAAAAAAAATTGGGGGGGGGCAGAATACAGGGTAATCAGTAGCTTACTTGGGAAAAAAAGATTAATTTACCTGTGTGAGATCCAAGCCCCCTGTGCCTAATGACCTCATGTAGCTTGCCAAGGATTTGTTGTATTTGGTGAACCACTGAAACTAAAGCAAAGAAGAAAAATATCTGCATTAATTACTGTGGTGCACAAATAAGGGTTCTTAGCGGATAATTAACATCCGCTTCAGACTGGCATTCACAAGGAGTGCCAAACCAAAGTACATTAGGAGCAATTCAAGTCAACCAAAATACATTTTGGTTTCAGAGTCCAGACGGGCACACTTTTTGTTTTAATTTTACACTGACCAAAGTCAGGAGTTACGGTGAATGCCTGTAGCAGTCAACGTTTTAATGAAATCATTCCTAACTTTTTTATATAATAGTTAACTTTTCTTGTACTCAATTCACATCTTAAGAATAAATTGGTTAGGTGCGACTCTTGTTATGACAATAATGATAAGATTGATACTAGTAGATAACTTTTCTTGTACTCAATTCACATCTTAAGAATAAATTGGTTAGGTGCGACTCTTTTTATATATGGCAATAATGATAAGATTGACACCTAGTAGATGAAAGTTTTGTTGTGATGATGTACATTTTGATCATACCTCTTGATCTGATAAGTTCTGTTTAACGTCTGCTGGAAGCACACTCCCAAACTCCCATCTCATATTGCGAATGATCGCAAGTCGATTATGTCTAGCATGTTTGGAATAAAAAAAACCTGGACATTCAGAATATCTGCTATTTTGTTCAAGAAAAACTGTTAAAACTAAATGTAGATACAAACAACAGAGGAGTCCATCACGAGTCAAATCACGAGTTGGGCCACAGTATTAATGCTTTTGTCACAGTTCAAGTTGGGGTAGATCCGAGTAACTCACCAGGATCAACTAGGGTCAGCCCCGTGCCGTTCGATTAGCTCTGATGTCATTCTCGCGGGGCTCACCCCGGTCAGCCACCACAGACCCTGCTCGTGGAGCGTAGTCAGTGGTCTCACAAATCCTCCAAAACCGCCATGAGGATTTTTGGAGGATTGAGGGTTAGGCTTATTAGGTTTAAAAAGCAGAATAGGAACGTCCACACAACCATACCCTGAAACTCTGTGATTTTGTCCCCAAAATCAACCCTCTGTGGTGCTAGTAATTCCAGTCACATTTCTTTTTGAAACTGTTGGTTCAAACACAGGAGCTACCACCGTTATGTGACTTGATTTCTAACAGTGACTTTTCACTTACATGCTTTGTATGCATTATAACGCAGTGCCAGTCTGATGTTGACGCACTGACTCATAATGTGGTGGCGTCATTCATTGCTGGAAATTGCGGCGCCTCAGCTATAAACAAACTGGATTTTCGAAATTCTCTCCATAAATGTAAGACATTTCTTGGATTGCCTTTTGATCTGATCGTTGAAATGTGGTAAGGTAAACACTCAAATTTGGCAACCTCCAGGTGAGTGTTGCCTTTAAGATTACGATCAAACTATGCATCAAACTTGAGAGGTACTCACAGATATGCTAGGAGGCATCGTTGGTTCCTCTCTAAACAAGTGTGACGTAACTGCACCCCTGAGAATAGACCACTCTGCCCCTCTTCCCTGGTACTCCTACAAACGAAACAGATGACAATTATCACCGGTTCATCATAATTTGCAGACAATTTTGTTAAATATTTTTGTTTGGGATTTCCAACAATTTTTTGTTTTTTCAAAAACAAAATTTGTGCAAATATTTGATACACAATGCATCCTCCAAAATCAACAGGCACTTATTTGGCATACCTCCAAATTCCTCCAAAAAGACCCAGGTTGATTTTGAAGGGTTGAGGAGGGCTAAAGTTTGATCACAATCACAAGTAATCATTACTTAATGGACATTAATTTTGGATCTTAACTTTTTAAATAATTTAAGAAGTAAAGACTTACACCACATCTGCCTGATTCTGATCATACAAAGCTTTCATTTCTTCCAAGACCTTCCTTACACCATCTTCCTGATAAAAGAAAGAAGCATATTTCAATAAATTTACTAAGTTACTTAAATTTACTAGACATCCCCTTGAGCACTGTTTTTACATCTAGATTAAAGATTGTGATACATATTTTGGATTTGCATCTTGGCTACCTTCTTGTGTGTACAACATCAGGAAAACAACAAAATTGTGAGTCCTCATAACTAGCCCAGGTGGACTCCCTTCTCTACACTGGTGCGCTACTCTTAAAATGAAAACAGCGTCCAGCTAGGTATTTAATCTAATTTAACTTTTAAAGTTTATAAATACTACTTTAAAAAATGATTAACACTGCTTATGCTTCAAACTGCTTTCTGACTGGATGGATCAACCTGAAATATTACAAATCAAAAAGTTAATGCAAAGGGAAAATCATTATTTTGTCAAACAAATCCAATCATAAATCAAATTATATATCAACTACACTATTTATGTGTAGTCTACACACGTGTAGCAACATTATGAACTGTACAATTTGCCTTGTTTTACATTTTATTTTTTAATTTGTTTTTAGCAATTTTTAGCATGATGTCCAAAAGCGTAAATTAACATTTGGACATGGCCCGACCATGTCCAAATGTTAAAAAAAAGGCAGTGTATATTTTGCCGGAGACGGCAAACCTTTAGTAAACGTTAGTTTGCCGGATATGCACTGAACATGCGCAGTTACTGTTTTTTTGTACTTAAACATTTTCCGGTGACAAATTTTAGTCTGGCTCCATGCCAAAATTATCGTTGTAACCTCGTATTCACAAGATGGGATTCAGACCATTTTATAATTTTGGACTATATTTCCCTTTTAAAAAAAATCCTCCAGAGCCACAAATCTGAAAAAGAAAATGTAATACTCTGCAAAAAATGTTTGAGACATGTTAAAATAATAAAAGAAGAATATTCTTATATATTTGGGGATGAGAAAAAAAAACTTTAAAAATGTGGTACGGTCGGAATCGAACCCGAGTCATCCCGCTCACTAGAGCTTTTGCTTAACCACTACACCAAACGTGCTACACAACTTTTGGTGGGAATTTAATACATATTATAATTCAGCCCTATCTTAAAGAGTACAGCGCCCTCTGTTGATATGGATTGCCGCCGGCAAACCTTTAGTAAACGTTAGTTTGCCGTCATTACCTCCGGCAAAATATCCACTATCTAAAAAAAAAGCTGATTCGTAGAGTCCTAGTTTCTCAGACTAGCCTTAGTAAAATTGTGTTTCTCAGACAAAGCATAACAATTTCCAGTTTTCTAATTTTTATGCATGAATTGTCAACCCCCACCACCACCATAATGGAGCTCCTTTTTATAGCTCCATGCCATAACTAACGTAGGCACCAAAACACGTCACATCTCCCCAACCCTTCCCTTCATCATTCATGATCAATGTATTTTGTGTGCACACTGGCACTGCGGCTTTCGTTGAGGGAAAGGATCAGTGCTAAAACATATTAACTTACATTAAATGGCAACATTGTTCCATCCCTCGACCTCTGTAATTCTTGAACCAATTCCAAAACTTTTTCACCAAACATATTTGTTGATATTTTGTTTGCCGGAAAGAAGTAAAATGGAGAAAAACAACTTCACAACATTGCAACATCTGCTGCATTTGGCTGTTGACAGGAATGAAACTTGCCGCGCGAGCGAGAAACATAGAGAAAGAGAATGGTACCTTAAAGTAATATGTATCCTATGCTTTTATTAGAGTCTAGTAGCCAGACCTTTCTAGAATACATGAAGTGAAAGGAGACCGCTACGCATTCAAGAAGCCAAACATCCCTGTATTACATGTACTTTGTTTAGAACCTAACCACATGTGTGCTCATGCATTGATTGAAGATCAGGGAACAAGTTTGGCCCGAACTCGTGGGAACAGCTGAGCTTTTTCTGTTGTGGTTGACGGTAATTATTGCATTATTCGCATCGATGAACTTTGTATTTTAAATGTTTATATTTAATTGAAGGGTTGGGTATGGTGGCCCTGAAGGGACATCGCATATCGCAAACGTGTGCGCATACGTATGCGATGTCGCGAAATTTATCGCGAATGTGTGCGCACACGTATGCGATGTCGCAAAATTTATCGCGAATATGTGCGCACACGTATGCGATGTCGCGAAATTTATCGCGAATATATGCGCACACGTATGCGATGTCGTGAAATTAATCGCGAATATGTGCGCACACGTATGCGAATTTGTTTGCAATGTCGTGAATTTTATTGCATACCTTGTCGCATACCTTTCAGTAAAATTCCTAATGAACTGGGGAGTTGTAGCAGCTAGTCTGGAATCTAGACGTACTGTTAGATATAAATAGGGTCTGACTAATAAACCGTCGCGCGCACGCTGTTCCTCGTGCAATCGTTACTACTAGTACTGTCAAGCGCAAACTTGCTACTAGCGCAACTTTGAAATTTGCGCGCGCAAGTTTGAAACTTGTGCGCGCAAATTTCAAAGTTGCGCTAGTAGCAAGTTTGCGCTCGACAGTACTTGTAGTAACGATTGCACGAGGAACAGCGTGCGCCGAGGTTTATTAGTCAGACCCTATTTATATCTAACAGTACGTCTAGATTCCAGACTAGCTGCTACAACTCCCCAGTTCATTAAGAATTTTACTGAAAGGTATGCGACAAGGTATGCAATAAAATTCACGACATTGCAAACAAATTCGCATACGTGTGCGCACATATTCGTGATTAATTTCACGACATCGCATACGTGTGCGCATATATTCGCGATAAATTTCGCGACATCGCATACGTGTGCGCACATATTCGCGATAAATTTTGCGACATCGCATACGTGTGCGCACACATTCGCGATAAATTTCGCGACATCGCATACGTATGCGCACACGTTTGCGATATGCGATGTCCCTTCAGGGCCACCATAGTTGGGAGCAAACGCTTAAAATTGGTAAGTTAAAACTTGCTATGCTGGTGTGGGTTGAAGAGTTGAACATGAAGATGAAGATTGTATAGAAAATGTGGGAGCGCATGGAGCGGTGAGGGCGCTGTTCATTTGTGCCCTTTTTTCTGAAACGAAGTGGCTATCGTTACGGCATTCGTTGTTTAGCGCCCTCAACGATTCTTTTTTGATACGCACGCAGGTATATAATTATTTGTTTTCCCGTGTTTTGGTGAACAGTGCGACAGCTCAGTCGATAGCGGGTAGGATTTTGCACCGCGAGGTTGCGGGTTCGCATCTCAGTTTTGCACTCAAATTTTTTTCCTTTTCTAACCTTAGGCTTTGGAGGGTTTTTTTTAAAAGGGAAATAAAGTCCGAATTTTATAACGTTCAAATTCACTTTTTTCCTTCTTATTTATATTTTCTTCTCATGTTTTTATAAAAGTTGCAGTACTACCGTAACGATAGAAAACGGGAAATGCGTTACGGCTGCCGTAACAATAGCCACTGCGTTTCTGAAAAGGAAATTGTGATTGAGTTTTTTTTGCACATTCATTGTGTAGTATTAAACTTCACATAGAAATTTGAATTTTTGAAATCACGATTGCCGTCTGTCAATCATATCTTTATTGAAATAAGGGTAATCCTTACTTTTAGGACCCCTTTCCTATATGAGGTTAAAAGACTCACCAAAACAGCTGACTATGAGTATGACACTCAAAAGTGACATTCTGATATTTATTGACACATTTGAACATTTGGCAATGACACCTCTTGAATATCAGCAGGTTTAATTTTGTAGAAAGAGGGCAGGGTTTTGATTTATGAGGGGTTAAAGACGACGATGACAAACAGAAAATAAATTTAAAAAGCAAGATGGCGAACTGCAAAAAAAGGTAGGAAAGTCACATTTTCTTTGAAAGTGCTTTCAAAATTATAACTAACATGAGTTTGTCTGAAGAAAAAAAGACTTCTTTAGCCTGCAAAAGTCACTTTGGTACTGGACAGTCATCTGCAAAAGTCAGTTTTGAACAGAACTCGTACAAAATAGAGGTGTCCTAAAAGTAAGGATTACCGAAATAAGCATGAATAAAGACAAAGATTTTGAGAAAATGTGAGTTTTGAGCATTTCCATCATATTTCTGCACTTTTTCGTATGCAAAATAATTCACACTATTAGGCCGAGTAAAAAAAAAAATAGTTTCTTGTCCGGGGTTTTTGAACGTATTTACAGTGTCATTTAGAGTTGTATTGGTATTGGTATTTATTTTCCGATGAATTTGTAGACTTTTTCGGTGTGTTTCTACTACATTTTTCAAAAATAAAAAATAATAAAAAAATCCTGGCGGCCTCCAAAAAGGAAGCGGGCGGTGACGAGAAACTTGTTGTTTTTTTTTACTTCGCCTAAAACGTACACATTTCAGTGTCTCAAAACATCCCTGGTTTAACTCCATTTCCTTTGGGTTGCAGATTCCAATGAAATCCAAACTTGTATTTAAATGTTTCTTTCAGTTTTTCTACAAAACCACATCAAAAAGACAAAAACAAATGTAGAAAATATAGTACATGTGTATTCGAAAAATATATTTCTATTACCTCCCGGCGGGCAGTGTCAAAACATTTTCTGCAATAATATAAATAAGACATGAGACTGAAAAAGAGGTACATGTAGGCCTAATCGTGTAGTTACGGCCCCGTGCCACATAAGAGAATGAACAAAAACACTTGTTTTTTGTTTTTTTGTTTTGGGACTTACCTAAATAAAGTTACCAACAGGAAAAGTAACTTAACGTAAGCACTGTTGATATATCAGACGCAAAATTTTCAATAATCAATAGGACCTAGGCCTTTATTGGAAGTACAAAATCAAGAATGTTTGATATCAATTATCCCATGTAAAAGTTAAAGACCATAAAGACGACACTTTGTTTTTAAAAAACAAAAACTTAATTCTTAAGTCCCAAATTTCCACTGCTTTCTCTGGAGCATGTTGCTCAAACGTTTAAAGCAAATTCTCAGCACTGACAGTTTGTCCAGTCTTAATTTGAATTGGTCTTGATTTTTTTTTTATTTCAGTTAGAAAATGACAAGAACGAAATGATAAAGTGAGACACTCAGTTAACAGCACAACATAACAAGAACCAGCATCATGGCATTTATGCAGCAACAGCAGCAACAACAGCAGATGCAAATAAAGGAGGTTTGTTTCATTGAAGACAATTGCATGTTCATGGTGTAGTAAATTTGAAAATCGTGGACTGAAAATTAAATGTAATTGACATATGGTATTTTTGCCTTTTTTTTTTTTTTGTGGTTAAATTTGGTTAATTCCTTCTTTTTCGCAAAGGAAAACAAATCAAACTTTAAGAGAATTCGCCAAATTTCAACAAACTGCATTTAAAGAACCTATTCAAAATGTGGTGGTTTTTTGTGTGTGTTTACCCAGATTAAATCTTTTTGTTACTGAGCGTGGAAATTGTTAATTTAAATAAGACCCACATTTTTATATGTAATTGCCATAATGTACAGCAATTTACAAACACTCTGTTGATTTTGTACATGAACATTGCTGGAATGTTAACTTTTTCTTATCTGAAAACCTGTTCTACATGTTGAAAGTATTTTTTAAGAGTTCTATATTTTAAAGTCTCCATTAGTCTTGCCCCAAGACTGGTTTTGGATTTGATTCCCTTAATACATCAGCCAGTCCCTGACAAGCAGTTACGGGGTCACCTTTAACAAGTTGAATCAAACCCGGTCTTGGGAACTTCGGCAGTGTTACCCAGGAAATTCTGAGCATACCTCACATGCGCGCATTAGAGGTGTGCTCAGATGTTTTTGGGTCAGCGTGACAAAGTTTTCCAATAGTGGATTTGATTCATCTTGATGGTAGTGGCTTCTACCACCACAAGTGATTTGACCCTGCTTGTAAAGGACAAGCTGTATTAGGGGAATAAAATCCAAATCCCAGCTTGGACCACGATCAAGGCTACGGCTTCAAGTTACACATGTCTATTGTAGCGGCTGTGGCCACTACCCATAGACTCGTGTGTAAGTACAATCCGTAGCCAAGTAATTCAGACATTGCCTAACTCTCCATATGAAACAGCACAGTATTGATAGTAGGTCAACTGTGAGAAAAACAAAATACTTTTCTGGTGTTTGTTGCAGTTCCGTGATTTCCTGTCTTCTTACAATCGTTTGACGGAATCCTGCTTCACTGACTGCATCAAAGACTTCACGGGAAGAAAGCTGTCGGACAAAGAGGTAAAATAGACCAGTTGTACAGAGCGCCCTCATTGGGGACAGGTTTTAAATGTAGAAAGTGTCTAGTCATGAGTATCACAGAAGAACAAAGACATGTCCTCTGTAGGGGTGGTTTATGTAAGGGGTGTTTGTAGCTCATATTTGTCCAAGGGGGGGGACACACATTGCTGATGATGGCTGACACATGGCGAACAAGCTACAGGTTGTGCAAATTCAGAATACAATTAGTTGTGAGTACTTGGTGCAATACGCATGCGAACCTGTGCGTGCATGCAGTGTGTCCCTCCACAGCTCTCCGAAGTGGTCAAAAAGTGCCAAATATTGTTCGCGCACTTAGTCCATAATGCTTCAGAAATGAACTCTACATTCTGAATGTGTTGTGTTCGCAACCCAAAGGTTTTGTACTGTGCATACTACAGTTCCCGGAATAGGAAAACTTAAAATGAACCACATTTCTCAACAGTTTTGAAGTTGTGTGACAGGGCAATATAACTTTCCATATTTTTTGTTGAGGGGGGGGGGGGGTAAAGAAGTCCTATTGGAAACATTCACACATTTGAGCTTTAGACTTTCAGGTCTGTCATGCATCAGTCTGCAGTTTTTATTTGTCATTTGCAATCTGACATCTTTTTTAGATCACTAATATTACTAGGTGATGTAGGTATATTTTCAGTAAAAACTTCCAGAGTTGTAGACCAGTGAATCATAACTCAATCGTACATCAGGTCACAAGTAACAGTGGATGAAAAAAGACAAATGCTTTTGGCACAGTTCATTTGAATAGCTTTTTACTTGAATTCTGTGATTGCCTTGTGATTCGTTTGTGATTGACTTGTGATTGACTTGCGATTGACTTCTCACTGACTTGTGATCTGCTTGTGACTGACTTGTGATTGACTCAGGACTTGACTACAATTCAGTGTCACTATTTTCATCTCACCTCTAGAGCAAGTGCGCCTCCAACTGCATGGAGAAGTACCTGAAGATGACGATGCGGGTTTCGCAGCGCTTCCAAGAATATCAGGTGCAACAGAATGAGGGACTGATGGCTGCAAAACAGGCGGCTATGGGGGGACACTAGTTAGAAGAAAATTGGAAGAGTTTGCAGAAAGATGATGTCAGTCATGCTCCCGAGTGCGAAACCATTAGTCCCTGCGCTGCCCCAAACCGCCCTACCTGTTAGTGTTACTCCATGTACCGCCCAAAACCGCCCTGCACTCTATGGTTGTATGGATTCGTCGGGGAATAAATACAATGTAATACAATGTACTACAAGTGTTAATAGGTTAACACCTCCATGGTGGATTCACTTGCTGGTGAAACTACCTTCTACACTTCTCAAGATTTCAGGTTGAGTGTTCATTGTAGCCACGGGCGTATCTTGTACGATTAGTGTTTTTGTGCCACTCAGGGCAACTTGTAAATCGAGTCCTTTACTTGTTGGTTTAACGTCGGAATTTTTTATACCTGAATCGTACTGGATTCCAGACTGTGTAAAGAATAGTTCTTTAAACTTTTTTTTTATTAATAAACTTACCAAATAATTAAATAATTATTCAATAAAAAATAAAAAATGATGGCACACATTGGTTGACCCCGGTGTTACACACACACACAAATTGCTTTGAATAGGGAAACATCCAGAATACCTTGCATTTATTTAAAAGTTAGCATTTCCTGATAAAGGCAATAGGAACGTAATTTACATGGATGATTTCCTTACTAGAAATAATGAGGTCATGAATGTTTGGTGCCACTATTGGGTGTATTTGTTTTCATTTTGTAGTATTAAAATGACACAATTTTAATTGCATTTGATCTCGATTAAACATAAAAATGGAAAATTTGTAACTTAATTGTCCTGGTAACTGTTTACATTCATTCCATCTTAGGTTCGATACTGTCGGGACCTATTAAAAATTTCTTTTTCTTTTGTATATGCACGTCCTTACCTGGAGGGTCACGTGCTGGAGGAAAGTTACAAAAAAACATCGCCAAACGTGACGTGACGAACGCAATGCCGTGACATGCGAACGCAGTGCACATGCACAATGCGCGTTGAGCTAGGTCAGTGCTGGAGGAAAGATACATTTATCTGTATTATTTTACTTAAATTTTTTTTTATGACAGTAGGTCCATGAGAGACCACAAAAATGGCGCACATTCATCGCACAGTGAATGGGTGCATATGCACGCACTGCCGATCTAGTCTCTTTATTCCATGATCATTCTGTGATTTAGACCAGTCTAGGTTCAAAACTTGAATACAGATGGTCCCAGACGAGCGTGATAAAGCCTCCGTTGCCGCTGTGGTAGAAATCGCTATCAACAACATGAATCAAGTCCACTCTTGGGTACTTTGGCAGCGCTACCCACAAAATTCCGAGCATAACTCATGCATTTGCTTTAGCTTGAATACAGCACGCTTGGGATATACTCAGAATTTCCGGAGTAGCGCTGTTCTCGAGACGAGACTTGGTTCATCTGGTTGATAGTGACCTCAACCATCACAGAGGCTTCACTAGATTTTTCACGGGCAAAGACTAGATTTAGAATTTCCGAGGGGAAAGAAGAAAACACGCTGAAAATCTTCTGTTTTGTTTGCAAATACAAATTATTTATTTTCATACAACTGCTCTTCAGAAATAAATTTTAATACAAAATCATCAATACCCTTGTGACCTGCACAGGAATGGACAGGCTTTTCGTTAGGTTTTTTCAGCACCAAAATTAATAAGTGTTAAAAATGAGATGGATCGTTGCGAATATTTCAAACAAAAAATACTATAAAATATGAGTAATCTAAAATCTACACTGTCTATTACTTGCTAAACCATTTACTATATGTGACCACTTAAAACAAAAATTGTCATAGCGCATAAATAATTAAAGGATGTAAATAACATGGACCAATTGTGGATTTTTGCACAATTCAAAGTTGGGACATTTCCAGATTGGGAAATACAGCAGAATTTTGATTATTTAAAATTATCGAGGAAGAGCAAGTTTGGGGGCAAACTTAAGTTAACTATATTTTCAACTAACTTCACTTAAAGCAGGATGCTTGGACTACTGTAGTTGACTATTTGGAACCGGACCATGGGGCATGGTTCCATCAATGGTTAACAATAGCCGGGCGCATCATTATGCACACCTGGGAGGGAGTTTTTGGATGCCGTTTTGACCATCGTTTGACTGGAAGCTTTGGTACGTTGCTATTAGTGTGCAGGCGTAAGTCACTTCACAAATCAAGCACTAGTCCACTAATGGTCCTCGCCTCAACTTGGCCCAGTCTGCACAAATCTGGTAAAATTGTTGTAAATACTGATAGTGCGAGTTAGGCCGACTTATCCCCTTGCAAAAAAATTCTCAAATTATATAAATTCAAAACTTTTCATAACTTTGTAATGAGAGAAATATATGTTTAAGTTATGACGGTGTTTACTCGGCAATATTTTCTATTAAGTGCCTCCATGGAATTTGAGGCAGAGTTTTTTTAATTACAGATTCATTGTACTTTTGGGGGAAATTTATATAGCAATTGTCTTCTGCACACTGACAAAACTTCACAAAATGTCTTGTTCTACCAGGAAAGAGGGAACAAATAACTAAAAAGTGTATAAAAAACTCAGAATTTAACGTGTACAAACAGGAATTTTACAACTGAAATTTACACTTGATTGCAAAATATTAATACACATTTCAATAAAATAAAAAAGAAAATCACATTTTGCGCCATTTATACATACATTTGTAATTGCAGGAAATTTAGTTAAATTGAGTTCACAGTTAAACTTCAAAAAAATTGGTTGTTATATAATTCAGTTTTTATTTTATTTTCACAATTTCCTTTGATGGTGTCGTAAGGTAGGTTTAATCAGTGCACAAGCAAAAATATTACATTTTGAAATACTATGTTTAATTTTTTTATATCAAATTATATTACTGCATAGATTATATTAAACATTCTTTCATCAAAACTGTTCTCATTCGAACAGTTATTGCATAGTTGTTTTCTTTTTATAGGATAAAAATTCAAATTGGAATTCTGGGATTTGAGAATTATAAAAGATAATTTTACAAAAAAATATCTCTCATGAACAGTTTTTGAAATCAGATATATACATTTAGATACCAAAATCTTTCTCGAAAACATTTCAGGTACTGTACACTTGAAGACTATTGACTTGCTGAATATCAAGAAAAACAAATATCATTTTGACTGTATAAAGAGTGGTACAGTATTCTAACTGTGCACGTGCAAAACAATATTTGATAATTTTTTCTTTTGGAACAAACTACACTATTACCGGTGGATATGAGGGTCACTTTGGAAGTACAATATTTCCAAACTGTGGGCTGCAATATGTTTCACAGTCTTATCATAAATTTTGTACAAAAGATAAAATTTCCATTGTCTTTTTGATTGCATGCAAAATCACAGATTGCAGATAATCGATTAACACTGCCTCTACAGGGCCTAGGGCGAGTCAAAAAAAAGGAAAACCCAAATGGTGCCCCCTATTTTGTAAAGAAGTTCTGCATGTAACACTTTCTAGGATGTGGAAGCCCAATTGTGACCTGTTCTGTCAAAATCAGACTTTTCTGGGCATAAGGTCGAAAATGATATTTTTACATATTGTTAACATATGTTCTTTTTCCTTTTAATAGGTGGTTTAATTTTTGAAACCGGTCATTCCTGGGCAGAGTTATGCTATTTTGAAGTTCATTGTGTCGAAAAGTAGAAAACGGAGAAAATGGCCACGAACATCACAAAACAGTTATTTCTTTAACTGATATACCTTATCAAAATCATCAAAAATAGTATATGTAGAGTTCAAATTAGGGTTTCAAACTTTTATAATATATTTTAGACATGTTCAGGATTACAAATATGCAAAAATTTGAAAATCGATAAAAATCACCCCCACAGCGTTTTTTGGCCCAATCTCAATTCCAACCTCTGCCCAGAAGCGTCTGCTTTTGATAGAACAGGTCACATTTGATAAGCTTTCTTTTAGTACAAGGATCATTCAAATCACTCATGTACTTTATGAGTTGTGGAATTTTGAACAACAGAGTTTTAAAATTGTCCACAGATCACATTTACTTCTTTAAAAAATAGAACTTCTTTAAAAAATAGGGGGCACCATTTTGGTGGGGTTTTTTTGGTTTTTTTTACTCGCCCTGTCTGGACTCCGTGCACAAGTACCTCCTCAACGGTTACAAAGGGAGAGTTGGGGGGACCACCGGCAGGGGCATTCGACTGCATTGCTGATGGCGCCTAATGTTCACGTGAAGACGCTATGATTTGAGCACATCTGGAACGAAATGAGCTGCTCTTACGAAGTGCCATAATGGGCATAATCCAACACACGTGTCCCTCCCAAGGGGTTTTTGAAAGTGGTCACAATGCCCCCGTCTTCAGTTCGTGCACGGAGTCCAAATGTGTCCACTGGTGCATCTATCGCACAGCTCCAATTCACTTATCTAGATGTGCACATTACGCAGCAGGAAATACCAAATCTAATTATTTTTAAAAAATTACTAGCTTAAACGATCATAAAATGATTGCATTTATGCTTGTGAATGCTGAAAGATAAGCTTTAAAATACAAAACAAACAAAACATTTATTATAAATATTCCTTTTATATAATTTACAGATACATTGAACAGGAACAATTTTTTCTTCTTCTCAAGTTCTTCATTATCTTAGAGAAAACAATACAAGAATAAGTGGTTAACATTTCAGGCACACTATTGATAAAATAATGTGAAAGACAACAGTTGCATGCTGACCTGCTTGCAAAATACTGCCCAACTGATATACTGCCCTCAACACTGTTTAAAATTTAAAAAGTTTGAAAACGCTTGATGTCTGATTTTTTTTTCTTTTTCCGACAATGAATAGAGCCTTGTTCCTATTGGACTAATTTTTAAAAAGATTTTACTGAGACGACTGGTTAAAAACCTAATGGGTAACATTTACCAGTGTCCGCACTTGGACTTCTGACTTGGGATAATTTTACCGAGACCTTGGCTAAAGTAACCGAGTTGGGCATAAAACATGTGTCCACATGATCGGTCGTCCTATTTTTTTTTCCTTAATCATGTTAACAATGTACAGCTTTCCTTTGACTTGCAGTGTCCGGAAAATGGAAAATTGACCAGGAAAATTGATCAGGTCACTTTTCCGGGGTAAAAATGTCTGCAGGTAAAAGTAACCACTGGACTTGAGAAAAGTAACCACAAGAGAAACTTTTTCTGGGCTGTTTGCACTGGACTTAAATGGCAAAAGTACCCATCGTCTGGGTAAGCTTAACCAAAAGAAGTCCAATGTGGACACGGCTTAAAACAAGTAAAGTTACCATGGTGAACTACTACACCAGCTAGAGCACGGCAGTCACCTGAAGATGAGCAGAGCATACTGTTTGAAACGTCGAGTTAAACCAACTGAATCTTCTCAGAAACCAGACAACTCACTGAGAGATATCATTCACATGGTGTTACCGCAAACCTCCCATTCATTAAAAGTAACCACGTTGATGATTTCGTATCTCCTGAAATGAGTTGATGCTCATTGAGGGCAGCATTTCCTTCTGCTCTTCTCCTCAGCCAGGCTCAGGTTGTCCTCCTCTTCGTCGATTGTCTCGAAGTAGTCCTTGTCCTGGTGGAGTGAGATGTGCTCGTTGGGTTTGGCTGCGTCTGTCGTCAACTCCAGGATGTTCTGAACAAGAAACCTCATGGCTTCCTCTGTACAAGATGTCAATGAAAAAAAAATAGCCGTCGGAATGATGTGCTAACACGTGATCTATTGTTCGTGCAAGCATCAGTCGAGTGAGCAAGCACTGATTAATCATGCAAACATTGGTGAATAATTCAGGGTAGAATTTGTGCCATTTCAATTCTCGCACTCAAAAGCTTTCAAATTACTGTGTAGAAATGGGTCCTGCAAGACTGATCGAGGGAGCCTATTACTTGTGCATTGTGCAGGGTCCATTGTGCAATTGTGTAGTTATCTCACACTCTGTCTATTGAAATCGACCCATGCTTGCGCAACGATATTGATGGTATTTTTACAGTCAGTAGTGTGCAACACTGTAGCGCGAGAGAATCACGCAAATCCATCCACCAACTGCACCCAATACATAGGTCACTGATTCTGTGCATGAATTGCTGAAGGGGCCGTGTGGCCAACTCATTAAAGCCAAGAACAAATCTATGGTGTCCCTTCATCTAAACAGCTTGTGACGTGACTTGGGACTGAATGATTTGTCATTAACATGTGATTGACTTCTTTAAAAAAATTTGTATAACCTTTCATGACTACGTCCAACACTCAAATAGTTGTGTGCCAAACCTCTCCCGTAAGTCAAATTGCTAACAAAAATAAGACAATGCGAGCACTGTGGAGCTGGTCCCAGAGTGCACACAATTCTATTCAATTGACTCAGAATGGCTATTCACTGGAAGTCTTTTCATGCATCTGGTCTTTACAATGGGCCTTACTTATTTATAATAATAATTTGGGAGGCTAATCGTCCTTACTATTAGCTGAGAAGCTGAATTGCGAAGTCTTGACAACTTGGTCGAGACGCAAGCATGTAAAGCCTTTGGCAGCCAGCCATACGACCCATGTATGACCACGGAGCACAGCCAGAGATCGAAGGTGTTTGATTTTTTGGAGGGAAGAAAACCAGAGGGCCCGGAGAACCAACGCACAACTCTACTCACATATGATCCTAGCAAGGAACAAACCAGGGTCACAGTGGTGAGAGGCGAGCACTTTACACACTAGCCACCCATGCCACCCTCTTATTTAGCCCATAATGGGGTGATCCTATATGACAGCACTACCCGGCTCTTTTAACCAGTCTACGACCAATCTATTAAGTTACAAGTAACGGGGAGGTAGTCAGTCAGTCAGTCAGTGAAATAGGTACAAAGACGACACAAGGCTGGCCCTGTGAGATCAGCAATAACTGTGACTTACCGATGTTGACATTGTCTTTTGCTGACGTGGCAAACCAACCGATGAAGTTGTGTTTATGGCAAAATTCCTCTAGCATATTAGCATCTAGCACTGTGTCTTCAAGATCACACTGAAATCAAACACACAAAAAGTCAATGTAAAAAGCCTTTGTATGATATCCAGGTATAAACCATGTGACATTTGGTTTACAAAATTGGATGTTGCATTCAGGTGATACCAACTTTCAGTAACCTTTTCTCTTCTTGCTCTGCACGTATATCTCTTGAAATATGCATGGTAAAAAAGTTTACACTTTTTCAGACGCACATTTTTCAAAATTGGGGAGACATGTTGAAATTGTTTTAAGATATTCCTGAACTACAAGATCTTGGTGGTATATGGTGAAAATGGTTTTGAAAATAAAGCCTACATTAAGAAATGGCGGCCATTTACAGAAAAATTGTTGAAAACCTGTTTGTGCATACGCAAGTCTATGAAACATGGTCAAAACAATAGCACTCCGGGCACAAAGAACTACCATAACGACGACCATATCTCATACACGTGTGTGGACAAACTTGTTTTTGATCATTTTTCTGTAAATGGCCGCTTCTTAATTTAGGCTTATTTTCAATGCCATTTTCACCATATACCACCAAGATCTTGTAGTTTAGAAATATCTTTAAACAATTCAACATGTCTCCCCAATTTTGAGAAATGTGCGTCTTGAAAAAGTGTACAGTTATTTGGGGACCACCCTGTACTGTTTAATATGGGTCAAAATAACATGCAAAAGATGCTTAAATGTTTCGGTCGCCCAGAGGGTTGCCTGTCACAGAGCACATTCTCTGACGTCACAGAGCGCGTGGTTGAAATGATCAACGGGTGTGAATAATATAATAATAATAATCGCCATTTAAGAACGCTCTTATTTAGTAAACTAAATCACAGCACTTACAGTATTATTATTACCCCTCATCATTGGGCCAATTAAACATTCCAAATACCATCTCAGCTCCCTGGGGAGTATACAGCTCGATACAGCCTGTTAGGCGCAAGCAAGCTAATTCAATCACATAACCATCTCTGCCCTCACAGGTAACCATTTACTCCTGGGTGGGGAGAAGCAATGAGTGACAAAGTGCCTTGCCCAAGGGCACACACACCACGACCCCAGGCTGGACTCGAACCCACAACCCGCAGAATTACCCGCAGACCACGAATTCAATGCCCTTAACCACGAGGCCACGGCACTCCCCACACTACCTAAGCATGCTGGGTAAGAAAGTAATATGCCTGCTACCTTATTGGCTATTAGGAGGACTGGTACTGGCTGTTCATTGGCAAGCATCACCTTCTGGTTCACATCCGAGTACCACTGAAATAGATAGGAACAGTAATGACCAATACAATTGTGACGGATCAATTGTGTTATCAGTTTCTGTATACGACTGTGGACTTCGTGCAAAAGGACCCCTTGTCGGTGACAAAGGGAGAGTTAGGCATTGCTGAACGCCAGGCACCATTGTGAAGACCCTACCGTTTGTGCCGATCGGACATGAAATAATTATTGCCATATGTGCCTGAACCAGGAAGGGGTCATCCATAATTATCAACATTTTTAAAAGCGTAGAAAATGTACCGTTTGGCCTTTCAAAAATGTTGATTTTCATAGATACCATGGGGACTGATCCATACGACAATCCCCGGTTGTGCAATATTTGCTGGGCTTTTGTGACTGCATCTTCCCGGTGCCATCTTGCCATTCCACTATTTATGGATACAAAAGCATTTACAAAGTGCTGGTATTGATTGCGCACCTTCTTATGGACCACACCAGGTATATTGATCAGGAATTCTTGAGTTTTGCACGCCCAATATCGCGAATAGATACCTCTCACGCACGCGTGCAGACTTCAGCCTAGTCTTGGCTCAAGACAAAAAGTGCGAGGCAGCAACAGTGCATCACAAGGGCGCACTTATACGGTACAACTGGAATGAACAGTTCTTTCATTGTGCCTATATTAGTTATGGAATATTAGCGTCGTGAAGATAGGCTGGGCACGTCTATGAGGCGCTTGCAGTACCCACACGTAATTGCAATTCATCGCTTCAAGAATGGCGGTTTAAAAGGGCTGCATCGCGTATGTTTGTCACCGGTGCATAGCTGAACACAAGGAATGACAAAATTGAAATATGGCTGCACCCATGGATCGCCAGCTGGACCGGTGTTCCCTAAGTTGAGGTATTAGGGTTTTTAGTGACAGATCTTCTGAAAGCCATTGACAAAAAGATACTGAACCAAAAAATACGGATCGACATTTGTTACAAGCTTACAAAAGCGTACAGGGGTCGTTAACCCCCTCCCCCAAGCGTATGTTTTGTACACTTTTGAAAAACCCCTCCCCCAAGCATACGTATTGTACACTTTCGAAACTGTTGATAATTGTGGATGATGATCCCTAGTACACTCGGTGTATAATTCACACAGAGCTCTTATGACCTAAAGGTACCACGTGACCATCCGGTTTCCCTGCGATCGGCCACCATTGCAGTAGGCAAGCATTTGGTTAACAACCACGTCGTTCGTTATAAACTAGACAGTAGGGCTTATTTTCACGTAAAATAACCGCAAATTCTTTATCAAATGGCATAATGGTCACTACTGGTGCCGCACATGGTTGTCATAATCGTATCGACCGAGCACTGGGGTAGTGCGTTTTTCTTACAGTTTTAGATAGCCCTTTTGTCCAAGCATGGAGTCATGTTGCAGATAAACTGTAATGAGCTAGCAGTTGGCGATTTTCTTAAGAACAAAAAATTAAAAACAGTAAAAATTACAAAACTTATAAACTTGTTTATAAATGAAACAACATATATCTTACCTTAAGTACTGAGTCAAATGTTGCTGGTCTGAAAATCATAAACAGAAACAAAATGAGAATTCATAAATATTCTTTTAAAACTGATTAACTGATTATTAAACCAATAACGAGAAAAACTTTGACATTAGAAAAATACTTTTCCAGTCACAAAGTTTTTCAAGACAGACTTCAAGCTTTCCATAGTGGAAAGTCAGCTTTGCCGTAGCGCCATGAAGTCACATTTTTTGTGTGAAAGTGTATGGTTCTGAAAAGAACTCATAAAGATGGACAAAGCATCCTGTTTGAAACGTGGAGTTACCAAACTGGTTCTTCTCAGAACCACACAAAGTCATAAAAGAAACTCTACTACATGGTGCTACCACAAACTTAAAGGTCGAGTACATCATTTGCAGCTATCCAAAAAGTACCTGACAAAATTATTGTTGAAAAGCATACTTGGTTGAAAGATAGTAATGGCACTAAACTCCCTGTGAAATTATTTTTCTGGCAAGCTGTCATTTTGAAGAAAACAATCAATTTCCAATTTCCAAAGATGCGTCTAAAGACAAATTTTTGGTCTAAAGACGCATTTTTGGAAATTTCCGTTTTTCGTCTTTAATTCGGCGAAGCCGTGAATGGGTGCACGCAAGTGTTATAATTCGTCGGTTTAGTGCATGACATCGCGCAGCTGCAATCGGCTAAATGAGAACGTGTCCCGGATGCTGATTTCGGGAGTAATTCAAAACATGACTTGGCAACTTTTGAATTGAAATCGAGATACTAGAATATTGTTTTCTCGGAATATACAGCATTCACCGAGCTAAAACCTCATCAGTTGTTAAGCACCCTTCTTTAGATTCTGAACACTTTTGTTGCTTCAAACGAAAAAAAAAAATTCACAAATGACAAATGATTTACTCTACCTTTAACATCTACATTAGTTTTTCATCGTGACAAAATTTTAAAAAGGTTTTTTAATTTGAGTTCAAATGGTAATACATTGTAAATGATAAAAGTGCATCACTAAACAGAATTATACAATACTTGAATAAAGATACTGATTTGCAATGAAACAAAATTAGATTGATATCATACCTTGATAAGTCAAAGACTATAACTGCAGCAATCCTGTTTTGGGGAGGGAAAAAAATGACCGATGAATTTTTACATAAAGAATTTGTTTCCTTTTCAGTAAACTGTAAAGATCAAGCGTACACATCTTCACTATCTTGGATATTACTATGGACCCAAAACTCTGAAATTGGCAGAAAGATTTGTAGAATTGCAAATCCCTCAATGACTGTGTGTTTATATTATGTGTGAATTTCATACAATCTCTCCCAAACAAAATGATTACAGACATTTTTGGGTTCATACGGCTTCCTACATTTGAGGGTATTTGAAACAAATTGAAGCTTTCCACATGCACAATCTAGACAGCGCCCCTATGCTTTAGGCGTCATTTAACATAGTACAAATGTACCCCTTAGGGACAGAAGTACTAAAGTTCAATATCCCACATCTCTCCTTTTGAAAATCCTGAATCAGCCCCTTCAGGGTTCCCAGCACTTTATTAAAGCAAAATTCATTGAGTTTTCCCTGAAACCCTAAAACGTCACTAAAGCGAACACCTCTACAATATAACGAACATCCCCTTTGGCTCCAGAAATTGTAATTTCTACTATAATGAACAATCACTATAACCAACAACCACTATGAAAAACACTTTTTATGGACCCCATCACGTTCGTTATAGTGGCGTTCTACTGTATTTCCCTGATAAATTTCCAAAATTCTATGAGAATTTTTTCACTTTAACAAGGTTGATTGGAAGTCAAGAGGTGGTTGCAGCAAAGCCAATTGTTTTTATCTGGAGAGGTGTGTAATACTCACACTGCATAAACACTAAAAAGCCATCATAGCAAATCAGTCCATGGACACAACTTAGACCCAACTTGGCAACATGTACATGTACGCAGACCTGGCAAAACCCTTTCCCTTCTGGGTCACTGTCAAATTCCCTGAGTTTTCCCTGATTTTTTGGGGTGTTTCTCCCAAATTCCTTGAGTTTTCCCCGACTGGAAAAATGGAAACTCATTTTCAAGAATTTGCCTGATTTCCAGAGTGGCTGGGAACCCTGACCATGTGTTCACTCGATGAATGGCTCAGCCAAACAGTAGCCACGTGTCAATTCAAACATTTAATGACAATGGTTCAAAATCTCTTCAGATTTATGTATATTGTGACAGAGGATGGATCTTGTGTGTGAGAATTGTTCACACATCTAGTTAAAACTGTACTTTTAAGATCAAACCATGTTACTTACGCATATTTATAGTACACTCTGGTCATGTGACCGAATCTTTCATGGCCGGCGATATCCCTGTTGTTTGCATAAAAAACAAATGAAAGTTGCTTTAGAGAACTGAAACCAAAAAAACCATGCATGGGAAAATTACGCTATGAACAGTTATGAAGTTGGGCAGAACTGTTATCAGAGAACTCAAAATACAAACTTTTAAGGCTTCTTAAAAAATATTTTTAGAAACCAAATTGAAAAAAATATATAAACATGTACTACATAGCTATACTGCAACAGTTATTTTCCTAAGTTTTCTTGATTTTCATCCTTCTTGTTATCTATAATATTTTACATATTCACCCCAACAGTCCTGAATCCTCCAAGTTTCATTCAATTTTTCTAACACCCTAGGGAGTTATATCAATGAGCTCCGTCAATATGAAAGAAGTATTATTTGATGATTCTTATGACAGGCATGCAACTGGGAAGTCACAAAAAATAGGAAAATCAAATCTTTCCAAGACTTTTGTACAGTATTTTTCTATTTTCAATGGCACACATGGGAAGTAAAAAAAGAGGAAATCAGCTGATCCGAGGAAAAGTTGCGTGCCTGTTATGATTTATATTTCCCAAATCAATCAATAGATTTATTGACTTACCATAGCTGTAGGTTGACTCGTCTCGTATTGTCCCAGTCGATGGGTTTGCTTTATACACAACTAAACCAATAAATTGTCGACCATTGACTTACCATAGCTGTAGGTTGACTCGTCTCGTATTGTCCCAGTCGATGGGTTTCAAAGCAAAGTCAACACCAATCGTAAGCTTGTAGTTTGGTGAAAACTTATCTATATCAGAAAAAAAATCAAATCATGAAAGGCACAATCAGACCATAACTCAAGACCAAATTTTTTTTGAACCGCCGCGTCAGAAGTAAACAACTGGGGTTTTTCGTCTTTTCTCAGGAACAGTGCGACATTAGGTTAGTTTCCTTTCAACCAGACCTTTGAAATAGGATAAGTAAAGTATCCAAAACATTAAATGGTTGGGGATTTCATGCAGTAATGCCCCTTTAAAGCCACACCAGTCAAACTTGAGTGGATCTCACCTATTTTAATAAAAAAAAAAAAAATACTCCAATTATCTTTTTGTAAGCTTTGTTTTTTTCCCAGCAAAAAAGTAAATATGATATGAATATAAGGATTTTCCATTTTTCCCTCCCTCAAGGATAAAATCTTGTAACAGACCTAGAATTATTAACCTCTTCAACACACCTCAGAGTTGAGCACATAATGACATAAACTGGCACAGGAAATGTTTATGAACAGTTGCAGGTACCATGACTTTTAAGGCAAATATTGGTTGAGGGGTTTATTCCTTTACGATGAAAAGAGAATCGATAAAATCTACTCCTAGATTTAAAAAACTGACTAATTCAGGATTGTAGTGTAAAGTAACGAATAATTTATATTATATACTGCCTGAACAAATCCCCATCATCTGATTGGTGAGTCATTGATCACACTACCGCACGAAAAATATAACAGTTCCATTCCACGGGAAATGGAAGTTCCATTGCACAGTCACAATTTGGGCAGTTCTGACCAATCAGATGACATGGATTTATTCAGGTGTTGTACAAAACAAATAATGAATGTTTCATATTCGTGCAATGGTAAGAATAATTTCATTCTCCATTCCATCTGTCACCTCAAGCAATAAATTCTTACCATTGCACTCATAAACATTCTTTATTTGTATACTACGCTTCATGTCCCAATGATATCAAGTGCAGAAAAAAAATGTGCCACTGAGCTACAGATACGGAGGACGCAAAGCGGACAGCTACAATGTACTTCTCTGCTGTCAGAAAATCATATGTCCACTTTTCATTTTCAAATGATGGATAGAGTTTTGCTTTCAATTTAGGAAACTTCAAAGCAAAAGTGCCCCGGCAGTAAGGTTTATACAAGAAACAAAGAGTCATGAAATATATTTCTCTACTGCGTAAGCAAAGAAAGAACTGCAGCTATGCATACAATTGACTGAATATTTCAAAACAAACAGCCTTGTATGTGGTCTTCATGGATATGAATATGTCTCTAAAGGACGGACAGAAAAACTGCCAATGCTGAAAGAATTACTTGAGTCATTATGAAGGAATGAAAACTAATGTTGAAACTGTTTGTTTGTCTTACCTTCTGTGTATCTTCTAATGATCGATGTCTGGAAAAGAGAGAAAAACAAGTACATCTTTACTGTTGAAATTATTTAACTTTGTCTCAAGTTCGTATCACACGGACAGGGCACATGGTGCATGGTTTTCATGAGGTAGATGATCTGAGATGCACATGGGTGTCGCCAGACCAATTTGAATGTGAAGGGGGGGGGGGGGTTCCGAAAGACCATCCATGCTGGAAGTTGGAAGGTAGCCAGGATTTTTTTGTCATTCACCCAGAAAAATCAAAAAGTGGGGGCTGGGAGCTGGACACCATCTGACTACTAGGGGTGCTGTTCAAAGCGGATGATCCTGAACACTATACATGTAATAATTCCACAAAAGTTGCGGCAAAAATTACACCGATAGGGTTATTTTGTCTCATAGAAACTCTGCATTACTCCAGGGAATCTAACAGGGAAACCATCAGTCATTGACCTATCGCCGTTTGTGAGTTAGCCACGCCCCTTAGACAACCCTATGGAGTTTTTGTACACAAGTTTTGCTTGTCTCAGACTTTGCGTGTTCCGCGTCCATTTGTATATCATGTAATTGGACAATATTTATTTCACAAGGTGCGTTGACGCTATTCTAACGCGATTCTACCGCGATAGGTCAATTGCTTGACTGAACAGGACTGTTCCCGCAACAGAGAACACAGATATTGCTGACTGAGATACAATCAGAATATTGGGGGAATTTTCCCATGAACTTTTAAAATTATTATTGAGATGCCTCATATGCAGTAAAAGGCTAAACATTAAAAAGTCAAAGTCATGCGGGTTGTCAAAGAACACAGGAACACAAAGAACACAGACAGCAAATAAAACATTTAATCTCGAGAGTACATACAGTATTCAGGTCATCTGAGCTCCGACATCTGACCTCCAACCCACTGTATCCTCATTATTATATTAGCTGCATCTTAACTGCAGTAGTTGGCTACGGCTGGATATAACACACGGGTTTATGGGAAGTGGCTGTAGCCGCTTCTATAGGCGCGTGTGTAATTTCTAGCCGTAGCCAAGTAATTTAGACATGGCTATATTCACACTTCCTTGGCACTGCTGTCCTGATTCAATGAAGTCACACACATACAGGATTTCAGGTTTGAAGTCTACATACCTTGCCTGCAGCAAAATAAGAAACAAAGAAAAACATCTTACGTAAAAAACTCGGGGCAAAAATGGAATCGAACTTATTGTTAATTGCAAAACTGATTTACCAACTTCACACCTCTCAAAACCAATGAAAAGCTCCAGTAAATGTATTTAACAATCTAAATCCAAAAGGAATCCTGTCAGAGGAAAAGAATAAAAAATAAAACCATCTTAAAAAGATGCCATGCTCTAGGAAAATGCTTTTCTTTTAAATCTGTAGATCTGTGACTGTGTAGATCAACCACAGCAGAACAGATTATTCATGCTATGCCATATTTTTGCTCAATACATTTGCACAACCCAAACAAACACTTTTTCCATAAGATTTTTGTAACTGGCACTGATTGGCATATAAATGTGAATGGCACATCAGGATTTCTGTGTCAGCCCAAATCCAACAAACTAGCAGAGTTGCATACACGGGTCAAGTCTATCTCAACTTTCAAAAGTCAAATTATTAAATTGCACTGTAAATGATGAGCAATGAAAATGGAAAGCATTTGTCCAACTTTAATAGGATCGCATCTCACTTGAAATGAGACTGGACGACTTGTGCTGGGCTTGCGCGTGACTTGCGATTGACTTGCGCGCGACTTGCAATTGACTTGCGCTTGGCTTGTGAATGACTTGCGATTGACTAGTGCTCGACTTGTGCTTGACTTGACTTGCCTTGCGATTGACTTTTTGATTTACTTGTGCTTGAGTTGCGCTTGACTAGCGATTGACTTGCAATTGACTTGCAATTGACTTGTGATGGACTTGTGATTGACTTGTGACCGACTTGTGACTGACTTGTGATTGACTTGTGACTGACTTGCGATTGTCTTGTGACTGACTTTTGACAACAATTCTGCAAACACGAAGAAAGACTTTCGAAGACACACTTACCAACTCCAAACTCTCCAATAACTAGCACCTTGTACAGATGTTCAGTCACATGTTTCTCTGATGACGACATGGTGAAAGGCAATCAACTACTTTTACTGCTCATCCTTGTAGTGGAATAGTTTGATGTGTCAAGTTTCTTAATCTCAATTCAATACATATTCCGAGACCATCAGAAACATTCAAGGTCCTTCATTCCATTCCATGTGAAAGAAACTGCATTCAAACGAAATCAAGACAAACATGAATCAAATAATACTTAAGGCCAGTCAACTTATGTAGTGGCTATTGTTACGATGTCGTAACGCAAATTTCAAATACTTTTGCTACAGTGTTGTAAAAACACGATGCAAACGCATATCAGATTTAATTAAAACTGCCCATCGGCCCCATCCATCCAGAAAGCTTCCCTAGCTTGATTTGAACAGACGTTAGCTCCATGAGCTGGGGACCCTGGTTCGAACCTCTGCTGCTCTACTCAAAGGGAAATAAAGTTCAAGAGCCATACTAGCCTGGTACCAACAGCCAAGGATCATGACGTTGAATACTATTATTACGTCAATAGCAGTTGACAGTCGCGTTACAGCTGCTGTAACAATAGCCACGGTGTTCAAATTAAACATTTTCCAAATAGCTTACAAATATTGATGGCAATTTTGTGGTAAATTTGTCACACCCCAATTATCGCATTGTCCCAATAACAGTTAGGATCGTATATTGTTTGGGACTTTCCCAATTACAGTTGGGATGGTCTGGCCTACTTATACAATAAGAAGATACCCCATCAAATTCTAGAAGTAGGACTGGCCCAACTACGTGTATAGTTGCGACTAGCCCTAGTCTATGGCCTCGCACTGGAGTAGTCTACTCCATCTACATTCTACATCTACGCCGGTACTCAGCAAAGAAAGCTGCAAAAGAAAATGTAAGTGCGAGTAAAAACTCCAATCTTGGAGCTAGTTGACAGAGATGTGTGCCCTGAATACGTCCACTAATGGAGCTGTGATGACATCTCCATGAAGGGCATTCCAGAGCTGGACTGCTGTAGGCATGAAGGAGAAGGAGTACCGGATGGTACATGTAGTTTTTAGTCTGGTATCTGTCATCATGGGGGTCAGGAACTGATCTTTGTTAATTGCAATGAGGTTGTGCCAGGATATCTTGTATAGTATGGTTTTGATGGCTGCTTCCCTTCTGGATTGAAGAAGCCCACTGCATGCTTTGCAGCATTGCACTCACACGTTCGGTATGTTGGTAGATGTTCTGCACCAATCCAGCTGCTCTCTTCCGGATGGCTTCTACCTGGTTGAAAGTGCCCACAACCAATTCGCCCACAACCACTTCGCCCATTTGCCACTTCGCCCATTTGCCACTTCGCCCATTTACCACTTCGCCCACTTGCCAATTTGCCACTTCGCCCATTTACCACTTCGCCCATTTACCACTTAGCCCACCCCTTGTTCGTACGTACATGTACGTACATTTACGTACGTGCATATGAACAGGGATAATTCAAGTTCAATGATTTATATATGGGACAAGTATTTTTGAGTTTGACAACTTGGAAATTCGTTTTCAGAACTGGATTAATTATTACATCATTCAAATTGTTTAACTTCCAGTTTTAAATATTTATAATGTGATGTTCAGAGCAATCTCATCTGTTAAAAAAAATAATACAATTATTTTAAAGAAAACACTTTTTTGCGAGAAGTTTCATCTTGCTTGAAATAACATCGAATCATACTAATTCAAGCCCCAAACAGTGTAAACTCAACAAAGTTCAGGGCCAAATAACATGCAAGCCAACAGATCACTGGGGTTTCTCAAACAAAAATTAAGTTGTCTTTCATCTTTTCATTTCTTTTCAATTTTAGGTAGATTAGCCAATTACATTTTTAAATATTCACACCCAAACAGAATCACCTCACGAAAAGTGACAGTTCCCAAGCCTGCATTTAGCCATTTTACAAGTGGCATCCTTCCACTTTCACAGGCAAATACAGTCGTTTTCCTAGTTCCGGATAGCAAACATCATTCAGGCTGCTTTCGGCTCAACTACTCCACGAATTCAAGTGAAATTGATTAAAAAGTTTACCTTGAGTGATGGAGAGACCAAAAAAACAATTTTCAAAATTTAAGCTCTTTTTATTTTGATTTTACGACGTCAAAAGTACCGATGTCACTTTTCCTAGTTCCGGATTGGTTCAATCAGTTTCGAATCGTTCAAAACTGCTTCACGCGAAAAAAAAAAAATCACACGATATTTTTTTTTTCAGCCAGAACCAACCGAATCAAGCATATTTCATTATTATTTATTAAGTATATTTTCCAAAAACAGTTCATTCAAAAGAATTCCAGCAAATTTTAAAAAGAGAAAAAAACGTAAATGATATTGAAACTTTTTTCTGCAGCGCAATGGCTCGAACTCACGCACGGACCGAAAATCTTTGACCCAGCACAGAAAACGTCACACAAAACCGAATAACGTGCGTGTAGTTGGGTCATAAGTGCACGCGCTATCCGGAACTAGGCAAAAACATACGGTCATTCGTTGGCAAATTTTCAAAAATTTGAGACTTTACAACTTATTTTGATTCAACAAGTGGCAAATGGGCAGGTGGTCAATAAGTGGGCGAAGTGGTAAATGGGCGAAGTGGCAAATGGGCGAAGTGGTTGTGGGCGAATTGGTTGTGGGCGAAGTGGAAAATTGGCGAAGTGACTGTAAACCCGCCAGGTTGCAATTTTTTTTCCCAACTTAATAAACAACATGTCAAAAAGTTGTATTTCTGTCCGATTTATAAAAGTAAACACTGATCAAAATCTTTAACGAAGTGGCTATCGTTACGGCACTCGTTGTTTAGCGCCCTCTACGATTTTTTTTGATACGCACGCAGGTATATAATTATTTGTTTCCCCACGTTTTATCGAGCAGTGCGCCAGCTCAGCCGATAGAGGGTAGGATTTTGCACCGCGAGGTTGCGGGTTCGAATTTCAGTTTTGCACTCGAATTTTTTTCCTTTTCTAACCTGAGGCTTTGGAGGATTTTTTTTAAAAGGGAAATAAAGTCCGAATTTCATAAAGTTCAATTCACTTTTTTCCTTCTAATTTTATATTTTCTTGTCATGTTTTTTTTATAAAAGTTGCCAGGTTGCAGTCTACCGTAACGATAGAAAATGGGAAATGCGTTACGGCTGCCGTAACAATAGCCACTGCGAATCTTTAAACTTAGTTTTGTTGGAAAGAATGTTGTATCCTGTCGCCACTTTTTCCATCATATCAGGCTGAAGTCAGTCATTGCAAAAATGTTGAAAAGACATGATGAGACTGAGAAACATTTCCAATTTTGTTAGTAAATAGGCGCGCGCATTGAGGAAGAAATCGCGCGCGCCCCCTAAAATGTTTTTGACTCTCATGACTCTCCATAGACTTTGTACACAACCGCTGACTGAGTGACGATGGAGTGGTGTCAGGAATTCCTTTAACTTTTCATTTACAACAATTGTAAAGCCTTAAAACCAAACTTACATAATTGAGCAAGTAGGTTCTTCAGTTATACCTCGAACTTAAGATCATACCGCGTGACTTTTCCGTAGTTCCAAATCCAAGGCCAAATTATAAAGACAAACCGATCAGCAGACGTGTAGGCCTACGTGTAAATTGCACGGATATACGGCTCTCGTGCATATGTGTGTGGTATCTGAACTAACGTGTAATATATAAGTTACTTGAATTCAACAAAGTGAAGGTACCTGACTATGAAATGTTTTAAAGGGGTGTGTACGTGTGAGCTTTCCTACCTCAATGGTGTGAGATTGCGTTTTGTACTTTCTGCATCATTTTTTTCCTCTAATGCTCAGCAATATGTTTTGATCTGATCATTCATCAATAAAACATTGTAATCTTGATTCGAATAATTTTAAATTTCGAATTAAAAATGTTTTTCAAACAACGAAAAATAATATTGTTGATGTACCCATGGAGCTATTCCATGATGTACCCTAACGTGGCGCGGCCCCTAACGTGGCGCACTTTGATTTTTCGCCTGTAGCGCCTAGCTAGAGCAAAAGTTTTAACTGAAATTTCACAGAAAGTGAACTTTCATCAAGTTATAAACACTCCCGTTCATAAATCGCGAGTTTATTTACCCGCTACAAAGTTAAAAGAAAAAATTATTTTGGCGTGATTTTCCGATTTTATTTTCAAGTGCAAAGTGAACCCTTTGAAAATGCCCCGAAAAATAAGAAAATAATTTTGTGACAAACATCTGGCTGGGTATGTAAGTAGAGATAATAATGATTTATCAGAATTTATCAAGTTTTCAGAAATTCTTAAATGTTCATTTGGAATTTTCCGAGATTTATTTAAGTGCGCCACGTTAGGGAACACTCCGCCAAATTGTGCCCAATTTCCGGACGCCACCGTTTTTTAATTTCGGCTTAAATTTTATGAAACTGAAATTGTTCACAGAGGTTAAACAGCAAGCATTAATAAGGTAAAAGTACCAGTATTTCACTGCATGAATTTGAGGTTTGTCAACAAAGAAGTTTGGCAACACTACACGAGGAAATTTGGGTAAGCTTCGAAGTGCGCCACGTTAGGGAACACAAGTTCCAAGTAAAGGTAATCAAACTTTTAGGCCGCTCCATAGCAAAGATTCTAGAGCGCGCGTAGCGCCGCTACGCGGCGCTATACCATCTTTGCTCCATAGCAATGTCACGCCCCAACTATCGCATCGGTCCCAACTATAGTTGGGCCTGTCCCAACTATAGTTGGGCCTGTCCCAACTGTAGTTCCACAGTTGGGCTGGCCCAACTATAGTTGGGCCTGTCCCAACTATAGTTGGGACGGTCCCAACTGTAAGTTCCACTGTTGGGCTGGCCCATCTATAGTTGGGCCACTCCGATCTTTTTATTTTGCGGTGTCCCAACTATAGTTTACATTGATGTACAACTGTAAAACGTTCCCTACAGCTCTGATACACGTCTGACTTTACTGGGGACCACTGAAATTAGTTATTGATGGGGCGAATCTATAGTTGGGCCACTCCAATCTTTTTATTTTGCGGTCCCAACTATAGTGTACATTGTTGTACGATTATAAAACATTCCCTACAACTCTAATACACATCTGACTTTACTTGGGACCAATGAAATTATCTATGGTGGGGACCATCTGTAGTTGGGCCACTGCAATATTTTTATTTGGCGGTCCCAACTATAGTTTACATTGATGTACGACGACTTTAAAACATTCCCTACAGCTCTGTTACATACTGTCCGACTTTACTTGGGACCTTTGACATTAGCTATGGGTGGGGCCCATCTATAGTTGGCCGGCCATGGCAATCTTTGAATTTTGCAAAATGTTGCTGGACAATCAACCCAGCAGCTGGACAACTCATCCAACTAGGCAGTACCACGTGACCGGCCAGCCTTGCGGCATGCATGCACGACGAATACACGGTGCCAGCGCCGCGGAACATTTAATCCAACAAGATCTATCAAGCATGAAGCATCCGGCGCAACTCCAGTCCTAACTATAGTTGGGCCGACCCAACTGCCGCACTATAGTTGGGACAGTCCCAACTATAGTTGGGACCGATGCGATAGTTGGGGCGTGACATCAACATTAGGGGCGATTACAAAAACCACTCAAATCGTTTATACCAAGGGTCCTAGAAAAAAATGCTATCTTTGCATAGGAACAATATTTAAGTTAAGATGCCTTGTTAATACATTTGACAGCCTTTGTCTCTCATTTATGGATTTTGGAAATCACATGAATTGCAGATTATTCCAATTTGCGGAGCATGAATTTATATATATACACCCCTATAGACCGCTTGCAGACGCGATCGATAATTGACGCGCGAAGGTGCGCGACGCCATGTTGTGGGACAAAATGTGCATGGATAGATATACGCTTGTCCCACAACATGGCGTCGCGCGCCTTCGCGCGTCGATTATCGAATGCATCTGCAAGCGGTCTATTCTTCTGAAATGGGTTTACCTTAATAATCATGGCGGCCTTCTTGGTAAGTTAACTTCAAATTTCGGCGGGGAACGAAAGTGAAATAGACCTAAATCAACTATGTAGTATGTATAATCACATAATAGATACGATAGCCGAATGTGATTCAGTTGAAAACTGGTACAAAAGCAAAATATCCCAGTGGAATTTGGAAATCAATTGAATAACTTTACGTTTTCATGATCATGATGATTAGCTAGCGTATTGTTGTGCATGTGGGGTGGCGTCCGGAAATTGGGCACAAAGTCAAACGCTATCGCCAATGATTTAATCAAAAAATCTCCAAGTTAACCTTTATTAAATAAACCTGTAACTTTGTGTAAGGTTATTTTTTTAAGTTGGCAAATTATTATTTAACAATCTCCATTCAGTTATCCAGCTAAGTAGGACTAATAAAAATTGATTTACAATCCTGACAATAATTAATGATCTGTTTCCCCTTCCGGCTCCCCCCCCCCTCCCCCCCCCCCCCCCCCCCCCCCCCCCCCCCCCCCCATTCTGGGTAGCCTTAGCAGGCGCGGTTCTAGAACCAATATTTTTGGGGGGCTAGCACGGTGGATCCAGAATTTTTTCAGGGAGGCGTGCTGAAATGTTGACCGGTTATTTTTTCCAGACACTTAGGCCTCCGAAAATCAATAGGGGGGGGGGGGGGCTCATGCCATATTTCCAATGGGGACCGCCAATAAAATCCTAAAATCATTCACACTATATTAACTAATGCACCCTTGTCACGGCTATTTCTTCTTTAGGGGGAGACCGTTCGCATATAGGCCTATTCCTTCTTTTTGCTATATGCAATTTTTTTTTTTACAGAATTTATTTGGGGGGGGCTAGACAAAATTTGGGGGGGGGGGGCTACAGAACCGCGCCTGAGCCTTAGTCCGAGTAACTAGGACTCTACGGATCGCTTTTTTAACATTTGGACATGGTCGGGCGATAGTATTGCCAGACCATGTCCGAATGTTAAAAAATGCGATAAGTTGGGTCCAAGTTACTCGGACTCCCCTCCCCCCCCCCCCCCCCACTTGGGGGCTTCCCCCCCCCCCCCCCCCCCCCCCCCCGACCTGTGAATGTGGCGTTGTAAACAATGCCACACTCTGTTGTCACATAAAACACTCAAATTTATCATGCGGCATGTCATTTCACCAATATTTTTTATGTTTTAAGTGCTTACTTATCATGCTTATAAATTGAACTTGAAGTGAGTGCAGGATGTTGCATTGGCAAGAAATTTGAGGTGGAAAAAACGACCTCGACAAGACAACAAACGTATGAGCTGAACTTTTAATTTTAATCTGAGGTCAAGCACAATAGTAGGCCTACGCTAGTACTCCGAGTCCAGACTGGGACCTTAAGTGCTCAAAACGATGCAAAATAAGATCAGGCCAACTTTACTCACTCTTTAGCCAGCAAATTTCTTCAAAACTTTCAATTTGCAAAGAAAAGTTCCTCAGTATTCCAGTGTCCTTGTATTGTTCATGCCCTGTTACTTTTGAACGGAGTTATGAATAGATTTCTGATTAACTTGTGGCCCGCCTTGTGATGGACTCGGCAACATTGATAACAAGCAAGACATACGGATTTAGCATCGATCAGACATATTCAACAAAAAATGATGGAGCCTCATTCTGTTTTCTTCACCATAATGCAGAAAAGGCTCTTCACTGAGGGGAAACGCACTACACATACTGGGCACTGGTCCTATCCAACTGTGCGACATCTCTGGGGAATGTTAAATGCTGTATTCAACAAGTATGTTCATTTCTAATTATTGACGAGTACCATAGAATTAAATCAAATTGGGTTTTGTCCTTCACTGATGGATGAACACTGTATACTCAGTATTTTACCTCCCAAGTGAAAGTTGGAAAAAAATCACTTGGCTGGGACTTTCACTCTGGAGGTAAAACACTGAGTATATAGAGTTTTACGTCGGTGAAGGGCAAAACCTAATTTGATTTACATCACCTGACACAAAAAAAATCCATCTTATGAATACCATAGAATAAAAAACAAATTGATTCATCACTGTATACTTATTTGGAATAATTTTTTAGCAGTCTTTCAGAAGGCTGTGTGAAATAAGTGATGTGTTCAGCTAAGAACTTACTTCTCTGGGTGAATGGCAAATTTTTTGTCCCCCCCCCCCCCCAATATTATGGGGGCAAAATTATCCCTGTAAAGCTTGTGATGTCACAAAGGTAAAAACGGAAATTGCCTGTTAAAGCTGTGGATTATGAATTTCTTGATCTGATACAGCTCTACAAATCATCCAAAAAAAAAACACATATAGAGGTATATTTAAGATCACAACTCTTGCAAAAACTAAAAAGTTTCCCAAAAACCTTCCCACATTGTTTTTGGTCTTAATACATTTTTCGATCTGCCCAGAAGAGTCAGATTTTGACAGTAAACATGCAAGAGTTGTAAGTGATTCGGTCACAAGTCACCATAAGTCTTCAAAAGTCCTCAAATTCAGTTTACTTTCTTTTCAAATCAACTGTTACTTGGACATTCCTTTGTCATTGTTCATCGCCTGTTGTGGTTGACTCGATTCCAACTCTGTCACATGTTTTTATTAGATTTGTGTTGTATGAACCAGTCAATTTGTTTTTGTTGCTTCTTTCTTCTCTAGGGTCGACTATGCAAGAATCAAGGAGATAGGACCTGACCAGGCTGCGGCAGAATGGCTGGTTCGATGCGGAGCCGCCGTCAAATTCAAGAAAGTGAAGGATTGGGACACTGACTACAACCTCCTTCCCAGGGGCCCAAGCGGAAGGTTCTTTATTGAAGAGGTTGACGCCACCGACTCCTGTATCATGAACATTGGTTTTGATTATTTCAGTAAGTGCGTTTTCAAGTGCTAAACGTGGAAATTTTTTACCATCACGCTAGTTAAAATAACCTATAGTACAAGCCTCAGGTAACCAGTGGAGAGAAAATGTTTTTAAAAATAAACGGTAGAAATTGTTGGGTTTTTTTAAAGAAGTTTTGCAAAATTTACTCCAATCTAAAAGTATCTGGAGTAAAGCAGCGTGGAAACTCATTATTTCAACATTGGTGGATCTGCAAATGGGGGGTGTTCAACCCCCCTTCCTTGATGTGTTGTGGGAGAGAGTTCCAGAGAGTAGTGGATGAGTGTGTGAAGGATCGATGTCCATACCTTTTGGTGTGAATGACAGGAGTCTTTAGCAACAGTGCTGAGCTAGAGCAGAGGGTGCGTGGTGGTTGATAGGGTTGAAGGAGCGCGCGAAGGTATGATGGTGACGAGCCGTCGATGCATTTGTATGTAATGAGTTTTGAAGATGATGCGCTTATTGACAGGTTACCAGTGGAGATCATTCCATTCTTTTTCCACAGTTGGTCTGGACCACCTGCGTTCACTAAAGTTACACCACTGTACTTACCTTCGGGACACTTGTGTCTCCAGACTGGACATCCTGAAAGACTCCCTGGAGGAGATACAGTTGAGCAGTTGCGGAGATATTTCAGATGCTGGGCTTGTGTCACTTCACAAGTTACAGTAAGCTTGTTTCATATGTTAATACTGACTGGATATAGAGAATTGATATTTCAAGGTTTAAATCTTGTACGCTACTTTTCAGGTTAAGATGTTGATGCAAGATAATTTTAGAATTGATCTTGTACTAGACGTGAATGAAAAGGAGTAGTTTTTCAGTAGGTTTTAGGAATCCAAGTTGCCCTTCTAAAATTTAATGCTGCCATGCTGAGGTTTAGCTGCTTTGGTAAAATGTTTATCATTGTGCCATTTTTCCACCGTCCACTACAAAACTGTAGTTAGGCCAAGTAAAAAAAAACACTCCCTCTGTAGAATTGTCCCTTCGGTGCTCGCAAGTCGCATCCTTTACTTTTGCCAGCTATGCCGCCCTGCTATTTTTTCTGCATGGAGAAAATTAAAAAGTATACAAAGTATACAAAGTAGCAAATCAACTCAAGTTTAAATTCCCAAATAAGCTGGTTTTCAGTATTTCCTCCAACCAAATTTAATCGAATGATAATCTATAAGAAACTGTTAATTATAAAAAAATTAAATTGATTAATATAATTGAGACGCTGTGCTATTTTCCATTCCAAATTCCCTACAGCAAGCTCAAACACCTCTTCTTGTGCGACCTACCAGCCGTCAAAGACATAGACAGTGTACTGAAAACCCTTGGCACTGCTTTGCCCTCGTGTGAGATCAGGTACCTGTCCCTGGAAGGACGCAAGGATCTCAAGAAGCTGGGCATCGACAAAGAATTCTTCTCCTGAGCATGTGAAATCCTGTATGGACCCCCATGCACAAGCACCCCTCAATGGTTAGAGTTGGGGGAGACCACTGGAAGGGACATTTGAACACATTGTTGACAGTGCCTGACGCTTATTACGCAAATAGGTTTGTGCAGATTCAGAATGAAATAAGTCATGCGTATTTTGCGCTACGCATTCGCGGACCAGTGCGTGCATGCGATGTGTCCCTCCCACTAGGGCTGTTGAATGTGATCAAAGCACCATCTACTGATTGTGCATGAAGTCTTCTTTAGGGTTCGTTCGAGTAGCTCACCCAGATTGACTCGGGCAAAAGGCAGGCCATCGCGCTCCTCACGTGACGCCCGTAGCCGCGGCCATAGCCACTGACAAAATTTTCGGATTGGGTCTTAGTTTGAGATTTACTGTTTTTCAGTCAGTTGCAAAACTCAAAAATGTTGGGCTGGAATGATAGCCTCAAAAGTCGCAATGAACTCAATAAATAATTACCTTTAGATTTCAAATAGGTTAATTTTTAAGTCCACTTGAGAATTCCGCTGTCCGGCCGCCATATTTGTCCGTTTCTTGGAAAGAACAACGCATGCGTGTGACGTATTTCCACCACTGACTCTGCAGCACGACCAGGGTCTGTGGTGGCTGACCCGGTTGAGCCCCGAGAATGACATCAGAGCTAATCAAATGGCATGGGGCTGACCCGTGTCGAGTCGACCCAGGTGAGCTCAACGAGCACGCCCTACGAGTATGCCTGTGGTGTTGGATCCCTGCCAAACACATTAGTGTTTGATCTGAACTGGAAGATTTGGTAGGAGGATTTTTGCCGTCAAAGCTGCTATTGGCTGTGCATTCCTGTTAAAACTTTGTCACTGTAAGCACTCCATGCCATTCACACTCGTGGACTAGTGCAAGCACTTGTTGTTTCATCGGGTAAAATTTCAGTTGTACATCATATACTTTTTCAAAACTATTTACAATATTTGTCTGACAGAGACTTACAGGTTTGGACTGCAGGTGCATGCTGATGAAAGAATTAGGAAAAACTATCGATAGATTCTGGCAGTTAATTTTGACAGAGTTGTGACTACTCTTTGAGAAGGCCACACTGCGCCATCTGTCACTTCCTCATACAGATTGTCTAGGTACCTCAGGTTTTCGCTGGTACCAGAAAGCTAGCCTAGTGTCCTCTTTGTACCTATCTCTCTGACTGTCACTTGTGATCAGGGCAGTGCTGTTGTCGTTTAGGATTACCCCATAACGCCAACGAATGGGCTAAATCCAGCCCATTGCATAGACCAGATGCATGAAAAGACTTCCAGTTAAAAAAACATTCTGAGTCAATTGACTAGAATTTTGAGCACTCTGGGATCAGCTTGCTTACCTGTCTTTTTTATACAATGGGGGGGGGGGGTGAGACTTTTATATAACACTGTTTTATAACACAATATAGGCCTCAATTCAGCGATTTACGATTTCGGATCTGTGCTAAGAATGAGGTAACCTTTTAGGGGGCGGAGTAAACAATATAGGGGAGGGTTTTTTATAACACAATGTAGGCCTCAAATCAGCGATTCTGGATTTTGGATCTGTGGCTAGAATGAGGTAACCATTTAGGGGGCGGAGTAAACAATATAGGGGAGGGGCTGTTTCCCTCTTATGTGCTGTAACAGAATGCTTGCCTTGTTGTTAAACAGATGGTCCATTCATATTCCGTGTGCAGACTGTCCCTGGAACGTAAACAGATGGCTTATTGCAATCAGTATTGATTACACTACAGCCAGCAGGTAATTGCTCATTTAATATTGTGTACATGTAGATGAAAGTTCATAAAGAGGTGTGGTAACAAAAGTGAGTGCAATGCACTTGCAGTAGCGGCGATATCTTGTCAAAATTTGGGGAGTGGACACTTGCTTGGATAATTTTGAAGGGGGGGGGAGAAGTGTCAGAATACATATATCAGTTTCTTAGCAATATTACAGTGGAATTAATATTTTGAAGAAGGTAAAAAAAAAACAATTCTGTATACACTGGAACAACTTTTTGGTGGGACATCACCCTTGGAGTCCCCGTCCCCCAAAAAAATATGGGGGGGGGGGGAGATGTTTCCCCACCCCCTTGTGCACGGGGTAAAACTACGACAGTTACACTGCATTTGCCAATCATTACAATGTGCAATCTCTGAATTGAATAAAGTTATGACTTTTGTAAATTGACACATAGAATCAGAATTTCTTCTGTAAATATATACCTTGAATGGCAGTGTACAAATGTTATATTAACTTGGTCAAAGAATTTACTTGGGCCTGTTAAAATTTCAGGAATGCTGTATTTTAGTATTTAGTACAATAATTGCAATTTTCATTTGTAAGGCAAACTTGGTTAGAAAAGCAAACGGCCGACAGTGTTATCCAATTTAATCTCCATCAAAAATCAAAAACTGTTTAAAAAAAGGAACCTGTCTAACAAACTTTCTGTTTTATTTTTGGTTTATTTTGCAAGCAGAAGTACATGCCAACTTGCCAATAGTAAACTAGAAAGCATTCAAATTTTACTAGTGTAACCCTCAGTAAATTTACTCTCAGCTCTTATTTTGTACAAAAATATTTTTCTATAATTCAACAGCTGTAACAGAAATATACAATGGAAACACGTATCATCTTTCAATGAGGAAAATAATCCATGAACTTGATACATAAATTGGATGTTAATGTAATCGATGGTAAACAATTGCTTCCAATTATTTCACAAACGGAATAAAAAGTGCTTTCATATCTCTGCTGGTCCCAGAGGGCCAGCCTAGTGTCCTTTTTGCACCTATCACACTGACTGACTGACTATGAGCCGGGCAGTGTTGTTGTATAGGGCTACCCCATGACATTAATGAATGGGCTAAATCTTGCCCATTGTGTAGACCGGATGCATGAAGACTTCCAGTGAATAGCCAGAAAAAAAATGTTGCAACCTGACGCCACTTTTTCTTCATATATCATCTCAATGAAGGTCAGTCATTGCAAAAATGATGATAAGACATGAATCTGGGACCGAGAAACATTTCCAATTTTCTTGACTCTCCAAAGACTTTGTACACAACCGCTGAAGCGGCCTCAGGTTGCAACATTTTTTTTTCCAATGGCCATTCTGTATCGTAATTCTGAAGATAATTTTGTGCTCTGGGACCAGCTCTACTACACTTGTCTTGTTTCTTGGCTAGAGCTTGGAGAATGGTACGTGTTCGGCACAAACTTATATTTATGCATACTGTTGGCCTGTTTATGTAATTAGTCTAATATGAATTTTGGGCATGTTGGAATATCAGCTTGTCTTTGGGTATTACATGTCTCAATTATGCAAACATATTTAAATAAAGCATATTTGGTTTCTCTTTCCAGACCAGTAAAATAAACATCCTAAACACGGATGGTTTGGCTAAGGTATGGTGTATGCATGAGCCGATCTGTACACACTGTGAATAATAATGAACAAGTATCTTGTTGCATCAAAACTGCTTTGATAAAATTAAATATTATTTGTATGTCCATTTTGTGCAGTCTTTTCAATAGCTTTCAATTTGCAACCTGACAGCTGGGCAATGCACTCCCACACAATTTATTGAAAATAAATTATGTGAATAATAAAAGGATTGTCAGAAGTGAATGTCTCTTAATCCTAATTACCTTTCATCAAACAAAATCTTCCAACTTTTTTTTTACAGGATTGTCAATGAATTCAACTACATAGAGCCCGTTTCAAGTTGGGCATGATGTCCCGATTTTGTTTAAATGCAACATGTTGGATTATGTACATAAAGTGTTTGATTATGCCAAAAAAAAAAAACCAGGGATTTAGGTTTGAACATTGGAACATCAAATGGCACTGAAATCATAATATTTTCCATATTTGCATTCAAACAAAGACACATTACAAATTAGTTTAAGTTTTAAAATGGCGGAAGTTTGATCATTACTTTTAAAGTTTAGCCAACGCATCTTTTACTGAATAATGTACATTATTTACATGGCAATGTTGCAACAAATAAGATTAGGCCCCTAAAATAAATTGCCTGATATTTAATTATTGGTAGATGTATGGATATTTATTTCACTCAAACTGTCAAATTACAACACCTCTTAACAATAACAGTACCAAAAACAAAAACAAATACCCAAATTCGGTTTTTAATAGATTCAGCAATTCAGACTCCAGCCAACATGTGCTTATTCAACAAAGCCACCCCAGCAGTCAAAATCAATCGACTAACTATTTTTAACAGTTGAGTGCTCCCTGCCTACATAAAGCAGTACAGACTGGCTATGACCTAAACTTTTGAGTGTAGGTGATCAATAAGCCAGCTGTGCCTACCAGTCACCTGCTTCTGTCTGTTGATGGAATTTGACCAGTCACAGTGCCTACAAGAAATATGATCTGACTGTTGTGTACAAGTCATGGAAGGGAAAGTGAACAGAATTTTTGATTTTCTATGACTGGTGCCTTTGGATTAAGAGACTCAATAGGACTTATTCTAATTTGAAGCAAAACTTAACCCAAAAAATTATTTTTACAAAGTGAAATAAGAAACCAAAAGCCCCAATAACTCCTCCACCACAGTCTCCAAATAATAATGAAATAGATCTAAATAAAGCTCATTAATAATTCATTATTTTAAAGTCTACACACCATTCACTGAACTGAAACTTGAGCCCTACCATAGAATATTTATAATTTCTAGAACCTAAATGCATTTTCTTTCCTTTGTTTTCTCAAAACTATATACAATTTATTTATTTACATTTTATTTATATTGTGACAGTTCCAAAAATGCAAGTACATGGTAATAAACCAAACAGGTTTCAAATAAAAATATTTGAATTGGTTCAACTTGGATGGGTTTTGTTTTGAAATGTTTAATGAAAAATTAGAACATGCATTTCATGTGCATGATCAATGGAACCAAGGGCCCAGTATGCTACTGGCTAATTTCACGGTTGTGTTCACTTTTGTTTGTTTGAATTTTTGCCTTTTCCGGCTTTTTCTGGCTTAGCAAATAATTTTGCTGAGCAGCTCCACAAGATAAGGCCCTGTTTACCAACATCATACCCATCGTTTGTGGAACTGTTCATAGCAAGTGAATATCCAAAACATGCAAATATGCAAGCAAACATGGAACGCCTACAAACCAGACCTAAGGGCAGATTTGTAATTGATTCAAGAAACCTTGCAAAAAAAAATTGTTGACACCATCCAAAATGTTGAGGAAATATTTCCATGATTATTCCAATTTGAGATGAGTTGCATGTAATGTTACATCAGTACTGTGAATTCAGTATTGGGTTTTTGCCCTTCACCAACGTATTTTTATAAACAGTATTGTACCCTAAGATACTGACGACCCATTTGCCAACTGAAATCAGTAAAATAACATTTGCTACGTGATGTTACATTTTTCAAGTTTGAACAAAGAAATTCATAGAAGAGGGATCTGAACTTGGGACTTCTGGAACAACGAACTGGTGCTCTACCAAGCAATCCTATGTTGACAGTGGTCTCCCAGTTTGTCAAGCCATGTGGCCAGTGATCATGCCCTTACAGAACTTATATGTTTTGGGCAATTCCAACATTGTCTGTTAAAAAAAGAACAGGAGTGTCATGGCCTAGCGGTTAACAGCACCGCACCGCATTCATGCTCTGGTGTTTCAGAGGCAGCAGAATGTGGGTTGGCGCCCGGGTCTGGACACTTGTGCCCTTAAGCAAGGCACTTAACCATTATTGCTTCGTCCTTTGGATGGGACGTAGCAATAAAAAGCCTTAGGTCCCGTGTGTTGTGTAATACAATGCACGTAAAAGAACCCAGTAACACTTATCGCTAAGAGAAGGGTTTGCCCAGAGTTTTTGGCCTCCTGTTAAAGAAACTCCCCTGCGGAGTATTTAGGAGAACCAACCAAGAACCAAGAGAGGACAGAGCATTTAACAAGTGAATAAACCTGAAAATGTATTTTGCAAATCTGGTACATCCATCATCTAGTAATATTCAAGGAGATTACAGACTGGTTTTGGATCATTTCTCTGAATCATTCATTAGATATCATGGTTAATTGGCTCTGTCACGGACATTACACTTCCTTTCACAATACTGGAATTGCCCACTTGTGAGATATGCGAGTGATGTGGATTGATGTGGAGGTTAGGCCATTCAGAACAATACGCTGCCTCTTGGGAACTGTCAAAGTTACTATGTACAAACAATGCAAGGTGACCATTTGGATTCAGTTATTCCCTTCCACACCGCGTTCCTCAAAACCGTCACTCTCAATAATCAGCGCCCTCTCTAGGATGATGCGTCCCTCTTTGTACCGCTGGTTGTCCTCCGTGGCAAACTCGTACATCCAGCCCAGCTTGGTGTCGCAGTTTTTGCAGAAGACGTCGCGGACCATGTGCCGGCCCGTGATCATCATGCGGTCCTGCACGTCGCTGTAGGACAGGTTGACCACTTTGTTGAAGAGGTACGCGCGGCCCGTGGATCCCGTGAATCGCGTTGAGATGAGCTCCCTGCGGTTGGTGAGATTGCTGTCGCAGTTTGCGCAGGAGAAAAGGCGCGTCCCTCCCATGTGATCCAGGAAGATCCGCCCCATCTTGGCTCAAGTCATGAGATTATCCTGATTGCAACAAATAATGAACACACTGATACATGTACTTTATTTAATTTAACTCAGATTTGGACAAAACCTTTTTGTTAATGAAAACACATCAACTTTTAGCTCAGATTTTCAGAGAAATTAACCCTAAACATATTACAAAAGCCTAGTCCAAGTTTACGGATCCCTTTTTTAACATTTGGACAGGAATTTTTTTTAACAAATCGTGTCCAAATGTTTTTAAAAAAAAATTCTTAAGCCTGGCGCACACCTTTCCGATTTTACCGGTTCACAGGATCATCGGGCCATTGTACAGAGGTGTGCGCTGAAAAGTTGGACCGATCTGACCGTACATCGGACAACCAGATGAAATCAAACATGTCTGATTTTTTCACCTCCAATTTCACCGGATCTGAAGTCACTGGAAGGGTGTGCAAACAGCACTCCGATTTCACCGGACGTGATATATATGTTAACCAATCAGATTCACGAAGGAAGTCACATGATTTAAAATTTACTGCTGCCATTTTGTCATCACGTGACTGATCATCTTGAGACCATTTACAGAACAGAATTTGGAATGTGTGCGGGTAACGTTGCAGTCTAACCGCAATGATGAAAAATTGTACCTGTGAAGGGGTGATCCGGTAATATCGGAAAGGTGTGGGCCGTGCCTAAGAGTCCTGGTTACTCAGACTAAAAAATATTCACTGCTCTATATTTTTGGCTGCCTTAGGCCGTGTCTGAATTACTTGGCTACGGCCTGAGGTTATACACGAATCTATTGGAAGTGGCTGCAGCAGCAGCTATCATTTTCATAGACTCGTGTGTAATTTCAAACAGTAGACACAGCCTTAAGTTAAATGCCCTCAAAATACTCCATGAAATTTTCATTATATTATTGATCACATTTTGTTTGAAATCAAATAGGTATAACATTTATCATTTGTTGGTCATGTTGGCGATTTGAATATCTCTGTAGTAAAACCCCACAGAATGCGACAAATTCGTATAGCCTATTCATTATCAGGGGGCGATATCTCAAAAACGAAACATGAAAATGAAATTGACACGATCAATGAAAATTGAAATGTATGCTGTCCAATTAATAAATCTCTTATTTCCAAAATGTTGTCTGCCAAATTAATATAGATATAACACTCTACTGTGTTTTACCTGTAGAGAATGACTCCAGTCAATGACAACAAGGTATTCCTCGGTAAACAAGACCATAAAATTTGTCCTCAAAATCAGCAAATGCGCGAAACTTCCAGTCAATATGTCTGAAACCACTGTCTCTTTGACACATAATCTAATACTACTTGTCAGCACCAGACTATCTGAACCAAAACAATCCATGACGTCAGATTTAAAGGTAGTGTACAATAAACTTGTTTCAAGCCTCAGTCTGCATTTAGTACGTGATCGATATCATCCCCACGCCATGCGTATTTCTGTTGACATACTCTTATATGTGCTGAAACTGACGGATGCCAAAAGAATGAGAGAAGTCTAAAAAGCGTTTATTTTGCTAAACGCGCATTCAAGTGAACAAGTGAATGGTCCCGAGATTTGCAAAATAATATAAAATGTAGATTGACGACTCGAGCACTTGCCCCAAACTGTACTTTCCATCTGACCAATGTTAATCATCATTAATATATTACAGGGGCGATTCCGACTTTTTTTAATTATAACATAGAGAAACTTGAGATCTTTATTTTGGGCATATTCTTCCCAATTCTTTCCTTATCTACCTGTTTAATTTTCCGCAATAGAACTTTCCACATTGGGTGAAAATTGTATTTTCCGAATATTCATTTCTGTAAAGAGGTGGAAATGTAAGCCACTTTTAAGAAACGTCCGACACCGGACCGAAAACAGACTGATAATAAATAAACTTACATCAAATTTCAAAGATATCCATTAATTAACATCTGTCGTGTTCAAGGTCTTTTTTTTCTCTCTTTTATTGATGAATTTCCCATTCTATTTTGTTAGCTTCACCTCGAAAAAAAGATTTTTTTTTTTTCAATTGCTAGTTTTCTAGCTAGCAATATAAAAGTTATTCACTTTTTAATGAGCCACCGAACGAACAAAAATCCATCGGCGTTCAGAAACTTGAACTGTTTTTTACAAAACTGAAACTATTGGCTGCCACACAATAATTCGGCTCTCGCAGGCGGGTTAGTGCACAGCGTGAGCTTAGCCCTTTTTCTGAGGGTTTCAGATGCCCAAAATCGGAATAAAGTATATCCGTTAAATAATCATTTTTTTAAGAGCACGAGGTTTGCAACTTTAAACCATCCTAGTCCTCATGCAGAAATTCCATCAATATATACGTCAACATTTTGCGAGATAGGTAAACACAAGAATTATGTCTGTTCGAACACAATTAGCGATTATGCGCTAACCTGGGACGACATGAAAACAAAGAGGCCTACCAACAGAATCAAGGCCAACCGTCAAATATATTTTCAAAAGCACCTATATACACGCATTCCTATTTTCTTAATTTGAATATTCATTTTTGTATAACCGACCCTGGATGGTCACGTGCTTTATGACCAAGCTGTTTTACTGTGCTGGTTCGCTTTAGCTACGAAGTACTAGTATCTTTTTCACTACCAGCACTATGGTTGCATTTTTTTTGCATTAAATAAATGCAACTTCCACACCTGGTTATACAGAGACATATGGATGTATTATGATACGTTTACTATTTTATTGTATATTCATATACGAAACAAAAAGCCTTCGCTGTAGTATTATACTGCAGCTATTTTGACACTGCGTTGACAGTAGTTGTCAAACCCTATGTTCTAATAACAATCAAAAGACTACTTGCTGAATCAACCACATTGGAATATTAGCAGAGAGAATTCGGTAAGTCAATGATGATATATTTCTGTCAACAGCCAAATAAAACTATATAGGCCTAATCGTAGCGCAATTTCTGCTTTGCCGTTGGACAAGTTTGCATCATTTCATTTTCAGTGCCGAAGTTCAGCACATCGGCTGACTGTGCTAATGTGATATTTTGTCGATACTGTGATATTTCATTGCACAAGTAAATAAGAGACAACTTAAATAATAGGTTTGTACCCAAAAAAAAACAACGAGAATGCAAATCGAACTGTTCATACAGTACTTCTTATACGTTTCTGTCGGCCTAACCAGTAACGTGGTCAGTTTTCAGACATCTCTACACTCTAAAACAATTTAGTCAAAATATTGACTGGTTTTCCTAGTTATTGAAATTGACTGGGAATTTAGTTAAACATGCAAAGTTTCATTCAATGACTAGTAAAAGTAGTTGGGTTCGACTCCAATTTCAGTTATTTGCATAACTATTTTTCCAAAGTCAATAATACTGACTCACTGGAAAAATCTAGTCAGATTGACTGCTTTTCAGTTGCACCCAGCTGACCCAGAATGGCTATTCAAATTTAATTAGTTTCTATATCAAATCTGACTAATGCTTTTTTAGATTGTACTTAGGTGATAAGAAAAGTCGTAAACCATGATAGGAAAAGTGGTAAATATTTGCTGGTCCCAGAGGGTCAGCCTAGTGTCCTCTTAATACCTGACTGTCAGTTGTCACTTATTAGACTGCTTGTATAGACTGTGGTGAAGTAAGCCAGGCAGTGCTATCGTGCAGGACGAAACATCAACGAATGGGCTAAAAATGTCACATTGTGTATCGTCGGGTCAAAGCAGAAAGGGCTTATACCATGCTTTAGGTCAATTTTTGTTTTTTGATGGTAACTGTTTACTTTCAGTACAGTCTTAATCCCAAAGAGGTTTTATGTTAATTATTCATCCAATTAAGGAGTAATTAAGAAATTTTAAAAGGACTTATACTGATCTTGTCATACAACTGGGAGCAAAAAAGGCCTTATAAGCTCATAAGCCTTTTTTCCTTTAAACAGGCAAGACTTTCTGTTTGAAATAACTTATAATGTTGGGAAATGCAAAAAGGGCTTAAGAGCTTGTAGGACCTTTTTGCACACAACCTTTTGTCCTTTTGTCATTTCTTTCAGTGTTATATTGGGAAGCACCAAAAGGTCTTATTTTTTAAATTAGCTGTAATTAAATAATTAAGTTACCAAAAATGGCAGGTAATACTTAACTGTTGAGTTAAAGAACCCCCTTTAACAATATGCATAATTTAAACTATTTAAATAACATTTTGCAATTTTCAAAGCAGTGTGAATCTTCAAACTCGATTATCTTGAAATTCTGGAAAATGCTGAATAGGGCTTATAAGTCCTTTCTGCTTTGACCCGACGGTATAATACATGAACGCTTTGTGAATATCCATTCTGAATCAATTTAATTGGATTTTGTGAGTTCATGGACCAACTTTACTAGGCTTGCCTCCTGTCTGATCAATCATTAAACGATTGACGTATTGGGTTTAATTCTTAATTGGTATAATATTGTTCGTGTTTGTTTAACATGCAGGAATGTGAGGACTCGATTTGCGACTTAACTGAAGTCCATAATGTGCGAATGCAAGTGCTGTAGTAGCTGGGGCAACTGCTGTCGGTATACATGCAGACTGCTTGCAGGGATCATCTGTGTTCCTATTCTTCTGGTCATCAGCTTAGTTGCCCTGCTTGTGGCTATTATTCTTTGTCCATGTAAGTAAACATTTCATGAACCCAACCCAATCCAACCCGCCCCAACCCAGCCCACCCTAACCCAACCCGACCCATCCTAACCCAACCCAACCCAACCCAATCCAATGAAACTCAACCCAACCCAACTCAACCCAACCGTGGCCAGCCCAATCCAACCCAAACCCAACCCAACCCAACCCAACCTACCCCACCCCAACCCAACCCAACCCAAACCCACCCCAACCCCAACCCAACCCAACTCAACCCATCCCGTTGTATTGTATTGTACTTGTACAATATTATACCCGACCCAACACAACACAAAACAACGTAACACAACACAAACAACGCAACACAACGCAAAACAAACGCAACACAAGACATAATACACGTTTTTGACATCAGTTATAATTTTATTAATCGAGAGTCAATAGACGGTTAGACGTCCACGCAAGTCAATTACAGTTTTATCTGACACAATCATTCATTATTCATCAAGTCCTTCATATTACAATTTAAGTGAACTGTCCCTTCTAAAGAAAAGAAAACCTGTGCACGATCTATCTTCCGTCAGATATTACTAGAAAATAATCAACCTTGTCTGGCCATTCAGGGTAAAATGGACATCATTGTATGAATTTGATGAATTAGACAAGTGTTCCCTTTTGCGTTGCAGTGAAATGTTGCAGCCCTTGCTGCGCACCTTGCCTAGAAGCGATACAGAAGGGTCTGTTCTTCCTTTTGAAAGCGCCATTCCTATTGGTCATGTGGTGCGTTGGCAAGGCAACAGAAGATGATGACGACGAGGAGAAACAAAAACTTCCCAAACACGCTGCCGAATACGGCACGAGTAAGCCCGAGGAGCTGACGGCTGTTGATCACGACATCAGTAAGCCCGAGGAGCCTACGGCTGTTGATAAGGAAATCAGTAAGCTCGAGGAGCCCACGGCTGTTGATCACGATCAGGACTCTTGAATTCACAAGAAACTCAGCAAAATTGCACAATGCACTTCTATATTCTGGAATAAATACCCACCGCAAGGAACCAATGACATAACGTGTAAGGGTGCATGGAACGCAAAACCATGCACAAAGGGCGGTCACATAATGACAAGTAAGCACAGGGTTTCAAAATGTGATAAAAAAAAATAACAAAAACATGTACATGTATTTCAAATTGAACAAGTCACGTAAGTGTATTAATCTATTCATTTTATGTGTTCGGATAAATTTTACATGAATGTTAAAAACAACATCTCCCGATCAGAAAAAAAGTTCATCAGTGACGTTTTCTTTGGTATATTTCTGTTTACCCAAACAAGGAATGCGCAATAGAATATCCTTTCGAAAGCAATATTTTTAACATATAATCGTGCAGACGAATATGCACAGACTATAGACTTCGTGGCAGCACACATCAAGATTTTAAATATTTTTTTAACCAGTATGATAATGTCACTCTATTGTTAAAATACAATTGATATTCACATTGCTCCAGGCTTAAACGTTTAAATAATACAATAGTGGAACAGCTGTTGCATTCAAATACATTGATTCCGATACCGACAACATAATTATTGGTATCGATCCCGAGTTGAATATTTCACATTTTTCTTTAGTTGAGTCAGGTTTGTAGAATACAAGCTCTACATGGTGCAGAATGTTGAAGGCCTTATGTTGATCGCGTACATGCATGGGTGATAATTATTGGCAATAACTTATTGTCATGAGTCTGCATGATCCCATAAAGATGTGTGCTATGTGCTATTGATAAGTTTTTTTTGGGGGGGGGGGCTCCTTACGAATTTTCAATGTCTCCGATTTTGGGCGTCTGCGCAAGTGCAATCTTCTGAAAAGGGCTTTTCTTTAGGATGAAACTCGAAATTGCACGGGGAATACATCTTTAAATACCCTCGCCTCCAAAATCAGGGGAAAATAGAACTCTCTATGTTGTATGTTGAAGACAGCTTGTTTCACTGGTTCCCTTTCTGCCCCCCCCCCCAAGGTTTGTAATATGATGACCTCTGGGTGATATTTACCTACAAGGCTGATCACACATCAAACTAGTCCTTGTCTGAAACAATGGCAACTTTTATTTACCAAACATTCCTGGGATGATTATTATTCAGTTGAAAGTAGAGCGATGTTCGCAGCACATTGCAGTTGGAGTGACTGCAATCAGTTTGTACAAAGCCTTAACACGCATGGGCAACAATACCGTTGGTACGGCCAACCCCATTGGTCAGAAGTTAGCGTGCGATCAAGGGCGAATCCAAGAAGGATGGTAGGGGTAGCTAACCATCCCCTCTGACTGACCACTTATTTATTTTGTGGGGAAAACACCAGCACTTCCTTCACTTTCTATATAAAGTCATCACTCAATATCGTAAATCTTGATTCGTTGTTGCGTTAGGCCTTTGGTCTTTTTTTTATGCTAACTGCGATGCCTCCCCATTTGACAAGTCTTGGACTTACAACATTCCAGCCACACCTCCCCCTTTGGATCCTCCATTGACGCGGGGTAAAATCAACGTTAGCGATCGGGACAAAATGACAGAGCTAGGTCAGCTCATGTCATCAGGACATACCTTTTCTGTAATAGCGTGGGGAAAGTTGATGAGTTTTGAATTAATCCCTATTTCAAGCTACCTTTTTTTCAACAGTCTGCTTTGTTTTTCATTGTAAAGTCATGGACAGTGAACATTTCCAAAAATTGATAAATGAAAGTGTCAAAATAAATATCCTACTTGATTGTGAAGTAAATAATAGGACCATGCTTCCTGTGAAATTATTACGGTTAGGATGCTGTCATTTTCGAGAAGAGGGGAACTTCCATCATTTCATCGCGATGGTTAGGACAAACCATCGCGCTTTCAAGGGAAACCTACGCTATGCATCGAGAAAAATGAAGAACCATTTTCAAAGTTTCTCAAAAAGTATATCCACTGAGCTGAAATTCCGACTGGTTGGTTTTGTAATAACCCGCGCTCTAGATTTTTGTATCAATTTGTTTGTTGAATCAGCAAAATCATTTTTCCCACAAAGGTGTCCATTACTTTTAGATTAAGCCATACTTTTGTTGTTAAACTGTTTGTAAAATATGTCTAAAGGCTAATAATTATTGTATGAACAATTTTACCAACAGCCACTTCAACTGTTACTTTTCTGGAATTTTTCGGGAAAGATTAATGTCCTTTAAAAAGAATATTTCTGATTACAGATCAAATCTAGTAAAAGAAGACACGGTAGCAAATGAAATCTCAATTGAGACTTTTTCATCAAAACTCAAACACCTTTGCTAGCTGCTGCGGGGACGAAGCTAATTCTCATCGGTGATTTGTGGGGGCTCCAAACATAAATACCGCCCTCTATAGATAGCATTACGTATTTAGATGTTATGGATTGACTCGATACGGCTGCACCTGAACAACTACCCTCGGATGAGTGGATTACTTCAGATTACGATATTGTGGATCATGATGGACAAAAACAAATAGACTCGGGAAGAATGTAGTATCCTTACGCCAGTGTTGAATTCGAGAAATCAGAATTATTCAATGTTGACCTTGGTCATTGGTTTGGCGCGCACTTCGATTGCTTTGGTGGAACGGCGTGGCCGGTTAAAATAATCAAGACCTTGTAAATTGTATGTGAATCATCATAGAGGGATAAGGCAAGAAACTAAAAACGAACCACTGTCTGATTCATCTAGGTTTGGTAAGTCATTTTGGTATATTTCACAATTTTTAGTTAACAATTTTAATTAAACCTGATTAAATGCCTAGTTTGAGACATTTTACTCAGGTAGGCCTATAAACTAAAATGAAGATTCTAATTATTTAGGAAGAGTGATCTGTTGAATTAGCTTTGAGTAACTCCAGCTCCATTGCGGGAATGTTTCCATATTCAACAGATCATTAAGCATCAGGTGGAAGATTAATGTCAACAAAATGATGTCAACAAACGAATTCATTCTGTTTCACTTTCCATAATTGTCATAACATTGTTGCTTTCTCCTCGTTAGGCCTATATAGTTTTGTCAGGAGCAGTTTTTAAAGACTTTTGTCATTTGGGACAAAAGCTTGGCTGTCAAAGTGGCTTATTTATAATTGGAGAAAAATTGGCTTATAAATTCTCCAAGATACATACTAATGATCTAGCTCTACTGAGTGGAGCGCTGGAACTTTGGTACCCTCCGTGTACCGAAGTTCCAGCGCTCCACTCAGTAGAGCTACTAATGATCAGAGTTTTGACTGAACTGGAAAAATACAGGAGAATTTAAACCCTAGCTTTACGCTAACCGAACTCAACCCATCAAAGCCAAACAGCAGGTTTTGTTAAAATCTGCTAGGATGGGTAAAGTACCCCTAAACTGATGGTCTTTACATTTGGTTTGGCATACCTCCAGAAACTAAGTCCAACAGTGTACGATTTCCCATGTGGGTGTTAGAATTTGCCAGCATGCATACGGTTCCCAGTAAATTATGCTAGGGAGTTGGGGTTAGTAAGAAGAGCAACTCGCACTGTCACCAGCGCAGCAGACTTGAAAAGGCTAACGCTCCGCCAGAAATGCCTTAAAAGACCTCTGAGTGTTCCAAACTTTCTATTTCTACCATATCTTTTGTTCCATTGATGGATTAAGAATGTTGATTACAATGGTTATGGTTACCAAAACTGCAGGAATTCATTCATTTCTAAACTCCCAAATCTCACTTGATCCATCATCCATATTGATAAGTGTAAATAGAAACGAAGATTGATCACAACTGGTCATTAGCGGAACAAGTAAATCCTGCAGCATTCAGAATGGTTTTTATAGGATCAAGTCATTTTTCCTGGACCGATGCATCCATTCTGAGTAGGCTTATGCTTGTGATTGAGACTGTCAATGTTTCTCATCGATTTATAACGGTTAGAGTGATCGTTCAATCCTGTGCACAGCGTGGATATTGATTAATGGTTTTTATGGTCCAGCAGTTAACTAATCTTTTTTTTCTTTCTTCCATTGAATGGCTCGGACACGAGAATTGATCAGTCACTTTTTTGGTTGAGGCGTTGTGATAATGTTGTGTTTGGTAATGAGGGTGCATTGTGATGTTGTCCATTGAGATGGGAGAGCACCAAAAGCTTGTAGGGGATTGTGACAACTTCCCGGAATCGTAAAAGTTGCACGGCTTTAATTTCAATCTTAGCAAACATTTTTCTTGATGGAAATTCTCCTTGGACCAATGTGTTAAGCCCTCCTACTTCTTTGATTTGTATATTTAGTGTCAGTCTAATCAGTAGTCGCAGTTCGCATTAAATTTGTATTACTTTTTTCATGTAATGATCTCAATTTAGATCTGAAATAGCCACATTTTTTTTTTGAATGATGGTTTAAAAACTTCAGTGCCGGAGGCATTCATGTTTTCCTTCAACAGGAACCCTGACTCTGTCTTTCTTATGTTCAGAATCTTGTGTTTTCCTTTTCCTATGTGAGCAGCATATCTAGAAAGAATCAAAAAAGAAAATTGATTTCTTTACTTTTCAAACTAATCAAATAATGGTAAATTATTTTAACCGTCATTTATACCCAGCAACTCTGCAAACAAATTACTCCCCATTTTGTGGTAAAGTTGATGGGGTTTGAGACCAGAAACTTAAAACTGAATTAAAACAATAGGCCTATTGACTCCGATTGATTATCTAAAGTACACTTTCCAAACATGCCCACTTGGCAACAGTTTTCATCTCAAAAATTCAACCCAAGATACCCTTACATCAGCTGTCAATCGTTGAAATCTCTCAACACACCGCTCTCACAAGATCTATCTGAGCACTACTGGTTCTCATTTTATGCATTTCTAGGAAGGACATGTAATAAGCTTAGTGTACTCTTGCTAGGTACCGGTATTTGCTAAACTGCGAACCATTCTGATGCTTAACAAAATAGCTGTATCGACTATTTGGTCTGTTGATGCTACTCAAGTCATTATCTGCCTGATCTTGTTTCTTGATGGGTATTCTGTGTCCCTCCCTCCAATGTCTTCTTTTATCCAGCGTGCCTCTTCATCTGTCTTTGTTTGTACTCTCAGTCCCCGCTAATCCCTTGATACTTAACGGCTGGTTGGTTCTCTTGTCTGTTCCTGATGCTAGGGAAGGTTAGTTTATCGTCTCATTGATCCTGTCCCATCGACAGAGCCTTCGCACTTCAGTTCACGACAGTACATTAGTCAGCTGTGGCGTTCGGAGATTGAACTCTTCAGAGAAAGTGTTCTCTTCATACAGTTGAAACTTGTGGCATTGGAACTATGACCTCCTATGTGGAGTTGAAGACTGCTTGTTCATTCTGCCAAAAGGATTTACTTTATCTTGGGAAACTGTACTGTCTGTGAGAGAAAAAAAGGGTGAGAGTTGATTACTTTTTTAATGGAGTTTTATTGCAGCGCGGCATCAGTTTGTATTCCCAGCTAAAACTTTGTTTTCTGCCAGAGAAAGCGGAATAGATTGGCCAGTGTTGGGTATTGTTGTCAGTTTTCCAGTTGTCATTTGTTTTGTAGCCTTGATAGTGCAGAAACTGCTTGAGTTTGCTTTGTGAAGGAAATCCATGTGAGATTCTTACAGAAGTTGATCATCCCCCCCCCCCCTCTAGAATTAGGCTTATCAGTGTTTTACATTTTGCATTCTGTGACAGTATAGTAGCTGTATCAAAACTTGCATCAATACTTGGAGCATGGAGTTAATGAAGTTACCGTACTTTACTGCTTGGATTTTTGGGACGTCTTCCTAAATTTGTTCACCCCTCATGCTTACAGGATTCCTATAGAGCTTTTTTGTAAGGGTTTCATGCTTAGCCCCACTTTAGGGTAACCTGCACTCCCTCCCCAACCTTCGGAATGACGTTTCCTTATTTAAGAGTATTTCGAGAAGCATTCATGTCATATAGTACTTACACTGATATGTTTGTAAATCTGTCAATGCACCTGAGTGTGGTGCAACAAGTTGTCAACTTTTGACCCATGGGATAGATTTTCAGCCCTGGTGGTCGGGAGGGCTTGTGGAGCTTGGTTCCGGTTGATTTCTACCTAGAAGTAGGGCAGACAAATGTGGATTGAATTGCGGTCAGAATGTTGATGGAAGACCGATAGTGTTTTTTTAATGTTTGACTCACACCATGCAACATTACAAGTCTGGGAAATGCGAATTTGAAACTTACATGTTTCATACATGTACATGTATAGGCCTAGGATCCACTTTTTTTTTCTGTCCCATGTATGTCTGATATGATTTTATTATTTTGAAGTACTCCAGAATGCAGTCATCTTCCAAGAGTGATTATGAATAGCAAATTACCTACCTAACAAATGTAACATAATTTGAAGTCATTCTTAGTGCCCCCCCCCCCCAAAAGAATATAGTTCTGCTTCCGGTTTCCTTACCTATAGCCTATTCTGACAGCCCCTACCCTATTAGAAAATAAACCCTCCCAAAATCATCAATTTATACTTTTATCCTTGACTACATGCAGATGCCTCCTTATGATCTTGCATACAAAAATTGCCCCCCCCCCAATTTTTAATTTTTTTTTGCCTGATGATACTTGTTTTGGAACCTTAATTTATCGAATGACCTATCCACACTCCTGCACTCTAAGCTTGCTGTGGTATAAAATTAAGAAAATTGGCAGATGGTTAAAAGTAGTTTAAACCAATTAGGCCTATGGCCTGGTACCCAATAATGGCCAGCCTGAGAGCCAAAGGCCGAGGCAGGGCCCATTATTGACGACCATCAGGCCCCAAACGACCCTCACACTATGCCCCTTCATTAGAGCTCACATTTTGTACTGCTAACAACCGAGCAACAATCCCCTTTTTGGCGCTGTGATAAACTTGCAATGCATCACTGAACATGTAGGTCCTTAAATAGCCGTTTGCCCCACTAAACCCTAAAATCAGACAATAGGGACAACTACTATAAAATCCTCCGACCAATGTACAGCAGATTTGTTTATAATGTTACCAAGGCATTCCTGGGAAATTCAAACAAACTTTGAATTGAATGATTTATTGCTCAAAAGCTGAAAAGTAACAAATTATATTCCAGACTAGTAAGGAGAGTTGCTGAACAATAAAAAATATTCATCATCAGAGACAAAACGATTCATAATAAAGATACTGAGTCACAGGGGACAATACAAAAACACTGCCATTATAAAGTTAGAATCCCGGAATGATGAACAGAGTGGTTCTCAACTTTAAAGTGTACGTGCCAAAAAGTTAATAATAACAATAGTGCGTATTTACAAAGTGCACGTAATCACCATTATTGGTGTTCAAGGCGATCCATCATTGTTAGCCCTGCTCATTGGGCCAGTGAAGCATTCCAAATATCTCAGCTCCCTGGGGAGTATACAGCTCGATGCTGCCATTTCCCTGCAAAGCGGCTGAAATTAACCTCAATAACCATCTCTGCCCTTACAGAAAACAAAATACTCTTGGGTGGGGAGAAGCAATGAGTGACAAAGTGCCTTGCTCAAGGGCGCATGCACCACAACCCCAGGCAGGACTCGAACCCACAACCTGCAGAATTTCCCACAGAATCCCCACAAATTCAGTGCTCTAGACGACGAGTCGGACCAAAAATTCATGGTTCAGACAGTTAACTGTGAAGATTACAACAAAATATAATTGTTCCCAAAATATAATTGTTCCCAGCAACAATGCAAACCACTTTCCAATTGGCCAGCTGACCCCGGCAAACTGTTTACTAACTGGACTGATTTGAGACATGATATTTACCTGTGAAACCTACTGTTTGATCTTAGAGCAGGATGCCTTGTTTTGAACATGTGGGCGGGTGGGGGTGGTGTGTGTGTGTGTGTGTGTTGGAGAGGGGGGGGGGGGGTTATAGAAGACTTTCCACTTGGAAGCCTAGTTCTTGAGCATGTGGCGTGCATTCATGAAATGTAAAATCATCACATTTTGTTGTTAGGGAAAAATAAGTGAAGGTGTTGACAACAACTTGGTTGTAGAGTCCTAGCAAGTCTGCCCAAAAAATTCTGGACGTTGGTGAAGAAAAATTGCCCAGACCACTCCTAAATTTATTTTCAATCCAGGTTTTGCTGTGAAACCAAATCCACAATGTTACTTCCGTGAGTTTGCGACATAAGTGAATTCCGAACTATTGAATAACGTAATCAATATGGACCTGGAGAAAGGTAAGCCTAGCTTGTTATCAATACTGTCAATTTATTCCTGAATTCTGGAAAAACTGAAGTTTTTAATTCTCATTAAAGTCGTGCCTCAGAACTGTATAGTTGAAAGTAAATGTATTAGGTATAGTCTTGATTGTCTGCTTTAAGAAAATATGATACTTAAAAAAAAAGATAAAATAATAACTAATATTGTTGAGATAGGTTGTGTTTTTTTCTGTCACGTCTTAAAGCCTCATGAATAAGTAGGAGCATTCTATACTACCTGAAAAGTTACAAACCTACCAAAAATAATTCAGAATTGTTTTGGGGGTGTAAAGACAGGGGAAAAATGCAATTTCACCATTGTTGCAGAGTACTATGTTTTTTTTTTTTTGAGAATGCAAACTGACTAAGTTTCTATAATGGTTGTAGTTTGTTTGTTGGGTTGGTTGGTTGTTCGTTGGGGTGTTGGGGTGTTTGTTTGTTTCTTTGTTTTGTGATGGACGATTTCAATTTTTCCTTTTGGTTTTTGTTCTTTAGGTGTGGAACACAAAGGAGAGTTTGGGGCACAAATTTCTCAGGTAAGTGGTAACTGAAGGCTAAGCATATTTAATGAAAAGCTATACCAACCTCAATAAAGTCTTCATTTCCTGAACTCAAATAAAATTCTTTTTAACTTGCTTTGACAACAACTAAAAAATTGCAGGTAACTTATTTTTGGCCTTGCAATATAGTTTCAGGTACCAAGTCTGTTCAGCCTCAAAATTATTTATCTTGTTTGAAAAATGCTTTAAAAAAAATATAACAGAAAAAAAATCACTTACATGTAAATTCTTCACCTTGTCGTGCAAATATGCGTTTCTTTTGTCATATTGCATTTGAATGATCAAAGCTGACAGCAGGCAACCTATATAATTGTCACCTTCAATACAACTTTGGAGTTAACCACCACAGGGTGTTAAGCTAGGCCCAACCAAAAAAAACCCAAACACTCAACAGCTCTTTCAACTTAATGACCCATTTCACGAACAAGGGTCCATTTGGTTTAGGAACGCCACAATTGATGAGGAGGAACACACGAGGATTTGTGTGCCCTCCAAAAGGGGGGCACTTTTAAGCCTTCCTCAAAGGGAGAGTGGTTCCGGAGTGTTTGCCGTTGGTCTTAAGTCATGTATGTTTGGTTTACGAAGAGGTTTTTGCCCTGTCGTTGTCAACTAATTGTAAGGAATGGGGTTGGTTCAGAATATTTTGTCCTTGTTGCCCGAAATGCACCCACCATTCTTCTGTCATCTTGACTAACATGTACATGTACTTGTTATTTGCATTGGCTGTGTGTTTATCTGCATAGGGAGCAATTGATGCAGTAGATGGCAAACGTGTCATAAGTGGAATGTGAAAAAGTTGATAGTCCTTTTTTTCTTTAAATCAAAGTTTACAAAGTAAAAATGCAACATTTTGAAATCTTGTAAGTTTGGTCTTTTAATGCTGATTCTTGAGTTATTAAACAAGATTTAATTAATGGATTTATCATCATTTTTAAGCTCTGGCAGGAGTTTCTACATGTCACTTGGTGGTCGGTCGGTCGGTCTGTCTGTCTGTCTGTGCCCGAAAATTGACCAAAAGTATGGTGTTCCATATGTACCATCGACATTGCATTTATTTTTCGGCGTCGCATTTTTAAGCTCTGGCAGGGATCATTTTGATCAGTTTCCTGCAAGACTTTCATGCAAGACTTATTGTGCATTCGCACTTGTTTATACATCTTTGCAATTTTGTGGCTTTAACGTTTAATTTAAATAATTCTTATAGCTTGAAAGCTTGGTGGAGCAAATGAAGGAAGGTTTCATCCAGGCCATGGAAGAACTTTCCCTCATCCAAGATGGCGACAGACTCCTCCAGAAGAAAGTGGACGACAACAAACAGGAAGCGGATCAGAAGATAGAGGAACTTGCTGAATCAGTCCATCAGATTAGGGTAAAGAAAATGATGGATATTTGGTTGAACTAAGAAAATTGACTGAAGCGGGATTCGAACCTACCACTTTTAGAAAACCACATATGGTAAAGTAAGTAAAGTCTGTCACAAGCCAATATGGCCCGTCAAGCCGGCGTTTATCTCCAGTTTCCTTGGCATGAAACCACTTGGAATATTTCTATTCCCCTGGATATGGGTGCCAGTCCAGTTTCAGACGGAGGAAAACCCCAGAAGAATATTCTTGGGAAAACCCATGGAATCAGGCAGGGACTGAAAACCCAATCCACGTAGGGAACAGGACAGGAATTGAACCTGGGCCATGGAGGTGGAAGGCGAGGATGCGCCAAGCTGACGCCAACCTGGATAGTGCAGTTTTAATAAATTGAGTTATTTTTATATTGCTAGCGATTTTTGTCAATACGTAGACTTATGATACTATAGCCACCAATTTGCATGATTTCATTTTTCTGTTTTTCTTTATTTATTTTTTTGGAAAATTTCCAAATAAACCCCGCTCCAGTCAATTTCTTAAAACTTTCAACAAAATTTCTTTAACTGGATTTGTGAGCATGGCAAATTACTGCTCAAAGTGGTGGCCAAAAAACCCCCCAAACCCCCCCCCCCCCCACAGAGACATGAATGTAAAGAGAGAAAAGTAATCCTTGATTTCCTATAAACTCCATCTTTTCTTACATATTGTTCAAAGAATTTTTGTCAATATTTATGCTTTAGCCACCAATTTGCCTGATCTTATTTGTTTGTTTAGTTGTTTTACGGAATTTGCCAACCATATAACCAAAGGCCACTCAAACAAACAAAGTAATATACATAAGGAAAGAGAAGTATGCTTAATTTCTATGAACTCCATCTTTTCCAGGAGGACCTGAAGTCTGTCTTGACAGAAGTGCAGAAGAGCAACCAAGCTACGGAGAGACTGGCCGAGCAGTTTGAGAGATTAAGACGGGAGCACGGACGCATGCGACGGAGGCTGAAGCAAACAGAGCAGAACCTAGAAAACCAAAGGTATATACAGCGCGTCCTGAAAAAAAATGGTGCATGAAAACCCCTCCATTTTTGCTAATTTACAACCAAAATTTTCTGCGGATGTTTACACCATCTTCAAGGTAATAGATTTAGCTTGAGAATACCGTTTGTTTCATTGAGATTGCTTTTGTAAATCCAAAGATATGTTTGAATAATGGCAAAGCCAAGAAACCCATTTTGTGCCACTTTCTGTGAAGCAGTTAAAATCAGTATAGTCCTAGTCTAAAAACCAAATCACTTTACTGTTTAGTGATTTTAACATTTTTAAAGGGAATGTACAACATTTGCTTTTGCTGCAATTTTCAGAAAACAATGGATTTGGAGGATTAGCTTGACATGGCAAATATTGTTAAACTGACTTGTAGATGCCGGAAAAACCAAGAAAACCAATCATGTTCTTGTAGTCTGGTTCCCTGACCCCACTTAAGATGAAACAGATCAATTGATAGACTTTGGGAATTGTTAGGTCAAAGAATCAGTCTAGCAGGCTTGTACCCCTTCACAGGTGTGTAATCAATTGCAAAGAAAATGCGATATGAAAAATTAGGTACAGTTTTTGAAAAAAGCCGTTTTTTTTCCAACGCTGGTCGGCCGACCAGCATTGGAAAAAATACACTTTTTCTTGAAAATGTCAGCACACCAGGAGCCACGATTTTACAGGATGCTTTAGACTGTCATTCCCTAACAATTCAGTAAGGTATTCCGTGATAATTTGATCATTTCGTGTTTGCATGTTTGCAAATGTTGTATCTTCCCTTTAAGCAGAGTGTGCAATATTTATTTATATTGAATTGAACTCTTTTATTGAAGTTTTCAAGAAGTGAACCTGTCTGTACTATTAAATTGTTTCAACATAAGAACAAAACCCTATATTGTCGTGTGAATGGAATGTTTGTCTTACACCCATAGGGATAATCTTATCAAAAGAGCCTTACTGGCATTGTCTGATCTTTGCAGCACTCGCTCCCTAAAAGTGGGCAGAATGTTTTTTTTTTTGGCTTCAAACATATCTCTGGATTTACAAAAGCAATCTTAATTAAACAAACGGTATTCTCAAGCTAAATCTGTAACCTTGAAGATCGTGTAAACATTTGAAGTAAATTCCAGTTGTAAATTGGCGAAAATGGCGGGGTTTACATGCACCATTATTTTCAGGACACCCTGTATGTTTGTCTCAATTCAGCTTTCAAACTATGAATTTCATCCGAAGAATGATTTTGAATGATTTGCAACTTAAATACTTCGGTTCCTTGCAAAATATTTAAAAAAAAAAAAAAAAAATTGTGCACAAAGAAGACAAAAAGCATTATCAGTTTAACTAGGCCTATGTTATGCAAATTCAAGATCACTGTGTTGTATATGAAACATGCACTTTTGAATTAGTGAAATAATTTGTGACCTGTTCTGTCAAAATCAGACTTTTCTGGGCATAATGTCAAAAAAATGAGATTTTTGCTTCTTGTTAAAATATGTACATTTTCCTTTTAATAGGTGGTTTAATTTTTGAAAGCGGTCATTCCTGGGCAAAGTTATGCTATTTTGAAGTTCATCATTTCGAAAAGTAGAAAACGGAGAAAATGGTAGTTAAAGTTTGGGGTCTATTTTAAGGCCTGTTTCAAGTGACATTTTTTCAACTGATATACCTTAACAAATCATCCAAAATACTATACTCAAGAGTTCAATTTAGGGTTTCAAACTTTTAATTTTAGACATGTTCAGGATTACAAATATGCAAAAATTAGAAAATCGAAAAAAAATCACCCCACAGCGATTTTTGGCCCTATCTCAATTTCAAGTTCAACCTCTGCCCAGAAGCGTCTGCGTTTGACAGAACAGGTCACATTTGTGGACTGAGAAAAATATGGTCACTGAAGTATCAATAATACCTACCGTAGGCTGTCTAACAGCTATGCCATCATGGCAGTCAAATTCAATCAAGTGACTATTTTTAACAGTTAAGAATTCCCTTATATTAATTTGATCTAGCCATGCTTTGACTGGAGGTGATTGATATGCCAGCTGTGCCTACCAGTTACCTCTTTTGTCTGTTGATAGTCACAAGGTTTACACGAATGTGATCCGACTGTTTTAACTAGTCTGTATCTAAATGCATGGCAAGGGAAGTGGAAGAAAGTTATAACTGTCTGTGAATGATCAAACAATAGGAGGGTTTACCGAATAACTGTTTTGGAGAAAATTACAGTTTTACTCACCAAACGGAAATAGTTTTGGCACCCAAATCATAATAATGCAGTTTGAGTTTTGGCCACAAGTTGAAAATGAGTTCATTTTGGTTACCACAATGATTTTTATTTCATAAAACTCATACTCCGAATTCGTACTTGGCAGGCAAAATCAGCGCAGACCAAGCATGTCACAGTCAGCCAAGTCTGACGGTGATGCCAACAAGAACAGCAATAACATCAAGACAACGCCAGACAACGATCTTCTGCGCCGTCGCAAGAGCACGCCCGGTGCGTACTTCATCGGGAGAGAAGGACGTGAACGCAGGAGTGTCATTCAGGAGAGTGAGACACCGATGTCTCCTATAATGCAGTCCTTCATGGATTCCCTGCCAGACCCTAACGACTTGAACAACAACGGTAAGTAAGGAGGCCACATCGATCTGTTTGAATGCCAATTCATGCAAACATGAATCGGTGATATAACGTGAAGTATTCACTCTGAAAAGATTGCTTCGCAGGTTTATATGTTAAGCGCGATTCAGCTGAGAACTGTACTAATTGCTGTTCAGGCTTAGCATCTTATCTCCGTGCCAAGACCGTAATAGAATAGTAATAATGATGTGTTCAAGTTCTGGTAACCTGACCAACAGCAACATTTCGGCTGTACATACCGGTAGGGTCGGCCGTTTGTTTTTGCTTTATCTATTTCTTTATTTTTTAAGAGGAACAAATATCTACAAAACAAAGGCTGGCATAGTGTAAACATGCCACTAAGTGTCTTCCCACAAATAAATCTAATTCCAAACTTTCTGAATAATGTAAACTAACTTTGAAATGTGCATGTGCATTTGGAAGGTATTTATTTTTTGCATTATAAAGGTACATGTAGAGTACATCATTTGCAGCTATCCAAAAAGAAACGGACAAAAATTATTGTTGAAAAGCCTACGTGGTTTAAATATAGTAATAACACTAAACTACCTGTGAAATATATTTCTGGCATGTTGTCATTTTGAAGAAAACAAAAAAAGAAGGTCATTTCCAAAGATGCGTCTAAGGATGCATTTTTGAAAGTTTCCATTAGTGCAAGTGTTGACACGATGCACAAGCGCATGCGGTTGCTACAATTCGTTGTTTCAGTGTGTGACATCGCGTAGCTGTGATCGGGTAAATGAGAACGTGTCCAGGATGCTGATTTCGGGCGCAATTCAAAACATGACTCAGCAACTTTTGAATGTGCTTTTGAAAAAAATGCACAAATGACAAATGATGGACTATATCTTTCAAAAACCCTACCTGCCTATCCTTCTTTGTTTTGGCATGAAACCGGAAACACAACATTAACTTTTAAAAGATTTTTACTTATCACCTCCATGAAATTTGCTTCAGATTTGTTACACTGTCTGAAAGATGAAGCCTTTGAACCGAATCTATTATCATTTATTTTTATTAAAGTTGGGAGCACTGTTAATTTTGACTCACCGGACGGAACCCCAAGCGGGCAGTTTGAGTTCTCGCCACAGCAAAACAATGGCTCGACAAACTCCAGTGAAAATGATAGTGGGGAACGGGAACAGAGGAGAAAGGTGTGTTGAGTAAATTGAGCTGCAACTGTTTTTTGAATAATTTTGTAGTAACTTCTTTTTTGTGTGTGGAGCATTTCTTAATTTCAATGTAGGCTTTCGGGTCAAAGTTTTGAGGTTAACCGTTTGTTTTAAATGCCTGGGATATTAAACATTGTTTTTGTTGAATTGTTTTTTGTTTGTTGAATTTGTATTTGAAAAGGTAGTGGTTGCCAGGGCAGATCCTGTTGGAATGGCTACTCCTCCCCCGCCCCCCCCCCCCCCCCCCGCCCCCCCCGCCAAGCATGTGAATCAATTATGTAAATGAACAACATGATTAACTTCAACACTTTGAAAATCTTGATTCACTGCTAAACCTGCTTTTCACCAAAAAAAATTTTGTTAGGCCTCAACACCCCAGTCAACCCCCTCTGGAAAATCCACTACTGGGTTGCAATAGACCTTATTCACAAGAAAGCTTTTTTTTATCGTGTTCCTTGAATTTTATTTAGACATATGCGATTTTGTCGCTCGGTAATGTTGCACGTTTTTATATATACGTACAGATTAATGAGCACGTTTACATTTATGCAGCAAAGTCGTGCGACTTATCGTGCTAATTTCAAAAAAAAAATTTGTTCATTTACACATTCACACACACAGTCGTTTTTTGCTATGCTTCCGAGGATTGGCTTTGTGTTTTCCTTTGTTCCCTGATCTAAACCTTTCCCATAGACTTAGTGAACAAACCGGCGTTCGAGGACAATATACCGGTATATAGGCACCGTCGTTCGAGGATGAATGGCCCCTTTGTACTCCTTTTGTTGTCTGTCCTCGAGCGTAATACAATACAGGAACACACGTGTCGTTGCGACAAAATCACATTTGTGAAAATAGGCCTTGTAAACTGTTGAATGGGATGGTGCCAGACTAATTTATGCCTTCCAAGCCTCACTTTCAAGTTTTTTTTTAAATGTGGCTTAAAACATTAGCGTATAATTATCACAAATTTCAAATTATTTCTCGGAGCAGACTGGTATTAATTTGTAATTAACTTTATTTCATTACTTTCATTTCTGTTAGCAAGTTCCAAAAATGAAGATTTGACCTCGCTTTTAATTTAAACATAGTAAATCGTGACGTAATAAACAGGACTCGTTTATACTACGCTGCATCGGGAGTCCTGTTTATAACGTCACGATTTACTATGTTTTGTTTGCTGCCCCCAACGACGACTTTTACACAAATTGCACGATCGGGTTGAAACAGGACTTGAAAAACAGCTCTCAAATGTACCTTTTGTATTCATTTCATGACGGACACAATAGTCGTTTTTATTTCATCACACCTTAGGCTACATATGCCTGAAAAATGACGGAAATGTCTTCGAGCATTCCACAACCTCTTTAATATGGCCGACTCGTAAATAAAGCATTCATCGTTCTAGAAACTGTTTTATCTCGGATCGGCAAAATTCGATTCAGTTTGACATATTGTGTAGACAGGGATAAGTTTGATAAGTTCTGATTTTTAATATGAGGAAGAAACTTTGGATAAAATGTGTTTGTTTTTATTGCAGTCATTCAGTCCCAACAGAAGAGTTTCATTCAGCAATGTCGATTGGAACCCTGACTCCAATGATAAGACCGAGGGTGAGCATTTGAAATGTAATTGTAATATGAAAATACATGTATAGGCCCTTTTATCAAATGTTTCAAATTACATTGTGTATACAGGGTGAGTAAAAAAAAATGAAACCCAAATGTTGGGACCATTGTTTTAGGAAAATTCTACATGAAGCATTTTAAAAATCTAGGATATAAAAGCCCAATTCATAAGCTTTCTTTTAGTACAAGAATCATTCAAATCACTTATGTACTTTTCAAGCTACAGAGTTTTAAACACAACCACTGTTTTAAGGTTCAGTCCACGGATCACAGAAAAGTGCGTTCTTTCAGCAAAACGAAAACAATTCACGCACATCCCTATGTGATTTGTTTTCGTTTTGCTGAAAGAACACTGAATTTTTTTTGTGATCCGTGGACAGAACCTTAAAACCGTGGTTGTGTTTAAAATTCCGTAACTTAAAAAGTACACGAGTGATTTGAATGATTCTTGTACTAAAAGAAAGCTTATGAATTGGGCTTTCATATCCGAGATTTTGACAATGCCACATGCAGAATTTCCTTAAAACAATGGTTAAAACATTTGGTTTTTTTTTTTTTTTACTGACCCTGTATTATAAGTGAGTTTAAACGGGGTTGAAAAATCAGATGAAAAAGGTTTTGATAACTTAAAAAAAAAAGACCACCATTCTACCCCAAGCAAAATACATGTAAGTTTATTTGTTTTCAAAAAGTCCATTTTAATTTGGACTGTTGTTTACAGCCATGTTTCGGCTGATAGTATTTTTTTTTGCAATGCATGAAATTACTAAATAAATTGTTAACATTTGAAAAAAAATCAGGCTCTCATTTTTACCTGCAAATACATCCACTGTAAAAACTGGCCCATGTTTAGTCATGGAATAATTACATTAAAAAGTTTATACAGGGTATACTGGTTTCTGCCCGCTTACCCCCTTTTATAAGCAGACCAAAAAAAACACCCAAGAAGCAAACACAGAAAGGTTTTTATGTGTGCACCCCTCAGCCAGGCCTTGCCAAGTATCACAGAACAAGATCTCTGATTGGCTGGTTACCCCTCCAAGGCTTCTCAGCAATTGGTTAAAATTTGTGGCTCTTGATTGGCTATTTTCATGATTACCGGATCTCACTTTTGTCACAAAATCTTCTATGGGTTTTCGTGGACAAAAGTTCCCCATAGCAAAGTACTTATGCAGACACGGTGTAGTGAGATGCTATTCGTGCAATATTGCCATCCTTTTGCACAACACATATAATGAATACGGGAAAATCAATTGCAAAATTTGCTGCTTATAAATGAATTGATCATTTAGTGATAAAATTGATTATAATTGGTGACCAAGCATTAAGCTACTGGAACTAGTGCTAAAGAACGACTCAAAATAAAAGCTATTTTTTTTTCAGAGGGTTACAGACACCCAAAATAAAAATAAAATTTCTTTAAAAAAAAAAAATCACTCAAAGGTTAAACTATGTGAAGAAAAAAAATCCAATTTGTTGGAGAGTACGGACATTGCATCTTTAAAAGTAAGCCTGGGTTAAAGGGAATTTACAACATTTGCTTTGCTGCAATTTTCAGAAATAAATGGATTTGGAGGATTAGTATGTTATAGTAAATTTTGTTAAACTGACTTGTTTCACGTTTTGGGCTTGTAGATGCTGGAAAAACCAAGAAAACGAATCATTTTCTTGCAGTCTGGTTCCCTGACCCCACTTCAGATGAAATAAAGCAATTTATAGACTTTGGGGAATTGTAAGGTCAGAGAATCAGTCTAGCAGGCTTGTACCCAATTGCAAAGAAAATGCGGAATAACTAAATATATAAAAAACTAGGAGCAGTTTTTGAAAAAAAGCCAGTTTTCTCCAACGCTGGTCGGCCGACGAGCTTTGGAAAAATACAATTTTTCTTGAAAATATCAGCACATCAGGAGCCATGATTTTACAGGATGTTTAGACTGTCATTCCCTAACAATCCAGTAAGGTATTTCATGATAATTTGATCATTTCATTTTTTGATTTTTGCAAATGTTGTATCTTCCCTTTAAACCCAAGAAGATGCTGATTCTCAGATATTGGCCACTTGCCAGTCAATATTGATTGGAAGGAAACAACCATGATTGTCCATGATCGTTCGAATGATTGTACATTTCCAGTGAAGCCAGTATTGTTTTCTTTATATGACCTCAGCTTTTGTTCCCGTTGTACAAAACTTGTCAATAGGATCTGATGAGGGCAATTGTTTGGTGCGCAAACCACCATGTCTAAAACTTTAATCCGAGGAGAGACTGTATAGTGATCTCATTAACCACTTCAAGATTGTCTGGAGTATTTTCGTTTGTTACTTTTTTATGAATGGAAGACTTTTCTTGAGAGCAATTCATCCAGATGATTTTTGCGGGTCGCCGTCTGGAGAATCAGAATAAATCCTTGAAATCGATGTAGGGGTAGGCACTTTTCTTGATGTCAAAACTTTTAGTTGCTTTTTAGTGGATTTTGAATTTTTGTGGGAGGGATTTGGGGGAGGGATCTTTAAGGGTTTTCGAAGGTTTTTGTTTCGGACAACAAGTTTATTTTGGCTGGGGTTGTTTAAAACAAACACAAGTTTTTAGCAAAGTCAAACTTTTTAACAAGGTAGCACATTTTCTTCACTTTGAATCTATTTTTTGGGAGAGTTTTATTCCTCTTGTTTATTTTTTTTCCCAGTGAAACATTTTGGTTATTGATAGTTTTCAGACAATGCTTAATTGAGCGTCATTCAAATGATGGTACATACGTTTTAAAAGGAAAGTTTAAACATCGATTTTACCTCTTGCATTAGTATTTTTGCAGAGCGGTTGAAAGTTATCAAATAGAATGTAACAAAACCACGACCAATAATTCACAAAAGAACTCATTCTGTACATTAATGTACAAAATTAGACAAAATTTTATCACTCATCCTTTGTTAAGACTATGCTTTCCAGATATTAGAAACTCAGCACATCATAAAGACATTCAATTCATGTTTTGTTGGACAAGGATAATTGACTTAGCAGAGATTCGAACCTTTGATTTCTGGAATACAGTACCAGTGATCTGCCAACTGAGCAATTGAAATGACAATATTTGCAGTTCAAGATGTACTGCCAGTGCTTTTCAATAATTGAATTTTTGTCTTCTCCTAATCAATCTTGACCTTTTCAGTGTTTTACTTTGACGAAAAAAAACAGCCTTTTTTACAGTTGTATTTTGGAAACATGCAACCCTGAGTAGACTGGTTTCCATTTCCTACATTATATATTCTTAAAGAGGGTCTGGTACCAGCCCTATTCTGTGGAGAACTAAGGTAATTTATCAGGCAGCAAATAATTTGGAATTTTGAAAAGGTGAATATTTCATGACTAAGTGCTGGCTGATTTTTTGGTAGGGTTTTCATTCAAAAGTGAATAACTTTTGTATTGCCAAAAAATAATGATTTAAATCAGAATTGATTATTTTTTATTTATTTTTTTTTTTGGGGGGGTGAAACACACAAATAGCCCGGAGATTTCATATTTAGGTTGCTCTGGGGTAGACTTACTAGGACGCATCCAGTTACTCTTGACCTTTGATATGAGGATATTCATGAATCATTCATATATTGCAGGTGAGAGGTTAAGGCTGGCTGAAGAATTCCTCTTGTCGGAGAGGAAGTATGTTGGTCAGCTCAACGCGCTCCTAGAAAACATCATGTTGCCGCTGGTCACCGAGTCGCTAATCCACCCTTCTGAAATCAAGTAAGCACATCTCATCTTTGTAACTGTGTTGTGCGGTACAGTTATTACTGGTCACATAGGGGCCAGCTATTGTGTTCTCGTAGTATCTGACTCACTGACCGACTGTCTTTTGTGAATTAGACTTTGCCCTTCACTGACGTGAATCAGTGTGTAACCTCCTGACTGAAACTTAGAAAAAAATTACTCAGGTGGGACTCAAACCCACGACCTCCTGCTTTCTAGTGCAGATGTCTTACCACTCGCCCACCAAGCTTGCCGGGATCTGTTGGCTGGTTCTAATGTAGCAGTTTTGCCCTTCACCAACGTATAAACACTGTATACTCTGTGTGTACCCCCCCCCCCCCCCAGTGAAAGTTGTAAGCAATCACTCGGGTAGGGCTCGAACCCATGACCTCCTGCTCTCTAGTACTTGGTTACTTGGTTGGTTCTTCTCCTAAGGACTTCCACAAGGGAGTATAACTAGGAGGCCAGAAACACCGGGACAAACCCCTTCTCTTAGCGATAAGTGTTACTGGGTTCTTTTACGTGCGTTAGGCCTTATACAACATACGGGACCTCCGGCTTAACGTCCCATCCGAAGGACGAAGCAATAATGGTTAAGTGCCTTGCTCAAGGGCACAAGTGTCCAGGCCCTGGCTCGAACCCACGCCACTGTTGCCTCTGAAACACCAGAGCATGAGTCCAGTGTTCGTAACCGCTAGGCCATCACACTGCACAGACGTCCTACCACTCTACCACCAAGCTGGCCAGGATCGGTTGGCTGGTTCGAATCTTGAATTGCTTTGCATTGCCATTAAAAATCTAAAACTCAGATCAATGAGACTTTTTTCCCACCTGACTTGCATGTCTGTTTTTCCTGTTTTGTTTTCCTGTAGTATCATCTTTCCTGAATGTCTGGCCAAGATGTTTGACAGACATTGCTGCCTGCTGTGTGCTCTAGAGACCAGACTGAGCGATGCCAAATGGCAGGGAATGCACGGGGACATCTTTGCCAAATTTGCCGGAGTTGAAAGTGTAAGTGTAATCCACAAATTGCTATAAAAACAGTTCCTCCCTTTATTTCAAATTTGGTTATTCTTTTGAGATAATTGCAGACGGTTTGAAAGGTACTTTTTGGTGAGCTGCGAAGCAGATGCGAGCCTATGTAATACCAATTTCCGTCCGTCTGTCCGGCCGCCCGTTCTGACCATACCACCCTTGTGGGGTGATGTTCCTTTCAGGACACATCACCCCACTTTTTTCACAATAGAAAAACATCACCCCAGAAGGGAATCTTTAGAAAAAGGGATAATGGGAACACAATGCTATCACCCCACAATTCCGTCTGGCTGGAACATCCGTCCGTCTGTCGGTCCGGGCGTCCGGCCGTCCGCGTTCAGATAAACATGTTGAAGTTTTTGGTTCTAGTTAACTTGGGGAAAAAAATTAAAAGCAGTTGTCATGTATCATCTCTATAACTTCAGTTAGTTTCATATCATTGCAGTAAATTCAATGATTTTTTTGAGGAATTTTAATTCAAGGAAATGTTAAAGTTTTTAATTGTTACATGTTCATGTATACTGGTATAACATGTACATGTGTGTATACCGGTATAACATGTACAAGTACATTATGCATTTTGGGGATGTGCATGAGCTTCTGGTTTGATCTTTTAGTTTATGGGGTTGGAGTAGGGATGGGGTAGGGGAAGGTGGGGTGGAGTGGGTTGGGGGATAGGGGTTGGAGTTAGGGTTTGTGTGAGTAGGATGAGTAGGGAAGCTAGGATGGGTGGGGCGGGGTGGGTTGGGGTGGGGTGGGGTGGGGAGAGGGGTTGGAATACTGGGTTTGGGTGGGGTGGGGATTTGTAGAGGTGGGGTGGGAACAGGTAGGGAGAGACAGGTAGGGGGAGACAGGTAGGGAGAGGATGGGCATGGATGTAGGGGTTGGGTTAGGAGGGGGTTGGGCAGGGGGCGGGATATAGGATCGGAGTAGGGTTGGGTTGGGGATGTGTAGGGATGGGTAGGGATGGGTTGTTGTAGGGGTTGAATAAGGGGAGGGGGCAGTATATAGGGATCAGAGTAGGGGTTGCTAGGGGTCAGGTGGGATGTATGGGTGGGGGAATGGGGTGGGCGGGATATTGGAATTCGAGTAAGGGTTAGGGTGGGGATGTGTAGGGTGGGTAAGGACAGATAGGGGAAGATAGTTGGGGTAGGGGAGGGTACGGGTCAGGGGAGGGGGAAGGAGATAGGGATTGGAGTTTGGGTGGGGTTGGGATGTGTAGGTGATAGGGTGGGGATGGTTAGGGGAGGATGGAATGGGTGTGGGTAGGGGGTTGGGTGGGGGAGGGGGAGGGGGTGGGTTGGGGATGGGGTAAGGTTTTGGGATGGGGTAAGGTTTGGGGGAGGTGGTGATGGTGCTGTGTCTACATGTACATGTATACCCATTCTTGTTCTGCATTTGTGGCGACTACACAATAATACAGTGACGGCTAACCTATATACACATGTATTTATTAGGTAATCTGTTGACTTTTTATGTTGACATTTAAAAACTGACCCCTACACCTAGGCACATCAACAAGAATCCTGATCCCCTTCCATCATGCCCATCCCCAACCCTACCTTCAGCCTCCCTTCCTGCCTTGGACAGCGAGCCATGGCGGCTTCGCCGTTCTAGTTTCCTTCTCTGTCAGTGTGTAGAGGAAGGAATTTTACCCCTCCCCCCCCCAAAAAAAAAAGGAGAGAAAATGTTTGTTTATATTTCTAAAATGGTGTGTCTTGTAGTTATTTTTCTCCTGAAGAATTCCAAAAATTTATTAAATATTTGGAAAATGGTCAGAAGTCGGGTCTGAACATTTTCCATCATGTAATTTTAACCTTCTTATTATTTTGTTTAAGAACTGGGACTGTCAAAAATAGAATTTTAAAGAAATACATTTAATTTTCATACGAATTTGTGTAAATGTTTTGTTACAGGAACTTAATTAAGAATACTTAATTAATTCTTTTGTTTTGTTTTGGATACAGGCTAATTTCCTGTCTCAGTATGGATCCTACATCAGTTCTTTTCCCGAGAGCTTGTCCTTGCTCTCTCATCACACAAGGAAATCAGCAAAGCTCACCAACTTTCTCAAGGTAAAATTGGCCAGGAAAAAAGACTTTTGATAAAAGTGTGTAAACCTGTTAGAAACCTTTTATTAAAAGACTTAGTTGGTTGAATATTCATGGAAAAAGAAATGATTTTGCATTTCCATATGGTTGTGGAATTTAGTCTGTTCAATATTTAAGTTTAATATTCAAATTAATGAATCAAAAGACACAACACACACAAAAAAACAACACACAAAAAAGACTCATTTGGAAAATGACAATTTATTGGAAATGTTTTTTTTTTTCGATTCCCAGAAATTGGCATTTTGGACTTTAACATTTTCTTTAGATACATTAATTTATTGGCACTTAAGACATATCTCAGTTTTAGTCCTTGTAACTATAAATTTATAACCATATCAAGAACTAAAATACATTTTCCCCATTTAATGCACACTTTTGGTGTTCAAGTAAAATAGTTCCAATATTTGATACATTTCATCATTACTTTACTTTTTTTTTTGTAGAAGCAGCTAGCTGACATTGAGGACGAGCAAGTAGATCTCCTTGGTTACCTCTTGGCTCCTATTCAGAGAATTCCCGCCTATGTCCTTCATCTTAAGGTACAGTTTTTGGTCAAGTTATTTTCCCCAAACACAAGTTTTTTTCTGTGACCTTCAGAACTTTTTACCAGGGCCCTATTTCATGGCGTTGTTTAACAGGTTAATAGTAGAAAATTGTGCGTATACCTTAAGTACTATTTCATGGCGTGGATGCGTTGCGCGTGCATGGAGATTTGTACGTTTACTTCACTGATTTAACCAACTTTTTCCTCTGAGGTGAACTTGTCTTTAGCTGTGCTTAATGATTAACATCTCCATGAAATAACGGAGGCTCTGTTAGAAAATTGTGTGCTTAGCAGCGCTATGAAATTAGGCCCTGCGGCCGATTTCAAGAAACTTTACGCAATGGCGTAACTCCTTGTTGCACCACAATTTATTGCGTAAGTTGTGCAACATTTCAGTTATGACACATTTCACGAAAGTTTCATAGTGCGTAAGTCTGCGAATTGTGCAATAAATTACAGGGGAACTTGCGCAATCATTTTAGGTGGCGTAAGTTGTGGCGTAGCGACTGAAAATGAACTATTTTACTAGCAAATCATGATCGTCATGGAGCCTGTCATTGCACAACTTATCTGTGATACATTAACTTACTTAAATACATTAGACACAGCTTTGTGTTTGAGGTAAATGAATAGCTATTTTACCTGCGGCCGAATTTTTTAGAGCTGCCACACGATTCTGAAGAAAGTCGAGCAAAACTTTTTTCAAATTTGCTTAATTTCCTGCTGTAAAATAATGCCAGCTTCATGGGGGTGGAGCAGGGGGAGGGTGGTGTGGGGTGGGGGAGGCTGGTACAGGGGGAGGGGGTGTAAGAATTGAGACACATATTCCCCAGTCAATTCTAAAAAAATCCTCCCTTGTTCAGAATTGTGAAAAACCAAGTGACAGCAATGGGATGTTCCTCTTTAAGGACACACTGAAAACTTGCAACAATAGCAAGGTCAATCAGTGGATTGATATCATTGAAGTTTACCGACAATCAATATTGTCTGCCTTGCAACAGTCTGAAGGACAAATGGATTTAGGGTATAATGACCAAAGTGTCAATAGTCAGATATTGACACCGGGGCGGCAATCCGTGAAATTGCCCAGCGGAAATAATTGCTTAGAAAAGTCACACAATAGGCGACGATTGGGGGCCAGTTTTGTGAATCTGACGTGACCAGAAAGATGTTGATCCCAGAAAAAAAAAATTACTTAGCAAAAGCTGTTAACTAGCCAAAATTTCACACTATGTCTATTATATTTGACTGGTTCCCAGTAACCAGTCATGGTTTCATGACTTCTGGCCCTGTTCCCTGCTTTTCTTTAATGTTTTTATTTCCCATTATCTTCTTAAAGAAACTTTTTTTTTTCAGGTTAAAATGTTGGAGTGTTAAAGTGTTCAGATTTCAGAGCTGAAATTGCTTCTAATTAGGATTTCAAACATGGATGACCTCCCAATTACAAATAACAATTCTACTTCCCCTCAAATTTGCAGTCAAGAACCAAGCTTTCTCGGACACTGATATTACTTTTCATCATGCATGACTTCTAGCCCTGTTTCCTACTTTTCTTTAAGTTTTAAGTATTTTGTAGAAGAAACATTTTCCAGTGCAATCTTTAAAACTATGAAAGTGTTGAGATTTCAGACAGCTGAAATTTTCTGTAATTGGGATTTCAAACATGGACGACCTCCCAAATTACAAATAACAATTCTAGTTCCCCTCAAATTTGCAGCCAAGAACCAAGCTTTCTCGGACACCGATATCACTTTTCATCGTGCATGACTTCCAGCCCTGTTTCCTACTTTTCTTTAAGTTTTAAGTATTTTTTAGAAGAAACATTTTCCAGTGCAATTTTTAAAGCTATGAAATTGTTGAGATTTCAGAGCTGAAATTTTCTTTAATTAGGATTTCAAACGTCGACGACCTCCCAAATTACAAATAACAATTCTAGTTCCCCTCAAATTTGCAGCCAAGAACCAAGCTTTCTTGGACACTGATCTTACTTTTCATCATGCATGACTTCTAGCCCTGTTTCCTACTTTTCTTTAATTTTTAGGTATTTTTTAGAAGAAACATTTTCCAGTGCAATCTTTAAAACTATGAAAGTGTTGAGATTTCAGACAGCTGAAATTTTCTTTAATTGGGATTTCAAACATGGATGACCTCCCAAATTACAAATAACAATCTAGTTCCCCTCAAATTTGCAGCCAAGAACCAAGCTTTCTCGAACACTGATCTTACTTTTCATCATGCATGACTTCTAGCCCTGTTTCCTACTTTTCTTAAATTTTTAAGTATTTTTAGAAGAAACATTTTCCAGTGGAATTTTTAAAACTATGAAACTGTTGAGATTTCAGACAGCTGAAATTTTCTTTAATTGGGATTTCAAACATGGATGACCTCCCAAATTACAAATAACAATCTAGTTCCCCTCAAATTTGCAGCCAAGAACCAAGCTTTCTCAGACGTTTATCTAACTTTTCATCATCCATGATATATTCCAAACAGACAGTCTTAGAGTTGACCGACGCGGATCATCCAGATCACTACCACGTGGAGTCTTGCCTGACGCACCTTGGTAGCTTCCTGGCCACCATGAACCCGGCCATAGAGCAGGCCGTGGAGGCTGCACGAACACACAAACTCTTCCTCTCTGAAAGGTACGGCAATCTCAAAAAAAGACATTGATTTTGTTTTCTGTTCTGGGTTTGAGACTTATAAAAGACATTTCTGACAGGATTCTGGAGTTGATCAAATGGAATGAATAACCTTACATACCGGGCGAGTAAAAAAAAAATTGAGTGAAAGGTTTGCGGAAACACCATGTGGGAATAATTTCTCAAAAAAATCTTAAAAACTGTATTTGTGTTCAAAATTCCATAACTCAAAAAGTACATGAGTGTTTTGAATGATACTTGTACTAAAACAAAAGCTTATTAATTGGGCTTTCACATCTTAGATCTGGAAGGCACAACATGCAGAACATTTGGGTTTCCTTTTTTGACTCGCCCTCTATTGTGTTGGTTAAGCATGGTCCAGTGGTCAATTAGTTTGCCTGACTTATAAGGTTGCATGGAGATCAGATCCCACCGGAGGACCATGGTGCTTGTGTTCCTGAGCAAGACACTTGATCACAATTGGTCCTCTCCACCAAGGAGTGTTAATGATAATGTGTGGTGCTTATATAGGGCATTTTACTATAGTCTCAAAGCGCTTCAAATTATTACCCCTGTTCATCAGGCCAGCAGTTTGAGATAAGTATGGTTTGCTCCCTACATTCCTAGGCAGAGAGAACTAATTGTAGTAAAGTGTGCTGCTGAAGAACACAAGCACTGTGTGCTCCTAGTTCACACTGGTATCAAACTGCTGCAAGTCCAATCTCATGATTACAGAAATATCAATAAGAAGCAATCAGCAACACAGTTTGGGGACATTTTCATAAATGGTTTTGTAAGCACCGATCAAACTAGTTTCACTGTTATTAGTCTTGCAAATAGCATCAAAAGATTACATTCTTGCCATCCAACAGGAGAAGTCTGGCATCCACTTACTCCCCGCATATCATAATAAGCAGTCAATCCTCATCACTCAACAAAGACAGTGGGGTCCAGTCTATGGAGGACGAGTCGCCCTATAACAGATACAGTCATCATCCGTAAGTTTGAAAGATATTTTCATTGCGGCAAAGTGATGGTGTCCCTGAATGGACAATACACCCAGAGAGCTTATTTTAAAACTACAGTACTGAAGTGACCCACATGTCAGAAATCTTTTCAAATCAGTTTCTACAGCGGTTTTCCTCTGGCATTAAAATCATAGCTACAGAAATTACAGCTATCTCAAAACTATGGCCCTGGGCCGAAACTTGTCTTGAACCAAAAGATGGTGCAATAGTTTCCAGACGATATACAGATTAACATACGTATTTACGAGATCAGACAACCCTCAGACCTATCTTAAGTTAAGACGAGTTCAGCCTGGTTGCTAAGGAGGTTAGGACGTGTTGAATGCGTCTTAAGTTTGATGCAATCGCTCCTATAGGACGAGTCATGGGAAAGATGAGTTACTCTTCCTGAGACGTGTCTTAGCGTTTTGTGAAATCGGCGCCAGGTCCACAATATCATATTTAATTGATTCAGAATGGTTCTTCTCTGGAAGACTTTTTATGTATCTGGTCTGCACAGTTGGCTCGATGTAGTCCATTCATTAGCATTACAGGATAATTCTATATGATATTTAACAATTGTTGACTGCTGTGATATGGGATATGACGTTTTGAACATCCGAGGGGCGGGGCTATGCGCCCCGAGGATGTTCAAAACGTCATATCCCACATCACAGCAGCAAACAATTGTTTTGTTATACCTCTGTCTTGGATTCTTTGGATTGTGATGTAAAAAACCCGAAAACAAACGGCAGTAAATCAAGACAGTCTATTAACGGAAACTCACATGCATGTCGCGTGCTCAAAACAGCTGATCGTCTGCTGATTCGCTACTCACACTCATGTGTGAAAACATGGTGAAAATAGCGTGGGTACCAATGATACAAGCGTTTCACACTGTACGTATACCGCACATACAATGTCATAGCACACTCGTGATATCCCACAGGGAGTGTGCCATGACTTTTATAATCTTTATAAACTAGGCCAATGAAAATACAGTATTCAAGACAGCGGTCTCAAATGTGACAGTTAGTCAGTGAGTCAGTGATCGTTGTTCAGGTACAAAGAGGACACTAGGCTGCCCCCTCGCCCCTTTGTGACCAACAAATCTAACTAATCATTTACTTGAATTTTCAGGCCAAGTCAAGAAAATGTACCAGGAGTGATGCACGACGGCATGAATGGCTTTCACAGTACATGGACTGCTAGCCCGACACGTCAGCGGAAATCCCCTAGTCACGGTCACACACTTCCTAATGGTTACAGGAGAAATCGGCGGGCGTCCTTACCCGGTATCAGCCTTTTTGAAAGCGAGAGAGTTGGGAATCCAGAGGTTGTGGCTCGGTCTAGTCCCAGGTATGGATGTCATATCAAGACAATCAAACAAACATTGGAAAATATTTTTAAAAATAATTTTGTATTTTACGAAGAAGCAACAGTGTGTGAAATCGTAATCTAATGTAGCATTAGAAGCTCCTTATTAAAGGCATATAGGATCATTTGCTTTTCACGCACTTTGTTTGTTTCAAATAATAACACCACTCATTATCCAAAAGAAGAATGTACAAAACTTTAACCTGTTGCAGTTTCAGCTCAGTGGATATTACACTTTTCAAGAAAACAGTGAAAAAAAAATGCAAAATCTTTTGTCAAGAAACACAATTTCATCCATAGCACTCTCTATTTAAAAAAAAAATCAGTTTGACTGATTGTTGGAAATCACCTACATTTCTTGATATCTTTTAAATGACAGCAAGCCAGACGAAATAATTTCATGGGGTGTTTAGTACCAGTATGATCTTTAATCCAAGTAAGCTTTTTGATAGTAATTCGGTAGGTTATTTTTGAGGTGAATGCAAATGATCCTACATGTATATGCAACCACACACATACTGGGGCAAGTGGCAGCCTTCATAGTTAAAGTGTTGGCTATACATTTATATTATGAAACAGTAAGTGAAAGTTTTGCCAAACAAAGAATAAATTAAAGTCCCGTCCGTATTTCCAGAACTTCTAAGCAGCACCGAGGACGTATGGGAAGACGCGGCAGCTACGACCAGAGAATGTTGAACGAAACCTACCCAGTGTCGACTCATCACGCATCCATGTCCGGTGACATCCCAGGAATGACTTACATCCCGGAGCAAAACAGCGACGAAGCGGAGTCCGCGTACAGACCCCACGATCCAAACCGGCATAGGAGCTCCAGATCGCAGAATAACCTCACGGAAATTCCCAGATACGGGATTTACCGTGAGCATGACGCTAACGGAGAGATGGGTTACGAACCGTCTTCGCCTTCCAGCGCGCTTCCTAGAGCTAGACAAACGGGGGCAAACCAACCACAACGAAGTCCTAGACACCGGAGACAAGTTGGCAGTCCTCAGTCCAGTTCTTCTTCGTCTAGGACCTCCACTCCTAGGGATGATTATTACCAAGAAGACGCAGGAACTAACATCATTTTTGAGGAGAGCGATCTTCACCATCACCACCACCACCATCGACGGCAGCAGCAGAAATATCGACAGCGGAGTGCATCCGGCTCAAGCAAACTTCTAAAAGTCCAGGATTTGGGCTCTGAAGAGAGGGCAGGGAGTACAGTGCAGCTGCAGCGCACTGGAAACTCAGAGCACCGCAGGCGGGCGCATTCTATCCCACACCTGAATCGGGTCGGGACGCCCGAGTCGACAAAACCAGGAATCCTCAAAGATGTTTGGAATGAAAGCAAGCCAGTGAACGGATCAGCAGAGATTTCAACACCAAGAACGAACGTGAAAGCTAATCTGAACAGAAGTCCCAGAGACAATCCGACTTCAACCGGTAAATCTGCCAAAAAGTCAAACTTCCTGACGGGATCCTTGAGGAACATTTTCTTTGGAAAAAGGTAAGTTGGGGAACAGTGTGGTAGTTTAAGGCACTTGTGATGATACATCATAAAAAAATAAGCAGACTAGTACTCGTTCCTAATTGCAACTGTAGTTTGCTGTGGTTCACATGTCACATTAAATCTCACCTTTTTGGTTTTTATTTGGAGTTGCAGAGTGGTTTACACCTTTTAATATGTGGTTTTCATTTTCATTTTCCACTTTTCCTTGTTTGCACCCTGCACCTTTGCACCCTGCTGCACCTTTGTACCCTGGCCTGGACTTGAACTGTGCTTCTATGCCAGCAGCACTGGTTATGGGTAAGTTGAAAAAGTGATAAACATCGATCTTTCTGTTTGTTCACTACTTAACACCCATATCAGACTGGGGTTCTAGAGTCGCGCCAAACCAAATTGTATTAGAAGTGACTCAGTCAACTCAAATATGCAGACAGGCTGATTTATGTATTGATAGACCAATCCTCAAGGCCCCGCCCACTGCATACATGGGCAACAACACATGCGTCTCTCCAATGCCACATCACATGTTCCTGCTGCATGCGTCACACAAAACGTGCACGCATGTCAAACTTTTGTGAAGGCATGTTGGACATTAATTCTAACTCCCTCTAGGCATTTTTACTAGGATGCAACCTCAATCCTGCAAAATCCTCCATTAATGTTTGAATGTGGTCCTTGGAGGGGTGACCATTGCTGCAATCCTGCAAAATCCTCCAGCAATCACTGTCAATATGTTGAGGCAGAGCCAGTGACGTCCTGGAGCAGTGCGAAGGATTTAATTTAGGCCTAAATGTATACACGGCTGAGCATAAACACCACAAGGTCTGGCCCTTTAGACTTTGGCACAGTGCATCCTGATGCAAAATTCCATCTTCACCCCGACGCAAATTCCATATCACCCCGACGCAAAATTCCATCTTATAATAGTTTATGCAGTACCCGCTGCTATGTACATCAGATTCGAACCAGCCAACCGATCCCGTAAGCTCGATGGTCGAGTGGTAAGACAGCTGCACTTAGAAGGCAGGAGGTCGTGGGTTTGAGTCCCACCCGAGTGATTTTTTCCAACTTTCACTCGGGAGGTAACACACTATACTTTGGAGTCATTCTAAATGACTGCAATACTCAATCCTCCATATGCTCAGTTGAAATCTGTGGAACATAATTTGGTTAGGAGCGACTCTTGAATTCTAGCAGTTGTATGAATGCTTGAATGCAGCTCAAACAGCATTTGTATTCCCCTGTGAAAGCACAATTTCAAATGTTGGAGTAAATATGGTCAGACTGATTACCTCCACCTTGGTTTATCCACATGGAGACAATTTAGAGACAAGCAACCATGCTTTGACATTCACAAAATTATCAGAAGCTATTGGCACACGAGGTCCTATGAAGGCGTTCATATGTTCTGAAGGCCAATTTACACATACATGACTTTGTTACGGGACAGTGCTGCATGTTTTTAAAAGTATGCGCAAATCAATAGTGTTTTACATTTAAGCAACAAAATCATGCCCCTTGTCACTCATTAACTTATGCACATTGAAAAATGTAAATTGGCCTTATATCACAAAAATCGTTACATTTTGTTTCAGTCGCAAGCGAGGCAGCCACGTGGTTGAACTAGATGACACCCCAAGCCACTCCACAAACAGCAGTACAACAGAATCGACAACAACACAGATGAAATCAGACACCTACCAAGATGAGGATGGACAACCATGCAGTAATGTATAGAGCAGTCACCACACAGACACGTGGGCACCACACCTGATGAGTGGTAGTTATTGTGGGGACCGAAGATGCTGTGGGGACTATTGGAAGTCCCCACAACTTGGTCCTAGTTTCCTCGACAATAAAAATGTGTAGTTGTTGGACCACAGTTGAGGCGAACACACACCTGAGGACAGTAGGGGACAGTAGACAGCCCCCACATACGTTGTCCTTGTTTCCCTGGAAGTTTTTGCTTTTCGCTTCCTGCTGTGAGGTCTTTGACTGTATAAGGTCTATGCAAATCAGGATCCTTATTTTGCAACCATTGCATTGGGTGTCCAAGGAAAATTATTACTTCCAAACACTATAAATTATTTGGTTTTGACTCGACTACGCACAATTGAAATGTAGTATTTCTAATTGTCAGTATTAATGCAAAGTTTGTATTACCTACGCAAGTTGTAGCAGCCACATTTTCTACAATTTCAGTTACAGTGTCAGGATTATGCCCTTTTTTTACCAAACAGAAAGAAATGTAGTTTTATACCCCCCCCCCCCCCGAGACATAGTGACGTCACATTTTATGTGCGCTTTCTTATGGGAACTTGGTGACTCTCGTTCTAACCAAAAAGAAAGCGCAAATGTAAACAAAGCTTTGCATCATACTGTTTCAGGGTTAATGAGTGTTTTGTGAGCAAACGAATCCATTACAAGGAAAATGGTATGTGTACTTGGTGTACACCTTTAACAAACCTATAGCAGGCATGCAACAGGGAATTTAGAAGAAAAAAGGAGGGAATTTCCAAACCACCCAAGACTTTGTACAGTGTTTCTCAATTTGTAACGGCATTCATGAGAAGTACAAAATGAGGAAATCAGTGGATCCGAGGAAAAGTTGCATGGCTGCTACAGGGTGGTGCGGCATTACGTTGGCTGATGAAAACATCTTTTCATTAGCACCTGCATTTTCATCGGTTGCTATGTGTTACCATTTAGCACTCCAGACTTAAGAACCATTTACTTTTATGAACATGTTTTTGGAACGAGATAGAGATTTCAGATGCTCCTGAATGTCCACGTCAACCTATAGGAATGTGCCTTTACTTTGCATTTATTGTAGAAATGTTGTTTGCCAAAACTTACATTTGTATCTTCTTAGTATGGAATCCTTTTCGATATAAATTTTCTACTAAATTTTTTTATTTAGGAAAGTTATATTTCCCAGAGGAGAAAATAGGGAAAATTTAAATATCTGTTTAATTTAAGGAACATGTGCAATAAGGTTGATATCTTCATGTACACCTAAATTATCGTTCATAGTGAATTTAGGTTGAAGTATTGTGGAACTTTTCAATATGAAAGTTATGCTGTTGAGAGTGTTGGATCATGACAGATTCAGTAAAAATGCCTGGGTTAGAGTTTGGAAACTAACTAAAAGACGTGAAGTACATGTATTATTCACCGTTACTGTGCTAATTTCAACCGTATATTTTTGTAACATTTTTTTTGGAAGAAAAAAAAAGTTCAACAAATTGCACTGATTAAACTGAATTTCTCTGAAATCTGTTAATTATATTATTTCTTATGTTTCCTTGTTTTAGCATACTGCAATTTGAACTGGTCAGAACAAGACAAGAATAGATTTCATCCAATCAAAACATTTCATGTCTTTAGTGATTACAATTTATTTTTAAAATCTCGAAGAAAATTGCATAAATATACAAAAAAAAGTGCTTGATAAAAAGATTTGGTTCAAAACCAACAATTCTCTTCATTCTCTTTACAAAAAGTTTTAACATATTTTTCATTTTATTAATTGAGTCGAACAAATGTTTTTGCATTGTCAAAATTCTTTAAGATTTTATCAGCACAGCAAAACATGCAAATAAATGGAAAACAGATGCTAGTTTACGATGATTGGACTGGGTAAGTTGACTATTAAGGACCAGGCTACCTAGGTAGATCATATTGCTGGTTATTAATAGATACCTAGATCCCAGTGTAAAATAGGGAACAAGGATCAAGAAGTTGTGGTCGTGTTTGATCATCGTTGAATTGGAGACATTTGCACTTTAAATTTATCTCTCACAGATGCTACATACATTAGAAAATTAATCATTTAACCACTTGATCAAACTTGCTCCGAATTGATCATAGCTCTTAGACTGTAAATGCTCAATGGTACAATGAATACAAAAGCACATTTGTCAATGGAAAATTGTCTGAAAAAGTAGCTGTCTGAAACCAAACTGCATTTGGGTCAAAAAGAGTTGCTCCTAATACTTGTTGCCAGTCTGAAATGCATGTGAATCAACCATTACCTGCCCTTCCAGGAGTATTCATGTCTAATTCAAGTGTCGTATCCAGATCAGCAGAGGATTGTCTTGTACTGAGTAACGAGGCGTTCTTTTGTTGAGATCTCAGGAAGTCAACCATTACCTCCCCTTCCAGGAATGTTCATGTCTAGTTCTGGTGTCATATCCAGATCAGCAGGGGATTGTCTTGTACTGAGTAACGAGGCGTTCTTCTGTTGAGATCTAAGGAAGTCGACCATTACCTCCCCTTCCAGGAATGTTCATGTCTAGTTCTGGTGTCATATCCAGATCAGCGGGGGATTGTCTTGTACTGAGTAACGAGGCGTTCTTCTGCTGAGATCTCAGGAAGTCAACCATTACCTGCCCTTCCAGGAATGTTCATGTCTAGTTCTGGTGTCATATCCAGATCAGCAGGGGATTGTCTTGTACTGAGTAACGAGGCGTTCTTCTGTTGAGATCTAAGGAAGTCAACCATTACCTCCCCTTCCAGGAATGTTCATGTCTAATTCAAGTGTCATATCCAGATCAGCAGGGGATTGTCTTGTACTGAGTAACGAGGCGTTCTTTTGTTGAGATCTCAGGAAGTCAACCATTACCTCCCCTTCCAGGAATGTTCATGTCTAGTTCTGGTGTCATATCCAGATCAGCCGGGGAATGTCTTGTACTGAGTAACGAGGCGTTCTTCTGCTGAGATCTCAGGAAGTCGACCTCCTTGCTCAGCATCTGTCTGTCTTGCATTAAGCTTGTCTGCTTCTCAAGAAGCTCATAAATCTGAAAGAAACAATCACAGTGGTCCATCAATTTTCGAATGAAGCAAAGCATGCTCAAGCCTGGTCTTTTGAAACAATATTGTCAGTAAAATTTCATGAAGCCACTTAGAGAAAGGCACTCCAGAGTCGCGCTGAACCAATATGTGATGTGTTACCACAAAATTAGCTTAAAAGTCTATGACTTTTTAAGAATAGAGATATTTATATTTCTGGATTCGGCAGAACAAGAGCTTTCCAGTGGGATGTAACATTTGGGGATACTGAGTTCAGTAACAGAAATATTGACCACCGTCTTAATTGAATTTGTTAGACTAATTTTGAGAAAAAATTGCATTTAAAATTCTGCTGATGTATCACAGTGATTGAATGGTCAAGTAATGTAAAATGGGATGAAACTAGGTTTTAAAGATGTTTGATAGAACAAAATAATGGGGCAGGGTAGAACGGGACGTACAGATTGAGGTTCACCAGGTGTATGTTAAACTCAAGACATGCATGCATGCACGTATGACACGCAGGGTTGGAACATGCAGTGTTGCATTAGACACGTGCATGTGTTGTTACCCATGTGTGTAGTGGGCGGGGCCTAGTGGATCGGTATATTGTCGTACCTGTTGAGAGCTCCTCTGTGCGTGTTCCTCCATCTGATGTAGTTTATTGGTCATCTTCTTGTGCATTCTGCCGTGATCTACGCACTGCGTTTCCATCTCGGCGTGTTGATTGGTCAGTCTGTCCAGTCGACTGGACAACTCTGCATTGGTCTGCTTCAACCTTCGGATTTCAGTTCTGGACACAAAAAAAAACCAGAAAATGAAACCAATTACTCATCAATATGCATGGGCGTGGGGGGGGGGGGGGGGGGGCGGCAAAGTGGGGCAACCCTCCCCCCCCCAACCCAACACTGACCTTGGACAACACTGAGTATACAGTGTTAATAAAATTATGTCGGTGAAGGACAAAACCAAAGAAGAAACAGTTGTTTGTTCAATGAATAAGACTTGTAATTCCCGACAAAAAAAATGAAGTGTAAAGAAAAAGGACTTGGCATTCGTTTACATGTATGTATACCTCATAATGAGCCAAGGACTATGGAATCCATGCACAAACATCCAATTCAAAATTGTGGAAGCACTATCGGACGCCATCTTGCCTCGTGCAGTGGGTATTCTCAATGCATTATTTCCTTAAATAAATAAATATATTTGGGGGGTTAACCGTCCTTACTCGCAGAAGCTGAATCGCTAGGGATGCAGCTACAACATGATCAAGTCAAAAGTATTTAAAGGTGCCTTGGGCAACTGCCAATACGACCCACGTCTGACCACGGAGCACAGCCAATGATCCAAAGTGAGGAAAATGGGAGAACCGGAGAAAACCCTTGTGGCACAGGAGAGAATCAACGCACAACTCTACTCGCATATGAGCAGAGCCAGGAATCGAACCTGGGCCACAGCAGTGAGAGGCGAGCGCCTTATGCAGCCTGCCATTATTTGGCACTGTTTCTCTCAACCCACCTGTATTTATTACTGAGTTGATCCAACTGCTCCGTCAGTGTTCTACCTTCATCCCTGAGTTTACTGATCAATGAACTCTGGTTGGATACCATGTCTTCTAATTCTGCCACTGTTAGAGCTGGTAAAGGAGAAAAAAAAATCAATTTCAGCAAAATTGTGTCAGAGACTAAATACAGACGAGAAAATCATCATATTAATTAAAAAGGAAAATGAGACAAGTGTTTCATAGGGTAAAACAATTATTTGGTGGTGATGTCAAAAATTATATTAAAAAAAATATTAAAAAGAGGGGAAACTAGAAAGCACTCAGAGAGCGTAAAGCTCCGCCAAGGCTAAACAATTCCCCGCCATATTGTCAGTACACCCCAAAGAAATACTTGCATAAATGGTGAAAATCCTTTAATAAATCCTGGATCCAGACACAGATCCGGATCACTTCCAAAATCTAACGATTTGTGATTTGTACTTGTACCCAGGACCACCCCTAAAATTGTTTTCATGCAAATCCATCCATAACTTTTTGAGTTATCTTGTTAACAGACAAACCAACCAACAAAATAACCAAATCCAATGAAAACATTGGGGTGGGTTGATGCATGTTAATATATATTTGGCCCAGCAGTACACATTCTGAAAGGTCAATGTCAAATTCCTGACCAGAATTAGAAACACTTTTCTGTTTGTTAACTGAAAAGAAAACTACAAAGCAGGGCTGAGTATGGGTCAGTTCATGCTTCGTGCAAAAGTGAAAATGAAAGTGATTAAACTATTTTGACTTACAGTATTTAGATTCTAGTTCATGTATAGTCTGTTGTTGGTCCATCTCTCGTTGCTGTGCTCTGCGCGTCACAGTCTTCACTTCCTCATGTCGGCTTCTCTCAAGACTGTCTCTCGCCATCTTGATTTGGCTCGTCTTGGGAAGGTGATCAAAAGACGAGGAATCAGAATCAGAAATTGGAGAGAATATCAATGTGAAATTAAAACCAAGTCGAATGTCAGTTAAAGCTGTGTGTCCACGCCATGTATTTTTTTGTCCAAAAGAGTTGTAAAACTAACAATGTTATTTTTCCGCGACCCAGTTGGCCCTGTAAAACGTACCAAGTGCTCCAGACCGTAAAGCTAACAATCGACTGTCAAAACTTGACCATTTGGGATGTTTACAAGCTGTCTGCACTGGATTTAATTTGGTTAAGTTGACAACAGTCTCTGCACGGCTTTAGACTGGTTGTACACTGGTGAAAAGAACCACTAAACGTCAATGAATGGGTTAAATCTAGCCCATTGTGTAGACCAGATGCATGAAAAGACCCCCTCTGAATAGCCATTCTGAGTCAATTCGGGCGATTCCCAATGCAGTGCGCCACCAAGAGTTTGCCATGGAGAGTCAACTTTTCAAGTTAACGGTTGACAAAACATGGCCCATTTGAATGAGTGTCAGTAGACAACTTGAGCTAATTTGTTATAGATTGGGGCATAGCAGTCTGCTGCCTTACCAAAAATCACCATATTGATAAAAAGAAAAGAAAAGGGCAAACATATACTCGAATCATACGCTTACGAAACTACTGACCGGAAAAAACGAACAATTTCAAATGTCCCACGTTGCGAATTGGTCGACCATCTACCACAATGCACTGGGAAAAATTAACTCTATGTGGCAAACTCTTGGTGGCGCACTGCATTGTGAATACCCAGAATTGAATGGAATCGTGTGTACTCTGGGACCAGCTTTACTAGACTTGCCCAGTCTTTTTTTCATGTCATCGCCTACCTCTCTCTCAGATGCGTTGAGGTTCTCTGTCAGTCTGATACACTCTTCTCGGCTGATTGTTGCTTCTTTCTCTGCCGTTTCTAACCGCCTTCTTGTTTCTAACAGTGCTTTGTTCAACCGAACAATTTCCTGTTAAAAAAACATACGTCAGGATACATATTAATATAATTCCTAATAAAAAAAGACATTGAAATTATGAATAGTAATGCCTGAACTGCTTTGAAAACATTTTGCAGAAAACCCTCTTTAGATTAGAAAAATGAAGTCGGTTTTGCAAAACTGTGTGATAATTATGAAAAAAAAATTGTTTTGGTAGCCCTCCCTTGCATCGGTTTAAATGGTTCAACATGGGTCACTGAATTTGAATACAAAATGTGAGCTGTTAGTAAATATCAGTCTGGTATAAAATATTGAAAGTGGAAGGGATGTAGGAATTCATCTCTCAATGGTGGATTTGGGGAAGGTAAAAAATCCACGAAAAATATGGAACTTCTGAAACTGGTCACAAAGTGCCATATGCTGTTCGTGCACTGAGGCAATTGACAACTTTCCAGTCGGTGTCCTACCTGCTCTTTGTCCCTGACTTCTTGCTCCGTGGCATGCTTCAGTCTCTCCAGCTGCCTCAGTGCTTCATCTCTCTGTACCTTGGCAGTCGCTGTTGATAGGTGCACACCGTGGGATACCTGATGGGATGTCAAAACCAAGACGTTATTGTCGATGATGCCTTATACTTTCACGACACTCTATTTCACTCTTCCCAGACTTTGATTCAATTTTCTTACACTCGCTTTTCAAACATCTGGCATGCTTTTTGAGATGTGGAAATCCTACCACTTGATTAAAAAAACAACTTCATTTGCCATTTCTAGTATTTGAGTGGGTTCGACATGGGACTTTTAGGGACAAATATGGACACCTTGACAAAATAGGTCTCATACAGGTCTGGTACTGACAGCAGAGAAGACTGGTTTGGACTGAACCAAAGACATTTAAAAAAAAAGTGGATGTATTGGTCTTGTAATACACCTGATGGATGTAGTGCACAAGTACACGCTTAACAGTGACAATGAGAAATGACAGGCACTTAATGCCCTTGCCAACGTAAAAATGACTCGGGCCTGTGCTGGTTGTGCACTCTTGTTGCAGTACACATGCAAACTTGTGTCACACTTGTGCAAACTTGTAGCATACTGTTCCTGCACATAGCTAGTCCATGCAAAACTCAGGATATCAGTATTTTACACAGTGACGTAGAGACCAGGGGTTTGGGGGTGGAAACCCCACCAACCCCCTCCCCCAAAAAAGAAGGGGGGGGGGAAGAGACGGGGGAGAAGGGAGAGGTACCTCTCGCATCTGATCACCGAGCTGAACATTCTTTCTGCATGCGACCCGCTTGGGCGTGGTGCGCTGTATGCGGACATGGCTTAAACCATTAGCAGGGTCTTACAATTTTTGGAAAAAAATAAGTTGGTAAACCCATCCCGTGAAAAATTTCTTGCTACACCATTGATTTTACCTGACTGATTTCATTGCTGTGTTGCATGATCTGGCTTTTACACTGCTCAAGCTCTGACTGGACAGCAACTTTCTCCCTGGTGACTCGATCCAACTGGTTCTGGGTGGACACTAGGTCCTCTGTTAACTTGGCAATCTGAAAATAAAGAAATAAATCAACGATAAATTTTGTCAAGTATTTCTCAGACTTATATGAGATGTAAACAGTAACTGGGGTCCAATTTATGAGGGGGACAAGGACTTCTTATTTTTAGGAAGGTGTCATAATAATAACAAAACAAGTGCACTGGAACGGCACCGGTAGAACACCAGATCAGCAATCCAAAGGTTGCAGGTTCAAACCCCACTCTGGTCAATTTCTTTGTTCAACTTAAAATTTCACAATATAGTTATTTTAAAAGTTGTAATAAAAAGCCTAATATCCTCTATGAGTGATCCCCATCTGCTATTTCCGGATTTGCAGCATTGCTAAATGTTGCTAGCATCAGGACTTTGGGCAAGATCCATGGCTACATGGTATATACAGGTTTATAGCTTCTGACTATTAAACGCCCCTTGAACAAAGACATGGGCAAAAGGGGAAACGCTACCATAGGGCTGGATATAGCTCTGTTGGTAGAGCACTGGACTAGCAATCTGGAGGTTGCAGGTTCAAACCCCTTCTCTAATCTTTTTCTTTGATCAACTTAAAAAACCAAAGTGCTGTAAACTGTGGGGCACAAGTGGAACAAGGGTCTCAAGGGGTGGAGGGGTGGGTGAGTGCCTCAAGGGGGAGGGGGAGTGTGCCTTAATAAAAGCAATTTCATTGTCAAGTGTGTTTTACTAAAAATTACACTGAGCCCAAAACATCTCAGAATTGAACTTAATATTGCTGTTTGACCATAACATCCTACTGGGCCATGATTCAACTCATCATATCTACAATTAAAATAAAGGTATGAATCATTATGATTTTGCTCCAGATTAGTTCTTCATTTCACCTTTTGGCTGAGTTGTTGCAGTTCATGCTGGCATTCCTTCCTGGTGAGTTCCCGTTCTTGAAGCAGTTTGCGTTGGTGTTCCAGTATCATCTCCTCCATCCTCTGCTGAAGACGATGTTGATCATCTTTGAGTTGCTCTCTCTGGACAAGGAGCTACAAGAAAGTGCGGATCAATTAGAATGCATAGAACACAATTAATAAGCAGAACTGCTGAGAAGAATGTTTTCTGAGGTGCTTTATGTCCTGCGGTATTTTTGTTGGGATGTAGTTTGAAAACTATGTTTGTTGGCCATTTGGAATAATCACTCATGTTTCTAAGGAGTTAGTGAGTGTTACATATGTATCAAAATGAAGTCAATGAGGTTTTGTCGTGAACTTTGGAGAGCTCAGCTTTAGTTTGATTTCAGATGAAGATTACTGACCATTTTTCACTTTATCCTATACCTGATATAACAGATCTTTCTCTCCCTTTTTAAAATTTGTGTTCAATGCTTCACCGCTCTCATTCAAAATTGGATGGATGGATGGCTTGTTCCTCGCATGCGAGGATCGGGAGGATGGGCTCTCTATCTTTTGCAGGCTCGGAGGTGGCTGTAGAGTCCGATTCAAAATTATCCATATGCAATCAGACAGTCTGTTAATAGTATCAATCAACTATGAAAAAACTTTGCATTTACGTTCTCAACAGCTGCTGCCAGGTTTGGGTCACACTGTAGGGCCCAATATAAATGGTGGGGATTTGGGTCATCTTTGCAATTCAAACGAAAGCAATCAACAGTCAATCAAGAAACAGTCAGAATTCAATCAAAGGCCAATTACAAGTCAATCACAGCTAAAACTACAGTTCAACTCTAAGTCATGGGAATGACCAGTGATACAGAAATGCCTCATTTGACTGGCTTGTATCTTGATTTGAAAGTGAATGACTTGTGCTGACTTGTAGTGAATTGGGGTTGACCCTTAACTGCTCCAATACTTTTCATGCCCCAAACTTATGGCGTTGGTTACTCAAAAAGTAAAAATCGCTAGCCTCGAGGACAATTGACATTTAATAATGCACTAAACAAGTTAAGTGCCCGTAAGAAGATTATATCTTTTAGATCTTATAGATATTAGTTATTACATACCATATTCTTGAATCCAAATTATTGAATTTTGTTCATAATTACTTTCTAATTATTGTTTTTGTAGTTATGAAATTATGTAATTATTGTTAAATAATCAGAGATCCTACCTCAGTTTTCTCCAGCTGTGCTTGCTCCACCATGGTGACACTCTGTTTGACCTGATTGTATGCATCAGATTCTCTCTGCTTCAAATCATTCATCGATGCCCTTTGTCTTGTCAACGTTTCCATCAATTCATCCCTTTCACTAGACAATCAGTTAAAAAAAAGTCAGTAGTTCATAAGACCAACCACAAATTCTTGTCTGCTACAAAATATTTCAAGAAATGCAGAAGTGGTCGATTCTTCAGAAATTGAAACTAAACTAATTTGGGGGGAAAAATTAAGGTTTTTATGTATGTAATACAAATGATTATTGTTCACTGAAGCGTTGCTAGTAAGTAACGATGAACATTTCTTAAGATGTTTCATAAGTTGGTCTTTCCGTGCATAAATTAGTGTAAATTTAATTACAAAATATCACGCACATGACCGATCAAAATGTCACACATGTGACCACAGAACAATTCCAATTTGAAACTAAAGCTGAGGGTGTATATCGTAAATCACAAAAGGCTAGTCTTACTCCAAAATTAGTATGGGTGTGTGTGTCCTTAGGACTTTGGAGAAAAGTGTGAATTTCCAATATGGGCCTCGATAACTTTTTTACGTCTGAAGTCACACACGTGACCAAACTTTGATGACTTCTCCTAATATTTTGACGCAATTTGCGAAAGGAGAATCTATATTCTGAGGTAGGGAGTAAAAAGTAATAACCTGATGAATCAGTGAAAGTAATATGTCAGATGTAGTTAACAAGGGTAAAGCTTCAATAACTACAGTTGTTTTTTTAAAAAGACTTCCCCAAAAAGTCAAAAGAAGCAGCATATTCTTACCCTGTGATTCGCTCAACTGCCTTAGCATGGGCGCTTCCATGTGTAGATGCAATGACTGCTTCATGTTGGGCACACCTGACACATAAACCATTCTCCAGTTGAGATTCTTCTCTTGACATGAGATTGACGGACTCGGCCATGCGGAGCTTAGAACGCAGCTCATCGCATTGTCTCTCGTATTTCTCAAGCTCTGACCTGGAGGGAAAAAACACTCCATCAACACGAAATACTTAGAACCAAGCTACTGGGGTGGTGATGCTTGTGTCCACAGGCAAGACACTTTGTCATGATTTCCCTAACTCCACCATGAAATCAATGGATACTGCCTCATATTTTTCTCTAACCTGGAGGGAGAAATAAATTACAAGGAGAAATTATGAGCACAGCCTTCGAGGTTGAAGCGCATGTGTTCTTAGGCAAGACACTTTGTCACAATTTGCCACTCTCCACCCAGAAATGAATAGGTACCGTATTTCTCAAGCTCTGTCCTGGAGGAGGACAATACATCATAAGAATGAAAAGCAACGAGTCAAGCCAGTGGGGTTGTGGTGTGTCTGTCCTTATAGGCAACCACTCTGTCCTGATTTCCCTCTCTTTACCAACAAAAGTATGGGTACTGTCATTCGTGTTTCTCAAGCTCTGACCTAGAGGGGGGAAAAATACATCATAAGAATGAGAAGTTATGAGACCAGCCAGTGGAGTTGTAATGCATGTGTCCTTGGGCAAGATGATTTGTCATGATTTGCCTCTTTCTGTCCAGAAATGAATGGTTACAACAAGAACAGAGGTGACTTAGCCCTGTGCACCACAATGGCAGCATGGAACTGTTAGACTCATAACACCCAGTGATCTGCGGTTTCAGGGTTGCTCAAACATCCAGTGAGTAGAGGTAATAAAATATAATGGTCAGGTGGTGAAAACGTCTGAGCTAGAAGCAGGAGATCATGATTTTCATAAACAACACCAGGATGTCATACGTTTTGTCCAAGTCTTACCTTGTGTAGGAAAGTTGAGCTTCTAGACGGTTCGTCTTTGCTTCATGAAGAGCTTTCATCTGCTCCTGTTGAAGCCAATCACAGTTTGGATAATTTGTGCGAATACTTAAATTCCCATGATTCTGTCTAAGACCACAGAATTTCTGAGTTACCTTAACAGTAGACGTGCTTTGTGGCCACTTTCATAATAAAAATAGTTTGTAATGCTTATATAGCGCTTTCCATCGTATCAACAATCTCTAAGCGCTTTACAATTATTCCCCCGTTAATTAGGCCATGAGACCACGCGGCAGCTGATATCAGCGCACATTCAGTCCTCTACCCTCACAGGTAACCATTCATACTCCTGGGTGGAGAGCCCCCAGTGGGATAGCCTTTAGTCAAGTCCCAGGCGCCTATACCAGGACCATCCGGACACGTAACGCACCCTGTATGCTGGCACGTAAAAAGACTAGCACGAGCGACAAAGCCGCGAGGGCCTTTACTATCTCGTGGAACTAATCACTTATTCATTTATTCACGTTATATAAATCAAGCAATATAAACCAATCATCTAACGGTGGTTTGCGGTTACCAGCAACAGCACGCGCGCCATTGCTGTCTGGCGCCAGACGACGGTTGCATGATTTATTTTAGTAATTCTGCATTTTCATTGGTCAATTCACAACGGGTAATGCATTATGCATGTCTACCAAATCGGTAGACAAATGTAAAGAAAAACATAAGCGTTCTCCACGAGATGGTCAAAGGCCCTCGCGGCTACGCCGCTCGTCCTAGTCTTTTTACGTGTCAGCATCCGGGGTGCGTCACGTGTCAGGGTAAGCACGTGGGACTTGACTAAAGGCTACCAGTGGGAGGGACAAACAGCAAGCACGTACTAGTTTGTGGTGTATGGCGCGAAGTACGTACGAGATGTTCTACTCTGAGCTTGCACAAACTTGTAACGTCTCCGTGTGAGCGTCAGGCGCCAACAGCAATGCATTCAAGAATGCCTCCCAGTGGTCTCCCCCAACTCTCCCTCTGTAATCCTTGAGGGGGTACTTGTGCACGGGGTCCATACCTGAATGCATGCAATATGTGAATGAGTGTGGCGCCCCTCAGTAATGGCAATCACAAGATTAATCTGACGCATACCAATTCCTGTGCAAATCTCCCAAACGAGTTCTTGTCCATTGGAGTTTCTGGGGTTACATTCGCTAGTCCTGCAGTTGAGGTAGGTGCATCCTTTTTGTGATCTTCAGTGTCCTAAAAAGGAACAAAATAACAGAATTGAGGATCTAAGAAATATAAGAAGTGTGATGCTTTAATGGATTTGGATTGTACTAGAAATTTGATACAGGTCTGAGATGGTAGCATGTAAAGCTATTACTGATTATTCTGCCATTTTAATCTTCTAAAGTCTATTTATTTAAAACTTTTAAAATCAAAATTAAGTATTTATTTTATTGACGATATCTATATGATAGTTGAGTTAAAATGTTCAGGTTTTTAAGGATTTGCTTCTTATATATGAACACTAAAATTCATTGTTACTTAGCCTGTCAGTGGTCAACATCATATCAAAACAGTAGCAACGACCGATGAAACAAGGTGAATTTTTTTTTTCTGACCAGAGAGTAAATATCAACCAACAACAACATCCTTGATTTAACTGGTTAGTACTCCTCATTCCAAAGACAAAGAATGTAAAGATTATCAAATGATCACTGATACCTCTCTGCAAAAACTGAAACCCACTGTAAAAAGTATGCAAAACAATGTAGATGATGTTAGTTTGTGGTTTCAGTGACAGCATTACAGAGTTCTGTCACTTTCTTCCTTACCTGATCAGTCTGTCCTTCCCCTAATGCTAGCTTGACTACTGATGTCTTCAACTCCTCGTGAAGTCGGATGTTGTCGTCCACGACGCTCTGAATCTTGGCTCTCATGGAGGCTAGCTCATCCTGAAATCAGTCAAATCAAAATCAAATCACTCTAATCAATGCTGAAATCAATCTTTATTGGTACCATAGGCATGGGGTGGCATGGGTGGCTTGTGCGTAAAGCGCTCGCCTCTCACCAAGGTGAGATCACATGTGAGTAGAGTTGTGCGTTGGTTCTCTCCTGTGCCACGAGGGTTTTTCTCCGGGCCCTTCGGTTTTCCTCCCTCCGTAAAATATCAAACACTTTCGATCTCAGGCTGTGCTCCGTGGTCATATATGGGTCGATGTGGCCGGCAGCCATAGGCGCCTTTACATGCCAGCGGCCCGACCACGTTGTAGCTGCGTCCTTTGCAATTCAGCATCCCAGCTGCGAGTAAGAATGATTAGCCTCCCAAATAAGTATTATTATCATAATTAGTATAGACCTGAGACTCTCCCTCGTCCCCACTTGGCTCACATAAGCTTGGCTCCCATGTAAGCAAAGCTTGAAATCATCCTGACTTGGGTCTAGGGGCTCCGGGAATGAACAGAAGATGATGCTTGTTTACAACTTTCCAGACACCCATAGGAGGGACACACTGCGTTCATGTATTGGTTCATGCGTGTATGGCGTGGATACACACGACTCCTTTGCATTCTGAATGTACTCAAATCAACTGAGTGCTGTACTCTTCAATTATGAAGTTACCACTCAACTGGAAGAAGAACTGCATCTTCGAGTGAGAATCAGAAAGCGTTCATATGTCCCTAAGTACTAGGGCCCAATTTTACAGTGCTTCTAAGCAAGAAAAGGTTGCTCAGCAAAGTTATGTGCTTAGCATAAATCAGCTGAGCACCAGTCACAATCAATACACCTCATGGCATTTCAGCTGGTAACCTGTTTCTGCTAAGCAAATATTTGTCCATGCTTAGCAGATTTATGCACTGAACAGCTCCCTGACATTGGCATTTCAGTACCTTACAGAAGGCATTTTCTCCCTCTAGTTGCTGTATGTAAGCACTTTGGCTGCTCATGAATGGTAAGATGTCTTCAAGACTTGGCTCGTTCTCCCCTGTCGTCTGTGACTTGCCCCCCAATCCAGACGAGGTTGTAGGATCCACATGGGATGGCCGTCCCTACACAGAGCAAGTCAGTTACAAAAACAAATATGCAAAAACAAAAAACACATTTAATTAGTCTTCACCAATTCTTAACAAATGTTACAACGTTTAGAAAGATACATGTAAAATTATAAAAGAAAGCAATTTGAGTAAATTATCAATTTTTTTTTTCCTAATGAAACCAAATAAATCCATTACAAAATTAAAATGTGGCAAAATGAGATGGAACTGGGCACAGGCCCTAGAAACCCCCCCCCCCCAAAAAAAATCTTTCCAATATCAGACTCTGATATTTTTAATCTTTGATATGTCTACTTCACATATTTTGCAGAAATAGTATGAAAATTGTGGGAAAAAGTGTATTTTAAGGAACTACAAAACAGTTGAAACTTTAAAGGCCTTTTACTCAGTATTTTACTTTTTTACATGTCAATAAATGTGAACTTTAAACAGCCATAACTTGTCAACGGAATGTAAGATTGAAGTGCAATACAAAGTATTCAGAATTTGATTCTCTTGCCTAATACCTGCAAACCCTCATTCGACCTCTGCCTTAATTCTGTCTCATTTTTGCCAGAATGCCTCACAAATCTCTTTGTAAAGTGTTTTGGCGTAATTGGCGACAAAAATTATTCAGCAGTGCACTAAACCAGCATTATGTAGTCAAATCAATCACAAATCCATCACAAGTCATCCTGCCCTTAGTTCAACTGATTGGTGACAAAGGCATTCTTCTGTTTTTGTTCATCACCTGTTGCTTGAGAATGGACTTGTGATTTACTTGTGACCGGACTTGTGGTGGACTTGTGATGGGCCCGACTACAACTTTTTTCGGTGAACTTGTCAGCCTTTTTACCATCAACAAGACAAGGCAAGTTCAGTTGAGTTTGAGCTTGTCCCACAGCACACAAAATTCTATTCAATTGATTCAGAATGGCTTTTCAGTGGACGTTTTTTCATGCATCTGGTCTATATCTGGTTCATCATTGTGACGTTATCTCAATTGAATCACGCGTTCTTCACACGATGAAGCCAACGCAGCTTGAATGTTCATCCAATGGTGCTAGTAATCAGTGTTGCACACGCGTGTATGACGTTTTTTACTAACAAACCTGATAATAGGCCATTACATGATATTCCTATACGATAGCACTGCCCGGCTCTCCTTTAAAGCTATAGTCCATCATTTGCAGCCATCCGAAAAGTAACTGGCGTAATTATTGTTGAAAAACATGCTTGGTTAAAAGATAGTAAGGGGACTAAACTCCCTGTGAAATTATTCTTTCTGGCAAGCTCTCATTTTGAAGTAATCAATGAAAGAAGGCCTTTCCAACAGTGCGTCTTAAGACGCACCGTAGGAAAATTTAAATTAGTAGTTCGTTTTGTTATTCGGCGAAGCGCGCGCAAGCATTGGCACGACGCACACGCGGTTGCTATAATTCGTCGGATCAGTGCACGACATCGCATATAGCTGCAATCGTCTCAGTGAGAACGCGTCTCGGACGCTGAATTCAAAACATGATTCAGCAACTCTTGATTTGAAATTGAGATCCTAAAATGCTGTTTTTCTCGGAATATACAGCTGAAGCTGAGCTGAAACTTCATCAGGTTAGTTGTTCAGTATCCTTCATTAGATTTTGAACACTTCTGTTGCTTCAAACAAACAAAATGCACAAATTACAAATGATGGACTATATCTTTAACAAACTCAGTCAGTGAATTAGTTGGTGAAATAGGTACAAAGCGGGTACAGTGAAAATCTGCCTAGTTAAAAAAATGATTTTTGTTTTGGCCAATCAATTAACAGTTGTTTTTCAAACTGACTGTCACGATGATGCCTATTGAGTTTTTATACCATATCCAGCCTTGGTCCGGTTCCGGGAGTGTGTGTAAATGCACTGCGCTGGAATACATCATCATCATGATGAGTGCGCTGCAGTGACATGTGCTGCTGCTGCTGCTGCAGCATTGCCTTGAGTCTGTGCACAGCCCCTTGATGATCTTTTCTTGTGAGTCTGAGTGATTCCCTGCCTGACCTTGGGGTTGATGATTGATATCTTGGACTGGTTGACAGGGGTGGCTTGAGGGATTGTGGCCCAGGAAACGGAGTGGTGAACGTGTGCTTGAGCTCCTGCAAAGACTCATTTGCTCGTCCTAAACCAACCAACAAACAAACAAAACAAAAAAGCTGTATCTCTCTGAGTGATCCCTGTTTGCTATTTTCCACGTTTGTAGCATTGCTAATGTGGGCTAGCCCTTGAACAACATGGAGAGAATTAGGAAACTGCCAACATAAACCTGGATAGCTCAGTCGGTAGAGTAATCTGGTTGCAGGTTCAAATACAGCTCAAGTCAATTTCTTTTTTCAACTCTATCATAAATAGGAAACAAAAAGAAATAAGACACTATGCCTGTGAACAAAATTTTGGACACAAAAATATGAGCATAAGAGTTGAAAAAAATGGAAGAATTGGTCCAACTCAGAAAATCCACCATCTTGGGGAAAAAAAGGCCTACTCCAATTCCTTTTTTTTTCAAAAGCCCTGACAAGAATTTTTTTCTAAATTGGTCCAAGAGGTTTTGTACTGAACTGTGAAATAGAGCGATGTGATTAGATTAAGTAAAAAAAAAAATAGTTTTTGAGCTATTGGAAAAAAGGGAGGAGGTGGCTCTGTTTTCCTCCCGAGATGATTGTGGATTTTGCAAGGAATCTTTTGCCAATACTTTTGTGTCCAAAGGAGCCGTCACCCTTTCTACCAGATTCTTACACTTACACTTACGATTTAATGGGAATAAGTATTACGCTTTACAAGCCTTTATGACCCCATATCTCTTCCAGTACTCGTCGAGCTCATGTTTGAAAGAATTTGTGGTCTTGGCATTCACAACATAACTTGGTAGATCGTTCCAAGTGTTGACTACTCTCTGGGAGAAAAAGTCTTGTCTGCATCTCAGAGCTTTGTTCATCCCACTCTTAAAGATCTTCATGTTGTGTCCTCTTGTTTCTCTTGTGTTGGAGATTTTGAAGAATCTTGTTGGTTCTGTTTTGTCAAATCCGTTGAAAATCTTGACAAGTCAAGTGCCTCTAGCCTGTCTGGATAGCTAAGATGTCTTACAGCAGGAACCAGTTTGGTTGCTCTTCTTTGCACCTTCTCCAATGTGTGGATATCTTTCCGCAGCCCTGGGTTCCATGCTTGGACGCAGTATTCAAGATGAGGCCTTATGTATGTTTTGTACAATACAGCAAAACTATCCTTGGTTATATGCTTGAAGGTTCTTTTGATAACTCTGAGGCTATTCATCGCTTTCTGGGCAGACTTTGCACACTGAACAGACGACTTACAGTTGTTGCAGATATACACTCCCAAGTCTTTTTCTTGATCTGTTTCTTGTAGTTTGGTATCTCCCATCTGGTAGACACATCCTGGGTTGTTGTTTCCCATATGCATGGTTTTGCATTTGTCTGCGTTAAATCGTAGGAGCCATATCTTGGACCAGTTCAGCAGTGCGTCGATATCACTTTGTAGTTTGACTGCGTCTTCCGGTGACTTTATCGTTGTGAACATTTTAGTATAATCGGCGAACATCTGAACATTTGATTTTACTGTTCCAGGTAAGTCGTTGATGTACAGGATGAAAAGAAGCGGTCCTAGCACCGATCCTTGAGGAACTCCGCTTGCAACGTCTGCATGACTTGATTCAGCATTCCTTACTGCTACTACCTGAGATCTGTCAACTAGAAATCCCTCAATCCACTTGGCTATCTTTCCTTCAATTCCATATGTAGACAGTTTTCCTAGTAGTCGTCTATGTGGGACTGAGTCGAAAGCTTTTTGGTAGTCCAAGAAGATGATGTCTACTCCGCTGCCCTCATCTAAGTCATGGGTAACCGTTTCTAGTGTTTCAAGCAGGTTTGTCAAACATGATTTACCCTGGGTGAATCCGTGCTGCCTGTCAGATAGTATCTCATGTTGTTGTACAAACTCAGTCATCTTGTCCTTGATTAATGACTCCATTACCTTGCAGGGAATGCATGTCAGGCTAACTGGCCTGTAATTACCAGATTTTGTCCTAGATCCCTTTTTGAAGATAGGGGTTACCCTGGCTGTTTTCCAGTCTTTAGGTAGTTCTCCACTGTCAAGTGACTTTCTGTAGACATGGTACAATGGTAATGACAGCTCCTCACTGCATTCTCTGAGTACTTTGGGGTGAATCTGGTCTGGCCCTGGGCACTTGTCTGGTTTTAATTTGTCAAGTTTTGCTTTGATGTCGTCGTAGGTGAAGTTCAAGTCATCCAGGATGATATCAACTACCCTTGGAAGTTCTGGGATCTCCCCATCTGGCTCTAGGGTGTACACCGACTGGAAGAATCTTGATAGCTCCTCTGCTGCTTCTTTATCAGTTTTTGTCAGATTTCCGTCTTCTGTTTCCAGCTGGGAAACTCCAACTTTAACTTTCTGGTTTTGTCTCACGTAGTTGTAAAAAGCTTTTGGCTTTTTCTTAAATTCTTTCATAAGCCGCTCTTCGTGCTCTGCTTGTGCTTTCCTCACTATGCTTCTTGTCTTGTTGCTTTGTTTCTTGTACTCTTCATAATCATGGTATGCTTTTGATCTCCTGTACCTCTGGTACAATCTAAGTTTCTTTTTGTCAGACTTTGTGACATGTGAACGAAGCCATGGGGGTTTACTCTTCGTTTTTGGTTTTGTCCTCGGTACTTTTTCCTGGACTGCCTGGTTGTATTCTTTCTTTAAATACTGCCATGCCTCTTCACAGTTCATGTCTTCCATCTTCTGTTCCCATTCAACTGCTCCAAAGTAGTCCCTCATGCTGACATAGTCTGCCTTGTTGAAGTTTAGTCTTCCTCCGTTCTCCTCTTCCCTTGACGTGATGTCAGAGCTGCATACGTAAGTCCACGTTAAGCCAACATGGTCACTCTTTCCCATCGGAGCTACATCTCTAAGATTTTCAACCATGAACTCTTCGTTTGAGAAAACCAAGTCCAGGATTGAGGACTGTTGACCGTCTCTGTGTCTGGTAGGCAAGTTGACATGTTGAATGAGGTACAAATCCTGCGTTGTGTCAAAGAAATGGCTGGCTGGGTGTTGTTCACCCGTCCTTACTTCACTTGTTTCCCAGTTTATTTGTGGGAAGTTGAAATCGCCAATTATAAGTAAGTGGCTCCTCTTCTTCTCTCCTACTTTCTTTAGTAGTTCTAGTAATTTCTCGTTGTTTTCATCAGTACTGCTGGGGCTACGGTAACAGACTCCGACTAGTAGGATGTCGTTCTGATTTAACTTAACCTCGCACCAAGCTGAACTTTCAAATTCAGAGTCATTTAAATCTTCACATGGTATTACTTGCAGCGATCTTAACTTACATACATAGCTACAATTTTTCTGAAGCACATTATTCATTAAAAAGACGAAATATATTGCAAATGTATGATTTAAAAAATAAAAACAAATAAAAACAAAGATGCGGCGGCCGGGAAAAACGGAAGCGGGCAGGGATGAGAATCTGCTTCATTTTTTTTTCTATGATGAGTGAGTATGACCTTAGATGTTAATGTTCGGCCTACTTGGGAGTATTTTTTTCTAGGGCGTACTCTTCATGATCACATACTGCACTGTTGGGCATTTACATGCAAGAATGATAAATTTAGTTTAAAAAGGCATTGCTAGAGAGAGTCCTAACTGTACGCCAAATTCACGGGTAGATGGTACAACAGAGCAAACAAGACATTTAATTTGTGGGCCTACTCCAAAGTGCCAAAGCAAAGTCCCTTAGTCCCTTAGGACTAGGACTCAGTTCCCCGAAAATGCACATAATGGACTGCTTCCCGCCTCCAATATTCACGCTGACAGCTAGCCCCACTATAGCCCCACTAGTGTGGCCGTCGGTATGCTGCGCTGAACCTCTGCGCAGCATACCGACGGCCACACTAGTGGGGCTAGCTGACAGCGGGCTATTTTATATTGTGGATAGACCTGGAACCAGTCTGACTATACCCCCCACTAGTGCCAGTGTCGGATCATGATGTTCACTCAGTCAAACCATCATGACCATGGAGCTATAGCTCCATGGTCAAACTCAAATTCTCAAGCATAAAATTAGTTCTGTCGACGACTACCTCTCACAGTTTCTTGGTAACTTGACAAAGTCCCCTCCCTTAATTCAGAAAGATCCAATGGCTCCATTTCTGGAAAGTTACATTTCACAAACAAACCACACGAAATAAGCAGACGACACACATCTGTTCGGTATGGTATGTGACAAAAACAAGAACCGTTCGCGTTTCGTCATTTGCATTGTCCAATCAAAACCCAGTATTTTATTTGGCATCAATAGAGGGCGCTGCAAAACTATGTCAAGCTAAGGTCACTCAAGCAATGGGGAAGTACCGAAATTTTCCAACGTTACAACACGAACTTTGTTAGAAAAATAGAACAACGGAATCGTTTCGTCACTTCTGCTGCTCACCCTTGGATTCAGAAAGGTGCAAGGAAAACCCCGTGTCGTTATCAGTATGACGGATAGAAAAGGTAGGTGAATGGTTTCGTTTTTGAGAGCGGTGTAGATGTGACGTGTGGATCGGAATACGTGCGAGAAGTATTGTGAAACTTGGTGGAATGTGTTTGTTTATTCCACGCTTTGACTTGAGCGGCTGAAACGAAACGCAAGTTAGTCGGCGGTTTGGTATGTTGCTTTGTTGGCAGACTGATTCAGAGTGTGCATGAGTCACTCAATTTGTTGACTGTTAACCTGTTATTCTAAAATTCATCATGTTCATGAAATTGTAATTTGTTTATTGTGTGTCTTTGACTTTGTGATGACCTTAATATTATTGTAGTGTATCTCAAAGTTAAATACATTTATATGTTCTTATCAATGTTATGTTCTTATCAATGTTATGGTAACTTAGTAAGTGTAGTTTAGGACCCCATTCCGTACAACAGAACGGAAAGACTGGCATGTCTAACTAGCCGTGCTAGTGCTAGTGCTACAGCAGGTAAGACTAAGACTTAGTTAGCCCCACTAGTGTGGCCGTCGGTATGCTGCGCTGAACCCAAGGCCACACACCGTGGTCTGCGCACTACTGACGACGTTTTCATAATTTCAACAGCGAATTTCTTACATATGGTTATATTCTACGATGTCCCAACTTTCACTTCTGGGATGCTTGGGTGTAATGATGTTCAATTTTCCAAGATATTCTTGAATCTTTCTGGAGCCCATATGCACTCGTGAAACGTCTGGTGATGGCAGCCATTTTGAATGTGACAAGAGATGACCTCAAGCTGTGACGTCGCGTTTATGCAAATTGCTTGTCGAGCGAGGGCGCGAGTTGCAAATGCGACGGCTGTTTCCTGTACCATGCATTTATCGTCTGGGGGCCACGTGCACTGATCTCTATTCAGGATCTACGGCACAGGAAACAGCCGTCGCATTTGCAACTCGCGCCCTCGCTCGACAAGCAATTTGCATAAACGCGACGTCACAGCTTGAGGTCATCTCTTGTCACATTCAAAATGGCTGCCATCACCAGACGTTTCACGAGTGCATATGGGCTCCAGAAAGATTCAAGAATATCTTGGAAAATTGAACATCATTACACCCAAGCATCCCAGAAGTGAAAGTTGGGACATCGTAGAATACAACCATATGTAAGAAATTCGCTGTTGAAATTATGAAAACGTCCTCAGTAGTGCGCAGACCACGGTGTGTGGCCTTGGGTTCAGCGCAGCATACCGACGGCCACACTAGTGGGGCTAAGACTTAGTAAGAGTAAGAGAGTTGCATTTTCTTCCAAAGTACTCGGATCAAAATGATAAAAACCTAGCTTTATCTTCTCAAAAGATAGCTTGAGTAACTCCAGCTCTAATGCTCATCAGTAATTTGACATTGGAGCTGGAGGTCAATCTACATTGTATCCAGCTGTTTCAGTGGGTGAAAAATGGCGGAAGCCGTCAAATTTGGCCTCCACTAAAATGGTACTTTTCCCCTATTATCCAAACCCAGATGAGATTAGACATACATTGTACAGTACCTCTAGTCTTACCTAGCCCCACTAGTGTGGCTGCGAAATGCTGCGCTGTATATCTGGTCACACGCCAGGTTCTCCCTACTACTGAGGAGTTTCTCAAAAAATGACGCAAATTTTCTTACATATGGTTGTATTCTATGATGTCTCTGCTTTTCTCCTCTGGAATGCTTAGGTGTCCTCAAATTTTCCAAATTTTTTTAAAATCTTTCTGGAGCCCATATGCACACAAAATTCGTCTGTTGATGGCAGCCATTATGAATGTAAGAAGCTATGACCCCAAAGCTGTGACGTCGCGCTTGTGCAAATCGATCTTGTCGCTCAGGCGCGCGAGTTGCGATGCGACGGCTGTTTCTTGTACGATTGATTCACCTATACAGTATGGCTGCGCGCTTGGTTGAGCTACCTCTTACCATGCGGCAGTCATTAACAGATTAACGAAGGGAATGATCGACTTGAAACAAAAATATGAAAAAATGTTATGATTTCGGTACGTTACCTCTTTTTCTTGTCGTAAAATTTTCATTACAACTTCAAACTCATTGGTATACGGTAATTATAATAAATTAGAAAATATAATATGCCAAATTGTTGTTTTCCGAATAAGAAAGTAATAATATGGAATTTTCAAATGGCCCAGGAATAATAATATAATAATAATAATAATATAATAATAATAATGAGCTTTTTATCCCTCGGAATGGGAATGGGATTCGCTCCATGCTGTATTGCATTTACACCACACAGAACATGTGTACATACATACATGTACATGCGCGGGACAAAATGTAAGCTGTGAGCTGTAAGGTGTATATTCAAGCAAGTTGTAATAGGAATATTCATGTAACCATTCAGACTGCTCCATCCAATTTTGGTAGCAGTTCCCATAGGTTGTGTAGAAAGTCAAGAACAGATTAAATTCAAGACGGTAGTTGGTATTGATCCCGGCACATTGGGGCTGAGCCCGCAAGTTAGAGCCATACAGCATGCAACACGTATACCCTGGGATGGTTTGCTGTGTCTGTCCACACCGGTGCGAAGTGGGCGAACTAAAACCAGCCAATTACCGACTTGATTTCAAGTCTAAAACCATAGCATCGTCCCACCTACAGTTGCAGCTGTTGTCAATGTGTCCATTTTGGAGTCACGTCCAAATGATGTCATTAAATCTAGCCATAACATCTATCTATGTAACTTAACAGAGCAAACCAAAACGACCAGATTGGGCGGGAGTGCAGAAAAACATGCAAAACAAAATCTGGCCAACTTTACTCGCACTTTAGCCGACAGAATTCTCAAAAATTTTCATGGGGCAAAGACAAGGTCCTCAGTTTTCCACCAGCCAAGTTTGAGGTCTCAATTCAATTTTTAAAAGATCTTTCTTGAGCAATTTGCATATGAGTGATGCAAAGTGATTTCAATTTGAAGCCTACATGTAAGACTAGACCGGTACATATTTAACTTTTTGAAAAGATAGACCATTCATTAGTCTGGTGGCATAACTGTGGAGAGAATGTGTAGAAATAGAGACTTGGTACCAGATGTTTCTTTTGACACAGTTGATTGATGCAATACTAAAGGGGTGTTGGACTGGTTGTTTCATGTGCCAGTCTGTTTTCTTGTGTTGCATGTTTTGACTATCTTAATTTTTGGGACTCTCATACACAATATTGAGAGTCCCAAATTTTCGGACTGCAAAATGGCGATTGATATGAAATAGACAAAATTTAAAAAAATCTCCTTTCAATCCTGATCAGGTTTCCCATACCGAATGCTACAGTATGGTATTTAGTATTGAAATTTGTCACTTGTTGAAAACTCTTGTGTTGGTGCGCTAGAGGTTAAAAACCATCACATTTGCACCTGATTGTATTGTTTGCACATGTACATGTATTTTGCGCAGAAGAACTTCTGCAGTTCAAAGGTACTCTTCAAACCAAGCCACCATTACCTCTCCAACCCTGTGCTCCGTTGCTCCCCAATCAAACTAGTGTGCACACAATTATCTGCATCATCTAACCCTCGCACCTATTTGATACCATGTGAAGTGTTTGAAACCTATAGATCTAAATGGACTCTGTGCTTGAACAGTGTGGCGCTTCGTGACCACTTGCGCGACCTGCACGTGGGGCAGCTCCATGTGCAGGACACAGTGTGTGCACTGGTTCACGTCAATAGTACCCACATCTACTTTCATTTTGAATGACTGAGCAACATTTGCATGGGCATCAAGTTTATGGCAGCATTTTTCTAGAGCCCCATCTTTCTCTTTGTAACCATTGATTGAGGGAGAACTTGTGCATGGAGTCCATTCCAAGGGATTCAAAATTGTACCACTTGCATATTAAGAAAAGAACCAAAAAATAAATTAAATAAAATGACAAAACTCCCAAAAATAAGGTCCAGTAAAAAAAAATAACCAGTTGAACGTCCCCACCCGCATCCTTTTTTTGAAGCCGCATTCTTTTACACAATTTTTTTTATTCCCCCCCCCCATTCCATATTTTCACTTGAAATCTTGGTATCATGCGATATTAAAGGGAATGTACCGGTACATCATTGGCTTTTGCTGTAATTTTCAGAATTGAACTATTTGAGAGGTTAGTATAATATACCAAATATTGTTTCACTGACATGTTTGAAGTTTTGTGTTCGAAAATCCTGGAAAAAGCAAAAAAAAAAAAAAATGTTCAAGCAGTCTGGTTCCCTGGCTCCACTAAAGATGAAATAGATCATTATAGATGCCGGAAAATTGTAAGGTGAGGGAACCAGTCTAGCCTGCCTGCACCCGTTCATGTACATGTAACCAATAGCAAACAAAATTTGGACTGCAAAAATGGTAAATCTGGATCAGTAGTTGAAAAATAGTTAGGTTTTTCCAACGGTGGTCGGCCGACCACTGTTGGAAACGTATACAAAAATATTATTTTCTTGAAAATGACTTCACACCAGGTGCTATAATTTTACAGGATGCTTTATACTGTCATTTACCAACATAAAGTTTTTCGTAAAAACTTGGTAGTTTTATTTTTCGATGGTTTGCAAATGTTGTATATTCCCTTTAAATCAAAGTTGTGTCACTACTGCTGAATAATTCCTTAAATAAAATGAGCCTCGGTTGTTGCACCACTACATCCTGTGTACGCGTGTAAAATAACATGCAACTAGGAACCAGACCGCAAGCCAGGGATATTTGACCCTCAACCCACGAATTAGGAACAAAATTTTTTAACATTGGTTACATGTATTCTGAATGGTCCCTTACCACTTAACATTGATAAAACTACACGTGATATGAAACATTGCCTCGGTGTACATTCATCACAATCACATCAACATGTGGTTTAGAGAGGCAAAGGTTCATGAACACTTTTACGGATATATTGGAAGTTTGCAGTGAATGTATGCTGCATGTTGCATTCTGGGACAGTTGGCGCTACAAACGGGAAAGTTGTGCAGCGCAAAATGCCCCAAAATTCAGCGTACAAAAAAAAAATTCCATCATATGAATACTTTGGTTGCGTTACACGCTTTTAAATCAGATTCAAACCAGCCAGCCACCCCGGCAAGCTCGGTTGTCGAGTGGAAAGACATCTGCATATTAGTAAGCAGGAGGTCGTGGGTTCGACTTCCACCCAAGTACGGTAGTTTGTGAATTTTTTCTCAAAATTACTTGGGACAACACTGAGCAAGTGAGCATACAGTGTTTATAAAATACGTTGGTGAAGGGAAAACCCCAATATTGAATATAAATTAATCCTTCACTGCATGTTTCCGGTCTGGTGGCTTCCATGGGGGTCTGTGTATACATGTTCATGTACATTTGACAGTGATGTTTACCTCGGGCGAGTTAGTCCTATTCCTTCTCCCAAAGACGACTTAATTACGTTAGAAGAGCATTAATATTACTGTATTCTTGTCAGTCATAAATTGATCACTTCATGTAACCCATGGAAGCATGGCCGGATTAAGTTTTCTGTAGGCCCAAGGCGCCAGTGTTCCGTAGGCCCTACTCTGCACTAGGCACTGGCACCAATTTCATGTTGATGCTAAGCTGTACTAAGCAAGCCAGTCCAAACTGGTAGCTAACAAAAACCTGTTGGCACCCTTTGGTATTTTCGTTGGCCCTCAATTTTTTCGTAGGCCCCCAAATTGTCCGTAGGCCCTAGGCACAATGCCTACAGTGCCTAGTGTCTTCACTTGCTTGAATTATGTGACCGCAGTGCATGTACCATACTGAACCTTGTCCTCTGCCCATGTTTTATTCAAATGAATTATGGTAGACATACTGTCAATAAACAATACAAAAGCGTAGTTGTACATGTATGTGAAAATGTCTTAATAATGGGTTAAACTTGCACCGTGGGGTCAGCATCTTCATTGGTATACATACACAGCTATCGTACCGGCATGCATAGCTCTGTAGTGAACGCGTACACTGTGTTCTTGCATGCACTATTCAAACTGGTATTTCATGTCCATGTTCATTTTGGTGTGCAGTACTCACGAACATGTACATGTACAGTGTGTTCATGAGTGTACAGTATGTCGTGACATTTGCCCTGGGAGTGCGTGGTATTACATGTAGAATTCATGTAAGTTATGTGTGTCTTCAGAAATGTTCTCTAGTGGTTACTTGTCAGAGGTACCGTGTATACTTGGAAATTAGAGAATGTTCTTGAGTTAGGGTGTATATTTGTGGAAACACAGGGCACTGTGTGTAGTATAGTGATACCAGTTAGCATTGCAGTCAAAAAGAATTGTGCGACAAATCGATGGCCATTGTTATTTGTACTGTGTTGTGTGCACAGTGAGTAGATACTTGAACAAGTACCGTACTTGTATATGGTGAAGTAGTGTAAAAGTGTGAGTTTGGGGAAGCATTTACGTTAGTTGACTAAAACTGTGGTACATGCAGTTCATTATTCCAAAGCTCAATATTGCATTTTATATATTATCTTTGACACATGTAGATGTAGATTTTTGGTGCTATAGCACAAATCTTGTACCGGTATGTATTCTCTCTGCGTCTGATACACAGTTGAAAGAATCTATTACATGTAAGTAGTTGTTTCACAAATTTCACTTAATGTGAAATGCGACTGAAATTTTCAAGGTACATATTTGAAACAAAAGTACATGTACATTAATTCCAATCAAAATTCAAATCAAAATGGAATCAAATCAAAATGGTTTTCAATTCTTTCACGTGACATTAACTGATTTGTGATATCAACACATTTTTCACTACAAGTTTGTTCATGCACAGTTCATCACAATGTGGTGTTGCCCTTAACATTGTTGCCACAAACTGCAGTCATCATTTCAAGCCTCATTGGCAGTCAAACTGAAATGTACTTATTTCATCGTGAAAGCTTCATCTGCAGTTATTACTTTGAATTCCTTGATTTCATTTTCTCTTAGCTCGGGTACAAGAAGACGAATGTATGCAGAGCACAGAGAGCTCAGGAGCTAGCTTGAGTTTGGATAATTTAGAGCCAGGCATATTGAGGACGGCATCAAACACGGAATCTAGCAAGCCAAGCACGAGTGCCAAAGGTGGTCTCGATATGAGTGTTTTGGGTAAGTCCCCCGACAGAGTTCTAACCGAGTCAGTCACAAGTCATCACTAGTCGATCACAAGTCAATCACAAGTCAATCACAAGTCAATCACAAGTCAATCGCAGGTCAATCGCAGGTCAATCGCAGGTCAATCGCAAGTCAATCGCAAGTCAATCGCAAGTCAATCACAAGTCAATCACAAGTCAATCCCAAGTCAATCACAAGTCAATCCCAAGTCAATCACAAGTCAATCGCAAGTCAATCGCAAGTCAATCACAAGTCAATCACAAGTCAAAATCCTCTGGCAATCACTGTTAATATGTTGAGGCAGAGCCAGTGACATCCTGGAGCAGTGTGGAGGATTTTAAGTATAACATAGGCCTATATTATGCACGCTGAGCATAAACAACACAAGATCCGGCCTAAGAGTCACCTTGACACAGTGCATCCTCCAAAATCAGACACACAGTTTTACCATATAGCCTCAATCCTGCTAAATCGTCAGTTTTGCAAAGAGGATTTTGGAGGATTTGGGAAAGTCATGGCAAAGGCATTCCCTTGTCGTTGTGCGTACATATTGTACGTTGTATATACTTGTGAATTGACTTGTACTTTGACGAAAGATTGATTTGTGATAAATTGATCACATCTCAACCCCAGTATTGTAATGCGTCACTGAGATTTGTGTCTCCAGTAGAGTTGAGTCATTCTAAGGCAACAACTCATGTGTAGTTGAGTAATTGGGTTATTAAAGGGAATGTACATAATTGGCTTTTGCTGAAATTTTCAGAAATGAACATGGGCGTCGCCAGGATTTTTTCTAGAGGGGGGCAAAAAATTTTTTTGCCAAAAAATGCTTGTATTTCTCAACACATTCTCGATTTATCAGTTTTAGAGGGGGGCAGGGACATTTTGCCCCCCCCCCCCAACTCATTAAATTTACACCACTTTGTCTTCGCGCCTCTTTTTTTTTTCTTTTCTTTTCTTTTTTTTCTTCCTTTTTTTTTTTTTTTTTTTTTTTTTTTGCTTTTCCAGGGGGGGGGCAAGTGCCCCCCCTTGCCCCCCCCTCGCGACGCCCATGGAAATGAACTATTTGAGGGGTTAGTATAATAGATCAAATATTGTTACACTGACATTTTTGAAGTTTTGTGTTCGAAAAGGTTGGAAAAACCAAGAAAAACAAACAAAGTTCAAGTAGTCTGGTTCCCTGACTCCACAAAAGATAAAATGGATCAATTTATAGATGATAGAAAATTGTAAGGCAAGGGAACCAGTCTAGCTGGCCTGCACCCGTTCATGAACATGTAACCAATAGCAAACAAAATTTGGACTGAAAAAATGCTAAATTTGGAGCAGCAGTTGAAAAATAGTTAGGTTTTTCCAACGCTGATTGGCCGACCACCGTTGGAAATGTTTACAAAAATACCATTTTCTTGAAAATGACTTCACACCAGGTGCCATAATTTTACAAGATTCTTGAGACTGTCATTTACCAACATCCTAGTAAGGTATTTCGTAAAAACTTGGTAGTTTTATTTTTCGATGTTTGCAAATGTTCCCTTTAACATGGTCAAGTCTAGTCGAGTCACATTCTTTCTTGAATCAATTTACCTAATTGACATTTTAGGCAATCGTGAGTGTCACAAACTCAGACACGGGCTAAATTTCAATATTTTTAACAAATTTCTGGTTTAGGGATGAAAATTGAATGGGGGGGGGGGGGAGGAGATAGTGACAACAACAATTGCTGACTGACCACTCCATGCTGGAAGATAGCCAGGAATTTTTCTTGCCAACTTTTTTTCCATGTCCTGCAAAATAAAATATAAAATGGTGGGAAGGGGAGGGGGGGGGGGGGGCTGGACACCGGACACCATCTGACTAATTGGGTGCTGTGCAAAGCGGATGAGTCTGCACACTACCGGACAATAGCTGGCGCTACGTGTTGCAGCAGGCAAACAGACACACAATTTTCAGGACCCAGACTTGTAACAATTTCATTAACAACAATAAGACAACCCCGCCCCCCTCCCACATGTCTGCTTGACTAATGATGAACCTTTATGACATTTACTGGCAGTCGGGTCATTTTCCTTTAATGTCTCTCGAGTCTCAAGTTGTGTTGAGTCACAGACAATTGTAACACGAGTCAGACCCGAGACATGTCATTGGCTCAAATCATTACAACTCTGGAGTTTTCCACAGTTGATATTAACCTTAATCCAGTGGACTCCTTGAAGGAACAGTACATGTAGATTGTAGATAGCACTATGTAACTATTCACAAAAGTTCTAGTATGCTGGACACACTGAGTTCGCATACTAGCTCGCGCACATATTGAGTGAAATACTTGACTTACATGTATTTCCATCCGATTATGCACACAAATGTAGAGTCTTTGTGTATGAGCCAATTGTATTGTGCTTTGTCATTGTTAAGCACGTTGCTGTGCATGGTTTCCATTTGGTACCATATAACACCGCAGGTTTTTCGTTTGTCATATCCTTTTTGGTTTGACATTGGCATATGATACATAGTGGTTAGGTGTGTATACATACATGTGTTAAGGGAAAAGTGTGGGTTTTTTTAATTAAAAAAAAAATAGAAAAAGGGCTCTGATTGTTTCAATGCACATACCAATATATGTTTTTTTTTGCAAGACCAACAAATTTCACAATAAAATGTGAACCTTGTATCCAAATGTAATTTGCAAGCATTACTACTGATTAGAATGAAAGCAAAATAATCCAAATAGTGATTTATTAATGGCTATTGTCTGTGTCAGATTTATGACTCTTTGACGTGCATGTATGATCGGTTCCTGAACTTTGAACTTCAACATGTACATGTTGACATACATGTACCGTACATCTAATGTTGTCCATTGTCTGTTGAATACCCTTAAAGGCGTATAGGTTCATCTGCAATAATTCCAAAAGTAGCCTACCAAATTGTTATCAACAATCTTATGTTGATTAACCCTAACCATCCCCAACCCTTCAAAATTAAAAAAGGTCTGCATGTTTTGTTGGAATCTGTTGGCTCGAGTACTGCACTAAACGTTTTGCATGGGGTAAGGCTAGCCCCATAAATGTGGCCAATTTACTGGACTACCTCCGTAAACATACATGTAGGTCACACTTCCACATGTACAAAAACGTGTCGAACTTTGTCAAATTTTGATTTTCACATTTAGGCTTAGTTTGTAGGGTTTTTTTGGCTTTAGAAGCATACTCACCCTCTTTATGGGCTAATCAGAAAGTGCTGCCTTTTTCAGATGTCTAATTTTTGTGACATTTCATGTTGAAATTTTGATACGCAAACGTGTGCAAATGAATCTGGAAATTTCACGAAAAATAGACATCTGAAAAAGGCAGCACTTTCTGATTAGCCTATAAAGAGGGTGAGTATGCTTCTAAAGCAAAAAAAACCTACAAACTAAGTCTAAATGTGAAAATCAAAATTTGACAAAGTTCGACACGTTTTTGTACATGTATGTGGAAGTGTGGCCTATGTTTACGGAGGTAGTCCAGTAAATTGGCCACATTTATGGGGCTAGGGTAAGGCATACCACCATAATCAGAGTCCAACAGTTTGGATGTAAAGTTTAAGTTTACCACATGGTGTTGGATTTTGCAAGAGTGTGGAAGGTTCCTAGTAAATCACTCAGGAGGGTTAGCGGTAAAGATTCTACTGACTAAAAACCCTGTGATATTGTTCCGTCTGGCTTGCTGTTAGGCCCCCCCAAAAAATACTCGGTCTCTGGTCAGCGCGCACGTCGATTTTAATCATGCGCGTCAACCTTTTCTTCTTTTTTTTCAAATTAACACGGAAGCTACAACAGTGCCCTCTATTGCCGCGCCTCCTCAAATTTTTGTACCAAAGAGCACCAAGGAATGGGGAAATTGCACCAAGGCAAATGATAAAGGGCACCAAGGCAAATTATGGAGGACACCAATGTACAATACAAGCTTGGAAAAAAAAAAGCCACCCAAAAAAACAAAACAAAAACGCGTCGCCGCATCAATTCCGGAACTTCGGTCTGACCAGAGACCGACTATTTTTTTTTTGGGCCTTATTTAGAGACAAATCAAGAAATGTACATGTAGGTGATTTCCAAAGATCAGTCAAAAATTTCCTGATCAATAGGTTGTGCACGGTTTTCACTGTTTTTTTTTTGAATAATGTAACATCCACTGAGATGAAAGTTCAGAAGGTGAGGCTTTGAACATTCTTCTTTGGATTTTTGAGTGGTGTTATCGGAAACGAACAAAATGTACTGGTATGAAACGCAAATGATCTTATGTGCCTATAAGGGACGTATATGAGTTTTCATGTGAAGCCAACACAGAGAGTGAAATTAGTGTGTTGTTTCTAAGGACTCCAGTCCAGGACTTGACTTGAATAACTTCAGCGTTAATGAATTTATTTTTAATACCAAAAAACTAACTTTTTAAACTAACATAATCCCGATGTTTATTTAAAAAAAGCAACACCGCTATAGAATGTTGAGCACACAAACCATGCTGCACCACCTTACAGGTGGTGTTGCAAATAATTATTACTATGTAAATGCTGCCTTCCCTACAGTATATTGCTTGTGACAGCGCATCACTAACATACCACTTACATGTGTGTGGGTCCATGTCCATGCACACAAGTATCCGTTTCCTACCATGTGTACTTGAAATGAAGCCCTACATGTTTACATTGGCGAAAGACTTGTGACTCGAAACTCGGACTTGAACCAAACGACTCGAGACTTGGACTTGGACTTGAACCAACTGACTTGAGACTCGGAAATTTGGACTTGAACCAAATAATTTGGCTACAACACTGGAAGTTAGGTACAAATACTGTTATCTTTGGTATCCGGATCCACTCGGTGGTCCTGTCATCCTACCGGTATGTACATAATTACTTGAACTTGAGAACTAAGATTAAAGGTACAGTCCATCAATTGTAATGTGTGCATTTTGTTCGTTTGAAGCAACAAAAATGCTCAAAATCTAAAGAAGGGTGCTTAACAAGTAACCTGATTAAGTTTCAGCTCAGCTTCAGCTGTATATTCCGAGAAAAACAGCATTATAGGATCTCGATTTCAAACCAAAAGTTGCTGAATCATGTTTTGAATTTGGGCTGAATTCAGCGTCCGAGACACGTTTTCACTGAGCCCATTGCAGCAGCTACGCGATGTCGCGCACTGATCCAACGAATTATTGCAACCGCGCGTGCGTGTGCATCGTGTCAATGCTTGCGCGCACTTTGCCAAATAAAAAAACGAACTACTGACGGAACTTTCCACTGATGCGCTTTAGACGCCTGTTGGAATGGCCTTCTTTTGTTGATTTCTTCAAAATGACAGCATGCCAGAAAGAACAATTTCACAGGGAGTTTAGTTCCCTTACTATCTTTCAACCAAGTGTGTTTTTCAACTATAATTACGTCAGTTACTTTTTGGATAGCTGCAAAAGATGGACTGTAGCTTTAAGAACTAATACACTATAAATTTAAGTCACACAAATGGTACTTGACCAAGTAACATTTGCAATAATAATGTAATGCCATGCCATGGACTGGGTTCACAAGACTTGAAGTACCCCCTCAGCAGTTACAAAAAGAGAATTGGGAGGGACAATTGTGGACGTATTACCAACTGTGTCTGATGTTCACGCGAATATGCTAATTCGGAATTGTGAATTAGTCATGTTTACATGTACCGTACTTCACACCATAGGCCTACATGTAAACCAGTACGCCCACACAGTGTGACCCTCCCCCCTGGGTCTTTTGGAAGTATGAAGTTCAACTTGAAACTTATCTCCATTGAGGAAATACAGTACACATATTTTGGTGTTTTTGTTCCCTTTGTTCTTGTTTTGTACATGTATATGCCTAGAAAATTCCGAATGAAGAAAGACTGAAATCACTTGTCGCAAATTAAAAATTGTTTGGGCTAGAAAAGGGTGGGGAGGTTGTGGTTTAAACAGACCGCTTCAAAATTTACTTGTAAGACATTGGAAGTAAAATATATGCCTAAAACAATGCAATGTACAATGTACATGATAGCCCAACTCACTTGTCAACAGTGTCAACCTGACTTTTCTAACTTGGGTATTTTCATAGTCATCTGAGACAAGGCTTTAACATGGTGTTTGAATGTTGATCTTGGTACAAGATTACATTTCACATGGATTTCCTTTTCTAAATATTTTCTTTTGATATTTGATGACCATTTCCACCATTAAAATCTAAAAAGGAGCTTTGAATTTCAATGTACAATTCCATGTGGACTTCCACCAATGTCAACGCATCTCTGTATACACTACATATACTTGGAAAGTACACTGAAAAACACTGTACACTGTACGTGATTTCTATGGAGTATTGTGAACTTTGAATCGTCGAACCAAACTGTAAATCGTTGAACAAAAGTGACTTTTTGACAAAGACGTCCAGCAGTTATAGGAATTCCCGGAAACAGTGTTTTCCCACCGGGGCTGGTACATGTATAAAAGAAATATCTATTTATATAAAATTATGTCAACAGTGTCTTTAGATTATTCCTTCAAGTTGCACATGGGCACAATGGCTGCGTTTCCGGAGTTGTTGAGAACCTTCGCATTCTGTAACCTGTGTTAATTTATGTAGCATGGACTCAGGACCTTATCTGCACCACAAAATCTAAGTGGATTAGATGTATGAAAAAAATATCAACTACATCTTTACTATTACTGGTAGTCTGTGGACTAGTCCTGTGCCCGATTTCATCAAACTCTTCGTAACTTGCGATGCATCGCAGCGCTGCGACGCGTCGTATCCCTACGACGCGTCGCAGCTGCGACGCGTCTTGCGATCCATTTCACAAAACACGTCGTAAGTGCAACGCGTCGTATGTGTATTTATAGCACAACTAGGTGACTGTTTTATGTATTTAGTCAGTGTACAGTAAATAGGCGTCTGATATTCAACAAAGAGTTGTCGGATCTCAGCTCGAAATTTGTTAAAACGTAAAACAAAGTGGCGGTCATGCGATGCAATTTTGAAGGAAAACAAGCTCTCATTGGACTGTATAGCTACTTTGAAATTTCAACTGCAATATTCCAGTCTAATTCATAATTATTCAATGAATTTTCTATTTACAACTTTACACACATTGCCTCGGTATTATAATCTCGTTTATGTAATGTTTATGGCATTAAACTGGCTAAGAAAGGGACTCTTCTTTTTTTGCGATGACCACTAGACACGTTGTAACTTGCGACGTGTTTTAAGCCGTTGTCAAGGAACTTACGAAACGTTCAACACATCGCAACTTTCTTGAAATGGATGATATGACGCGTCGCGAGTTGCGACGTGTTACACGTCGTAACTCGAGTTGTGACGCGTCGCAGCGCTTCGTGAAATCGGGTGAAGAATAGCAATTTCTATTTTGATTGGTTTTTTTTGGGGGGGGGCCTTGTTTTTTTAATTTTTTTATTTATGCCAAATACCGGTAGTCTTACCTGATGGCTATGTCCAAGAGTTAGTGGTTCAGAGAGGAAGTGAAAGAAATTGTCATGATTTGTTTACTTCCTAAATTATAATTATCACTATTATTAACTAATGAAACAAAAGGAAGAAATGTTTCTGATCTGTTCCTTTAGCTTTTCCCATGTCCTTCAAGTGACACACATTACGGCACATGCACAAATAAGGAGTAATCCTATATAAAAAGTTCCTATGCTGTCTGTCTGTCGGATGTCTGTCTCTGTCTGACTTTCTGATGTCTGTGTGTCACCTGTTTTTGTGTAAAAGGCCTAAGAAGTGCGTGGAAACACAAAATGCAAGGGTTAATGGAGAGGCTTAGTTATATTAGTTTTGGGTGGCATGGGTAGCTTGTGCGTAAAGCGCTCGCCTCTCACCAAGGTGACCACGGTTCGAATCCTGGCCGCGGATCACATGTGAGTAGAGTTGTGCGTTGGTTCTCTCCTGTGCCACAAGGGTTTTTCTCCAGGCCCTCCGGTTTTCCTCCCTCCGGAAAAATCAAACACTTTCGATCTCAGGCTGTGCTCCGTGGTCATATATGGGTCGATGTGGCCGGCAGCCATAGGCGCCTTTACGTGCCAGCGGCCCGACCACGCTGTAGCCGCGTCCTTTGCAATTCAGCATACCAGCTGCGAGTAAGGATGATTAGCCTCCCAAATTATTATTATTAATATCTCATACATGTAGCTCTCAGCTGGAATCCACTGTTTTTCCCCCAACAGATTCGTTTTTAATCGGTGACAATGACGCTCCGGCCGACCCATATTTGGAGATCGTCGAGCAGCCCAAGCAGAAAGACCTGCGGTTCCGCTACGAGTGCGAGGGACGGTCCGCGGGCAGCTTACTGGGTGTCAAAACCACCAGTGACAGGAAGACGTACCCTACTGTCAAGGTATGGAAATGGATCAATCTGTAAATTTGGGGTCCATTCTGTAAATTTGGGGTTCAAGTCAATTTCCCTCTAGTTTAATTGGTAATACTGTGGGCTCCATGCATAAACAAGACAGGGAGTCAGCTTGGCGCAGTGGTAACTTTCCTCGCCTTTCACCTCTAAAGCCCAGGTTTGATTCCTGCCCTGGGCCCAATTTGACGGTGCTGCTAAGCACACAATTTTATGATGACAGAGCCTCCGTCTATTTCATTGAGACCGTAAGCATAAGCACAGCAAAAGTCACACTTACCTCCGGGGAAAACACATGCTTAATTAGTGGCGTAACAATAGAAATCTCCATGCGCATGCAGCCGTTAGCACAATTTTCTGCTATGCTAAGAAGAACTTTTCTGCTAACTGTTCAGCAGCGCGCCATTAAAATTTGGCCCTGTTCCACATGTGGATTTGGTTTTCAGTCCCTACCTAATTCCATGGATTTTCCCCAAAAATGTTCTTCTGGGGTTATCCTCCCACCTCTAAAAGAGTAATTTCTTCTCACTGTCTTCTCCGTATAGGTTTCTCCTGGCTTGCGAGCTGACAGTGCCTAGGGCGCTTTTGAGGAATCCTCGGTTTCAGTACCAGAAATATAATGAAAACTAGAAGACAGGGTTCTTTTTTTAACCACTTTTGAGAGCCCAGTGGACGGGACACACTGCGTCCCACGACTTATATTTTGAATGTGCACAAAGCCATAGCTTCTCCTCGTGAGCGTCAAGCACTGTCCGCAATGCCTTCGAATGTCTCTCCCAGTGGTCTCCCCCAACTCTCCCTTTGCAACCGTTGAGGGAGCAGAGCACTCAATAGGAAAGGACCAAATTTCATGGAGCTGCTAAGCACATAAATCTGCTAAGCGCGAAAAAGTAAATTACAAACAGGTTACCGGAAAATTTTATATGCAGTTGATATTGCATTTTGACTGGTTCTCGCCTGATTGCTGCTTATCACCAAAATTTGCTTAGCAATTTTTTTCTGCTTAGCAGCTCCATAAAATTGCTCCCTTTACATTGGTTCATTTCTTTTCCTGATTCAGTTCCTTCCTATAGAGTACCTGATGAGTCCATTGTTTTTTCCACTTCCAGATAAAGAACTACACAGGCAAAGCCAAGATTGTTGCGTGTCTCGTGACGAGGCAAACCCCTCACCAGCTACATCCTAACGGCCTGGTGGGGAAACTGTGCAAGAATGGCATCTGCTCCATCTCGACTGATATCAACCAAAGAATGACTGCCAGGTGAGTTGAGGATTGTTGGATGGACAAATTCTTAAATAAATAATGCAAACATCCAAAAAATTGGTGCTCACAACATGGTTCGTCATTGTTACTGCCCTGCTCATCAGGCAAATGAAACATTCCAAGCTCAATGCTACCATGTAGATCCAGACGGCTGCATCAACTTCCCTAATGAATCTCTGCCGCCCTCACAGGTAACCAGTTACTCCTTGGTGGGGAGAGGCAATGAGTGACAAGTGTCTTGCCCAAGGACATAAGCACCGCAACTCCTGGCTGGACTCGAACCCACATTCTGTGGAATTACCCACAAAATCTTAAGTTAATGAACCGGACGGCAAGGCCATGGTCCTCTACAAGTAATAGTGGAACCATCGACCATGAGACCTGGGTTCAGTTCCCACCTAGGCTGTCCTGAATTGGGTTAGAGTCCTGAATGGTCCGCTAGATTATTCCCTGCAGTGTATCATTGTGGTTTAGTTGCTTGCTTTAAAATGCCCTCACACGACAGTACTTAAAGATATCATTTTCACCATGAGAGGGTCAGTATTTCCATGGAGTCCATAGGCTGGTATCAAAATATATGTTGACTATTTGGGACCAGACCACAGGACACTGTTGCATCTCTGGTTACCAATCACTGTATGCATTAAAAATCACAACAGGGAGCCAGGACCAAGACGTTTCGTAATGACGTTTTGACTATCGTTTGACTAGAGGCGTTTGCACACAGCTATTAGTGCACAGGCGCAATACCCGAAACAACCACTAGTCGACCAATGATCCTTGACCGACTTTGCTCACTGATGTAGTAGCAAGCACAACAATCAAAGCATGTGTTCTACTTTAAAATGTTGACCTAATACTGATGGCAAAATCCACTTTTTCTCTTTTCAGTTTTCCCAATCTAGGAATCCAGTGTGCTAAGAAGAAAGACATCCAGAACGCCGTACAGGGCCGACAGGAACTTGGCGTGGATCCGTTCAACCAGGCAGCGGCCAGGGCCCACTCCCAGCAACCTGACTACGAGATGAACGTAGTCCGTCTGTGCTTTCAAGCTTTCCTGCCCGACCCCCACAATCCTACACAATTCACCATAGCCTTACAGCCACAGGTTTCGGTTCCAATCTATGACAAAAGTGAGTAGAAAGACTCCACATCATTATCACAATGACATGTATTGGTATGGATTCTGTGCGTGAATGTCGACACTTTGTTAACACTTGTTAGATCTCCCTGTGCAGACACACTATGGACACTGTTTCAAGCACTTGGATGAAAATGCGCACGATTCATCTTCGTCTGAATGGCTTACGGCCACCATCCCTAACCCTGCCAGACGCAACACAGTGCATCAGGTGAAAAAATTCTGGTGCACTTTGATGCATTCATGAATGAAATGTTTGCAGAAACACCATGTGGGAATAATTTCTCAAACTAAGAGAATGGTTCTGAAAAAAAACAGAGGTGTATTCTTTTCAAACCATTCTCTTCATCATCATCGTTGGTTTTGAGGCCGTTGTCCAGTCTGTTCTGGGTTGGCCTGCTTTCTCCCCATGGCTCCCCTCCACTTGGCCCTGCCGTCGCGTCCCTCGCATTGACTCCACTCCAAGCAGTCACATGTCATCAGTCACGGAACTCTGCCACGCCTTACGTGGTCAGCCAATGGGTGACCTTTCATTCATTAGTATATCCACCATGCAAAGCCTCAAATCTTACTTGATGCATTCAGCTACCAACACCAGTGCATAAACAGCCACTTCTGAAACAATGAGAGCTAGTCCCATTGAACAGTGCCTCAGTTGTATCCTGCTGCGGTGACCACAGACTCTGAGGTATTTTGGCCTTGAGACTTTTTGCCTGATGGATCTTGCTGCACTGGGCAGGCTTGTCACATAGTCAAGTATTGCATGTAGCTGCGTTTGGCAGGGTTTCTAGCCAAAATACCCTGGGCGGTTAGGGTTAAAAAAGCCGGTCTAACTCACTCTTTGTAACCGTTAAGGGGTACCTATTTACAGAGTCCATAAAAGTGACTCTTTGTTTTCCAAATAGGGTTTCCAATAACTTATATTTGTTGCTCTTCAGCACAAAACCAGTCACTTGGACCAAATTGAAAACTGGGATTTTTGGGCTCATTTGAAATGACAGTGAATAAGATTTCCAATGATGTATAGAAGATGTAAATCAGACAGACATCTGATGCAGTTACAGATAGTTTCCGTTCCCAATTTTCGGGCCTCGGAAAGTTTTGAACACCAAGAAATTTCTCATTAAAATTTCCCAAATTTTGTTTTTCTAAAGAGTATTTTTAACCTGCTCGACTTTGAACAATATAAGATTGGTTACGGAATTTCCTTTTCTGTTTTCTGTTTTCTGTTCAGAGGGAGCGTCATTGAACATATCGAGAGTAGATCGGAATCATGGAACAGTAAGCGGTGGTGACGAGATGTTTATTCTGTGCGATAAAGTCCAAAAAGGTAAAACAACGTTTTGGGTTATTGTTTGTAAACATACAACTAATTGTCATGCTTTCTGTAATATTAAGGGAGACTAGTACATCACATAAAATATGGAAAAAAAGAAGAAGAAAATTTAGTGTTTAAATTTCAGAATCATGGTGGTAAGAAAAAAGGATTTCCTAGAATTCACAATTTGATCCCAATGAGAGGGAGTGAACAACTTTTCATTCTTTTTAAATTTCTATTTTTTCACAGCACATGATTCAGTTTTCCGCATTTCTATTTACTTGACTTACACATTTTTGAACTTTATTTTGTACCTGTTCCAACCGTTGTTCACATGCCTTGTGCATTTTCTTTTTATCTGCTGTATCTAATGCGGAGGCTGTAGTCTTCTTAACAATGTTCCTGGACAGTATTTTGTATGTGTGTACTAGATTGAAGTGTCGACATTTTCTTTTTTTATCTTTTTTTACAACAGATGATATTGAAGTTGTCTTTTTCGATGACGAAAAATGGGAAATCAATGCAAATTTTGGACCTAGCGACATTCATAGACAGGTTAGCCGTGCGACTCATTGTGTTTTGTCATTTTATTTATTGGTTTATCTATCGGATCCGTGCACAAGTACCCCCCATCAATGGCCAGAAAAGGAGAGTTGGGGGTGACCTAGATTGCTTCCCGATCCATCCACTGCGTATTTGGAATGTATCCAAAGTTATTGGAGGCTGGGATTAGTCTCGGAGACCATCGTACTTTGAATTCGAATGTATCGCGCGCCGATGACGCCTGATGCTTACGCGAAGACGCGGTGGCTATAACCTTTGCACATTCAGGAAGTTGTGCGTACTTTGCATGCGAACCAGTACAGTGCAGTACACGCACACTGTGTGTCCCATCCACAGAGCTCTCAACCTTGTTTCAATGGGTAAGATCTTGCTGCGCCATGTTGTTTCCCATCATGCCTAGCGCGATACGCACACGCGCCCATGGAGTCGAGGCTGCGGCGCTCTCAAAAGAAGTAAAAACGCGCCCTCTTTTGTTGGCGCACGGAGCCCATAGTTGGGCCTATTGTTATAGTCGAGACGTAAGACAAAGATGGTGACTTAAGCTGCTGGTCACTGTACTGCTCCATGTCACCCTGCCTATTACTCCCTGGATTTTGAAGGATGTAGGAGGGTGAGGGTACATCTGAGTTCAAAGCCAACTGAAGACGATTAGAATTTGAAGACAGCACTTGGAAGCATCTCCAGTTGTTCTGCCTTTCCAACTCAAAGGCAGTATACATGTGTTATATTTTATGTCATTGCTCCGACTGTCAAACTTGTTAGCTTATTTAATCAGCTTACCTTTGGGTTGTTCTATTATTTTGGGTCCAGTGTGTGACATTTTTCCCGTCCCAGTTACCTTGTTACTTTGTACTTTGCCATTCAAGTATCACTAAGAATTACCTCAAATGATTTTTTATTTGCTTGGTAGGTAGTTGGCTATTCATAATCATTCTTTGAGCATGACTGCATTAAGGAGTGCATCGGAATTATAAAATCACAGACGTCAGATGTAACAGGGACAGGGAAACAAGTGGACCCCAAATTTATAGAATGACCCCTTCAAATAAAGCAAAAAGTTTCTGAGATTGGATCACTTGTGAGCTTATGGTTTGGAAAAGCCCTAAAGTCTGTACAGGATACTATGCTACAAATGTCTATTGCCAGTCATTGATTTCATCACTGACACCACGAACTGACACTCGGTGGTGCTAAGTGCCCGGCACACGCGCGTACCTTACCGTACATAACTGCGTAATTTTTAGTTTTCACGAACTGACTCCTAAGTACAACATGCGCGCACTCCCTACATTTTTTGTTGCACGAACTGAAACCTGTCTTAATTTCACCAGTTGAAAGGTGTTTAATGAAACATTTCTGTAACCCCACAGGTAAAAGGATGGAGTAAATTTGTCTCAAACTTTTCAAAACGTTTCTCTCCAAATTGTTTTTCTGCCACATGCTTGCGTTTCAGTTCCTGAAAACCAAAAATGATTCTATTATGCGTCAGTGTACGAAGTGCTCGCGCACACCCCCTGTGTCAGTCCGTGAAACCGAAATGATTGATGACATAGCTTTCAGCAACTGAAAGCACACCAGCGCACACGTGTCAGTTTGTGAACACGATTTCACCCCTTCTTTTCTGACTTGTGTCTTGCTCTTGTCTTTGTCAATCGTAGGTAGCAATAGTGTGCAAAACGCCTCCTTACAAGACTAAAAACATCCAGCAACCCGTCACCGTCCAATTCAAATTGAGAAGAAAAAGTGACAGAGAAACTAGTGATCCCATGGACTTTATCTTCAAACCTATTGATTTAGGTGAGCAGTGCTAATCCTAGACTGAAGATAATGACCCTATTTCATGCTTCTGCCTCGCCGAGAAAAATATTACTTTGTAAATTTTTGCCCTAAGCGAAAAATTGGTGAGAACCAGTCATGAGTAATTCACATTGCATGGCATTTTGGCTGGTAACCAGTTTTGCTAAGCAAATAGTTTTTGTGCATAGCATTTTGTTTGTTATGCGTAGCAGCTCCATGGAATTGGGCCAATAATTCAAATCATACATTTGAGGACAGGCAATAGAAATGCTGATAAAAACTGTATGTAAAATTCCTCTCCAAAATGGAATATTATTATTTATTATTATTATGTTTATGGTAATGAAACCAAGGATTCCTCAAAAGCGCCATAGGCACTGTAAGCTCGCAAGCCTGAAGAAACCTGTAGCGAGAAGACACTGAGAAGCAATTACAGTTTTAGAGGTGGGAGGAAAAGCCCAGAAGAATACACACAGAATCGGGTAGGGACTGAAAACCCAATCCACACGTGTGGTTTTTTTTAACCGTATCAACACTTCATGTTCGCAGATGCTGATGGAGTGATAGCAAAAAGACGGAAAAAGTCACCACATTTCTCAAAATTCTTTATAGAAGATCCTTTGGTAAAACGTAAGTATACAGTTGTAAGTTGATTGAAACATTTTATGTTGGTCTGTTACATAATTGCTCCCTCCTGAGTTCAAAAAGTCAAAATTTACTGTTTTGATAAGGTCAATAGATATTGAGAGAAAGTGCTCTCGAAACCTCACCTTCCTGGAAATAGACCGATCCATTATAGCGCCCCCATGTGGAAGATGGGTACCAGCCCCTCCCCCCCCCCTTTGATTTTACGGAGGCCAAGTGTCCGGAGAAGAAAACATGTCTACATTTCTGTGCGAGTGCGGTCCCCCCCCCCCCCCCCCCCCCCCGACACCAAAAGCCGGATACGCCACTGTTTTCAATAGTGTGACAGGGCCTGTAGTCTTCTTGTCTAAGCTTAGAAGTATTAAGTTTAGAAGTATTAAGCTCAGAAGTATCGACATGGCATGCAGTGCTGTTTGTTTTCTGCAAGAATATTCAAATTAAGATGACCCACAGGTCATCATCAAGGCCCCCAAAATACCTGTTTTGACATTCTAGTCAGTTTATGATTGATGCATACTGAAAAGGTAACGACAGATATTCAATTCCATTTCCTTTTGTTTGAACAACAGAGGAACCCGGTGAAGCGAGTATGCTTCAACATCGACAGCAACAGCAGCAACAGTTTCAGCAAATAGGGTCCTCCAATGTTGCGACAGCATCCACAGACCCAGACGTGAGACAAAAATTACGCAGCAAAATTGAGCAAAATTCAAAACAACCAAATGTGAAAGGTGATTAGCAACTCTTCTCTTTTAAATGATATTCAGTTTAGCTAAGTTTCCAGACACATCTGTGCTTGTGTTTTAAGTCACGTGTTCCATGTCTCTACCACAGACCCCTTGCGTGTAGCGCCCTCACTGAAGACAAGGTATTTGTTCTTCTGTGAAATGCACGATTACAGTTGTGTTCCCCACGCTATTTGCAAGTTTCATCGCGAAAACTCGATTCCTTTTCTATTTTTCTAGCAGTTCGAAAGTTATACATTTTTGAACGAGACATCAACTGAAAAAATCGGCCTATGTTTAGTTGAATTACCGGTTTACAATTTCAAATTATAGCAATTTCAAATTATTTGCTGTCTGTCAATAATTACATGTACGTTCTCGCAGGGTAGCCTGGTTCACGCCCCACAATTAGTATCGATAGTGTACAGACTGGGAACCAGTCTGCCCACAAAACAATCATCCTCATCCTACAATATCCTCCAATTGCAACCATGTAAAATTGCAATCCTCCACAATCATCCGTTATTTCTTGAATTTGTTCAGTGGAGGGGTAACCATTGCCTCAATCCTTCAAAATCCTCCAACAATTACTGTTAATGTGTTGAGGCAGTGCCGATGATATGCAGAAGCAGTGCCAATGACATTCAGAAGCAGTGCGGATGATATGGAGCATAATGCAGTGCTCACTTATGCATGGCTGAACATAACCAATGCAGGGTACAGCCTACGGGTGAACAACTGACGACGCTTCTTTGCCGTTCAGTCTCAATCCTCCAAAACCGCTAGGAGGATTTTGGGGGATTGAGGAGGGTTAGGGTTAGAAAGAAAATAGAATTTGTTGAGGAATTTGCAGTTGGGGCACTCTGTACCAGGGGTCTGATTTTGGCTAGTTAAACCAGTACCCTCATTCTTTGAGCAGCTAAAGGAATTACCCTCAATCTTCTTGAATAGGGGAAGTGACAGTAACAGATTGTCCAACACATAGTAGTGAGGTAGTCCGGTCCAGGCTGGGCTTGATTTTCATTTTGCTGCTATGCAAAATAATAGTGCTTTGCGAATGTACGTGCCCAGCGAAAATGGGACGAGAACCACTCTCCTGCAATATACACTATTTGATTTTCAGTCAGTAAGGGCACAAGTCAGGCCTTATCTGGAACCTATTTTCCAGGTTGGGTCTCACATTGGCTTTGAGATAACTCTTTAAGATGATTGCTTTGCATGGTACTCGAACCAAGACTAGACCTCAACACTGTTTGTGAAGTGTCTGTGAAAAGTGGTTGACTACTGCCTTGTTTTTTTGGGTTAGTTTTCAACCCAGATCCGTCTCTGGATGCCAGACAGCCGACCAGGGAGTTTGCCCGTGCAGTCCGTAGAGCCCCGTCAGACAACAACCCAAGAATCGCCAAGTTCTCCCCGGACTCCTCAACGTTCAGCTACAGCGACAGATCCAACATGTCCTTTGGAACCGTGATTCAGCGCGATTCAACGGCTGCCGGCGCCGCGGCTACGACAACGGGGACACCGTTCGCCATGCCCCAACCCCAAGTCCCGATGGCCAATTGTAGCACGGCGCTGCTATTCCAGGACCTTCCCATGGAACCCAACAGCCAAATGGCGACATACCAGCTTCCGGTGCAGCCCAGTCCTGCAATGGCCGACATGGCTTCAACGTCAAACTTTGGCGAAAATGCTGCCGCACAAGTATTTCCCCCAGACTCTACTGGTACGGAAGAGACTGAGTCCTTCTTAACCAACGATGATGAAACATTGTTACAATATGTGCAGGGTGATTTTTTGCAGGAGGAAAATTTGGCAGCACTTCTTGCTGGACAAGACATACACATAGAGAACCTGGTTCCCCCTGTGAATTTAGAGGAACTTACTACTCTGGAGGATTTTGATCCACGGACGCTGTCTCTCAGAAACGATATGTCGGATGGAATGGACACTGATTTTGCTGTGGAGAACGTTAACGACTCGGTCTCCATACCGTACAGTCATAGTGTGGAGTTGGAACATGACCCCTCACTCTCTTAATCTTCATGTAAATTGTGACCAGAATGGATAGCAAGGTACGTCTGGGGATTTCAGTTTTTGCATTTAAGTTTGTCATATGTCATAGTACTTGTTGTAGTAATATACATGTTTATATGTGTACTTCTGAGTACTGCATGCCTAGATCTGATCAAAATTATGAAGTGTAGTTAGTAATATTGTAAGTTGCATTATGAATGCATAAAGTTCAACTATATCTTATTTTAGTCCATGGCATTTGGTTTAATGCCAGTGAGTAGCTCAAAATAAACATTATTTTTTATGTAAAAAGAATGTAGAATTTTTTTTTTTTTCAACCTTGCAAACTCTGAGACAGCTGAAAATAAGTTTAAGTGGTAACTAAGTTCTGCAAGAACATTGTTAGTACAGTAAGTACATGTACGATACTTGTAAATTCAAATGCATTTTGAAATGCAAAGTTCTGTTGTTTGTATTAAACATTAACTGAAGGGCCTTCTCACACAGTCTACAATCTGCGTGTTGGACTCGGTTCTAGCACAGAGAACCTCTTTCACACTACATGTACTAAGAATCCAACACGGCTTCTACGCGGGTCAAGCATTCTACCCGGGTTAAGTCCAACCCTGATCAGGGTCGAGAGGTTCAATGCAGGGAGAAAATCCTAAATCTACATTTTGTACATCCGACCCGTGTGTACACTGTTGTAGTATGAATGGTATGCCTTGCCTACCCGTGTTCGGTGTGAACCAGTGGCTGCCTTTTTGGCGACGTCAAAATTGGGATTCATTTGGGGGGTCGATGGCCCCATTGCACCCCCCCCCCACCCCTCGGATCCGGCGTTGGGGGAGTAAGTGTGAAAGGCCTTCACAGACCTGTCCTTAACAAGCAATTCTTTTTAATAATGGAAAAAAAATTCAGTCATACTGAAACGTAAGAGTTTGTAAAATGCTTTGCAGAATAGGACCTAACCAACTGCCACTTTCTTGTACTGCATGGTCGGACAACAAGTACATTTTGTCTGATTGTATTTACTAAAGCAATGCTTATCACTTTGTGGTTTTTTGTTTTGTTTTTCAGCTCCTTAAAGAAATAATAGTGGCTTTTCCTAGACAGTGTATCACGCTTTTGAAGGTGAAAGTTTTATGACAAAAGTTATATTCTCCTACTTTTCTCCAAATAATTGAAACGTGACTTGAAAGGCATAGGATCGTTTGCATTATCAAATTATTATCAAAAAGCTTATTTGGATCAAAGATCGTACTGGTTCTAAACACCCCATGAAATTATTCTATCTGGCTTGCTGTCATTTAGAAGAAATCAAGAAATGTAGGTGATTTCCAACGATCAGTCAGTCGACTGATTTTTGGAAACAAAGAGTGCTATAGACGAAATCGTGTTTCGTGATCAAAAGATTGGGCATGGTTTAACTTTTCTCAAAAAGTATATCCACTGAGCTGAAACTTCAACAGGTTAGGTGTTGAATGATCTTCTTTGGTTCGTTATTATTGGAAAGAACAAAATGCAAATGATCCTATATGCCTTTAATCAAATAAATGTAAACATATGTACAAGTCATAGTTCACTAGTATAGTTAGTAAAGCCTAGCTTCCATATCGGTGTAAGAAACGCAAACAGGACCAAAACTGTAATGCAGACATATGGAAACATTTCATCCGGAAGTGTCGCCGACAATGCAAACTACCTCGCAGATGATTCACAAACTTGAACCCGGTTCCGCGTAATGTTTGCGTAGCCTGCGTAGTCTGCGTAAGCTTAACGTTGATATGGAAGCCAGGCTTTTGCTTCTCCAGCTGATTAACAGCAAAGGGCGGCAAGTCAATACCAACTATCCCGATCATGAGCAAGGGGAAGGATTTGGTGCCAAGTCGTATCTCGGGCATAAAAAAAAAAAATACAATAATTAAAAATCAAAAAAAAAAAAAAAACACGATTGAGGCCTTTCATTGTCTCCTGTTTCTGTACACTTTGTAATTACTATTTGATTTTTTTTATTACAACCTTAGTGTGTATTATACATGACATGAATATATATGCATGTCGGCATTGCGAATGTACATTTTTGTAAATAAAACGTTATTGCTTGTTGATGATAGTAGGAAAACTGAAATTGATACTATAAAACATTGTTGTAACTGGTAGTTATGTTTTTGGCTTTTGTTTAATTGTATAATTTTTTTAATTCTTGCCTATGTGGTTTAGATATTATGCGTCAGAATCGTACTTGAAAGTATTTTTTTTTATGCACATGTAATTCCAACCAAAGTATGATGTGAAATTGAGTTAGGATATGAAATAACCCGAAAAAAGACTCAAAAATTGGTCCCTGCAATAAAGTTCATTTTGTTTTGAAAACATCACAAATTCAAATAGAAGAACAAAAGTAAACAAGCAAAAGGTTATTTGTGTGTGCTAACCATATTATTATTTTTTTGGCCAAGATCAGAAAATAAACGAAATTAAACGAAAAGGTATGAAAATTTAGGAGTATAATAGTGTAAGCAAAATTCAAATATGCATTGAAATGCTTTATTAATGTGGTTGTGAGTCCGGTGTTTTTCAGTTTGTGACACGTTCAACATGTTTATTTTTATTCTTTTAAAGGGAATATACAACATTTGCTTTTGCTGTGATTTTCAGAAATGGATGGATTTGGGGGGTTAGTATTTTATAGCAAGTATTGTTACACTGACTTGTTTGAAGTTTTGTGTTGGTAGATGCTGGAAAAACCAAGAAAACAAATCATGTTCCTGTGGTCTGGTTCCCTGACTCCACTTGAAATGAAACGGAGCAATTTATAGATGTAGGGGAATTGTAAGGTCAGGGAACCAGTTTAGCTGGCTTGTACCCGTTCATAGGTGTGTAATCGATTTTAAACAAAAATACGACTAACTAAATATGGTAAATAGGGGGCAGTATTTGAAAAAAGCCAGTTTTTGCCAACGATGGTTGGCCGACCAGCGTTGGAAATTGATACAAAATGCCACTTTTCATGAAAATGACAGCACACCTGGTGCCATTATTTTACAGGATGCTTTACACTGTCATACACTAACAATCCAGTGAGATATTTCATAATAATTTGGTAGTTTTGTTTTTTGATGTTTGCAAATGTTGTATATTCCCTTTAAAAAAGTAGGCATTGAAGGTACGTAGGCATTATATGCATCAAAATGAAAAGTATTTGTAATGGGTTCATTTCAACAAAGATTATTTTAACGCCTTGAAACATTATAACATTCCTTTTTTCTTCATTGTATCATTGTATAAAGTGTACACACCTAATAGTGTATAGAACATTCGAAAGACTTTTTGTTTCAACATGCATGTAAATATGTTTGGTTTGTGTGAAATTAACGCGAATTCATTCGTCTCATATTCAGTAACTTTTAAAGTAAGTTTCTCAACCTCGGTCAAAACAAATTTGTGATTTCTTGTCTCGTCAAACATGGTGTTATGATAAATTTTTTTTTTCTGGTAAATGGGTCAAAATCTTGAAATAAAAATCTATTCCTTTGGAACCACTATTATTTCCATGTTTCATGGAACAGTTAACGAACAAAGAAAAGGGGAAAGCCATAACAATTTCTCCAATATAGCCTGGTATTGTCTGGGCTACCATTGGAAAGTCATGGCTGCCTATGCATGCACTTCCATGGTACTCAGGGTACCATACTATTTGGGAATATCTTATTAGACACTTAGTATTGGAGTGGCTTTTGTTTGCTTGAATTTTTTTTGGGGGGGGGCCACAAAGCTTGTAGGATGATTTTACTAAAAGCTTTGTACAAAAAAAATCCACATTTGTGATACACAAATAATTTGTGATAAATAAATGAGGTAATAAACCACATGAAAGTAAATTTGAATCATCTTCGTTGTGTGAAATTTATCATTAACAATTTGTCATATATCTGTAATCATAACTTCATTTGTTCGAAAACAAAATAATTTTATCAGTCCTTTGTTGGTCCTTCCACTCCAATCCTTGTGATCTTCACCAATACTGGTGTGCCCCCTATTAATCACCCCCTCCCCCATTAATCCTCTTGGTCTTGTCCCCTATTTAATCAGTCCTTTGTTCGTGTTTTTTTTACTCCTTTGCCTTTGGTCCACACCCACATTGGTCTGTCCCCTATTTAACACCTCTTTTGTATTCCTCCTCCCAACCTTGCATGCTTGTGAGTCCCTACATGTTTGTTTTTTGTACCTCTGTCATTGTGCATGTGAAGATCTTGTTAAGATGGGAGTGTCCTTAATTTTCTAGATTCAGGTCAATCCAGTCAGAAAGCAGTTTGCAGCAGTCTTATTAAAAATGGGGGGGGGGGGGGAACAAGAAAAACAACTATCACTCTTTTGGAGGGCTGAAGTCTGAACTTATAATTTGGACCGAATGTATACAAAAATTACATATATATTTTGTCAACTCGCAGTCTTCATAACCAAAAACCTTGAATGATTACTACCAATCTCAGTGCATAGCATGGTAATAATACTTGCAGTTTCTTTGCCATTTTAATATATGAACTTTAAAGTGACAGGGCGCCCTCTTTTGACAAAAAACATCCAATTGTGTTTGACAGTCTTCAGTTGCTGTTGAAAATGACGGAATTCACTTGATACATGTTCAATGATCTTCAATAAAGCTTTTTTTTCTTTTTTTCTTCATAATACCAACAATACAATTACTTCTTCTCACGCTAAGCACTTTACATGTATTCTGGCTTATTTTGTTTACTCAAATTGGTTTGCTTAATTATGTAATTTACTCGCCTGTTATTCAAGTGTAAGAAAGAAAACAACAAAATTTCCTTGTTGAGGCCCATGTTGAGGCCAAGATGAAAAATATGATCATAGACAAACAAAAGAGACAAATGTATTGTATGGGGCTCAACAAGGAATAAAACAAAAACATTTTGCGTGCTCCTAATATTATAATACTAATACTTATAGACCCTCGAAAAGCATGACAGCATTTGCTTTAAGATAAGGAGTGTATTATTTCCTTAAGTTGGCTTATATAACGTGTTGTCCTTTTTATGTGATATACATGTTTTGTAAGTCTGACTTTAAAATACAATTTTCACTTGGTACTTTGCCTATCATCAACCCCCCCCTCAAATTTGTTCCATAGTCCCACCCAAAACTGGGTTATCGAAGCGAAACTGAAAACCGTATCGGTACGTCATGACACCAACTACACGTTGTTTATATTCGCGGGAGATGGAGCGTGGAATTTGTGCTATTCACATTTCACAACGCCTAGCCTACGTACGTGTACCGTGCAGTTAGCGTGTAACTTTACTTTCGTTCGACTTCCGTGATGTTTGGGCAATTCCGGATGGTTATTTCACTGCTTCAAGCGGAAGATCTAGGGATATATGTGAGCTGAGCGTTTGGTGCTGATGTGTCCAGTCCAGAAACGGTGAGTATTGAGGTTTGTAAAGCCAATTGGCGTTACAAAAACGAATATTGAAACGATGAAGTGAGCGTTGCAACTTGTAGTTGTAGTAGTGGTAGTCGGCCGTACGGTGATGATGAAACATGCCATGCGTCACCGGCACCCACCGTTCAGTGTGTAGGCCTACGTTTATGACCTTGATTCGATTTGGGTATCTCAGTTGTATGTTAATTTCGCTTAACCAGTTGTGGTATGGTTAGCACTAGCAGGCGTTCTGATCAATTATCAAGGAGGCCCTACTTCGATGCTGTTTGATTTTTTTTTAGGCAGTAAACTGGATGTGTGTGTAACCATGGTAACAGTAACAGGCCCTAATACATTTTTCTTTTTGAAAATTATGTTTAAAAATTAAAAAAAGATGGCTGACCACATTCAGGGATTTTTTTGTTGGTTGAGAAAAATAAGTATTTTTTTGTCTAAATATCATGTGACATGTTTGTTATTGATGTTGCAGTTATATAATATAATGGGTTTTCCTGTACTTTCCACATGTTTAAAATCCTTGAGAATTTGTGTACACAATTTAAATTCTTTTTCAATGTGATGTAATGACGATCGTGAAGTGTAGGGCCCCTGTTTTGTTTTGATCAAATTAGAGTAAAAAATGTTGTTTATTGCTCAAAAATCACCTTTACAATCAAAAGCAGACCTTTCTCAATTCTAATGACACCCGTTTTGCAATTTTGAACAGATTCTTTGGGTAGAAATCACGATTTTCCTGCGCGGTTTGTGCCTTGCGATTCAGCGCGCCTTCCGTGCTCACGGAACATTGCGCGTATGGCCATCTTCATTTTCGGGTCGCGTGTTGTCGCCGCGATGTCATCATCATTTTACCCCCAAATTCCCCTCAAAAAATCAAAACCCTGCCCTCTATCTATGATGTACCGTACTATGATACCTGTTTATTGAGAATGTCGCCAACTAGTTTGGTAGGTCCAATAATTTTAAAGTTGCATTATGATTTTGTTCCCTTATAGTAGGAACCAGGCCTTACACTACACGATCGCCGATGTAATTTCAAACTAAGTTGGTACATTATTATTAAATGTGTAAAAGTGTAAAACATACATTTATATTTGTACACATATGATGGCATTGGCAGATTAAAAATTGAATCTTCAAAAATTGAAAAAAGTAAATCTTTAGAAAAAATGTTGCAACCAGGGCCCAATTCTTGGCTCTGCCTGCCGTTACCGAAAAATCCCTGCTTACTGTAGCAGAAAATTCTGTGCTTACGGTAAGCGTGTTTCACGTGTTGGCAAGGAATTTTTGCTTCTGCGCATGCCAAGAAATTAGGCCCTGATGCCACTTCAGTGGTTGTGTACGAAGTCTATCAAGAGTCAAGAAAATTTTTGAAGTATTTCCTTACAAAATTTCTTAATCTTCATTGATGCAATGACTGACCTTCATTGAGTTGATATGAAGAAAAAAGTGGCGTCAGGTAGCAACATTTTTTTCCAAAACTACTGTGGAATGCATGTATGTGGAGCACTGTGGTCCAGTGGTTACGGTGTTTGACTTTTATTATCTACATCTACAGATGGTAGAAGTACTGTAGGATCATTTGCATTTTGTTCGTTTCCAATAATAACACCACTCAAAATCCAAAGATGAATGTTAAGAGCCTAACCTGTTGAGGTGTCAGCTCAGTGGATATTATTATACTTGAGGTAACAGTGAAGAACCATATACAACGTTTTCATCATGAAACATGATTTTGTCAACAGAACTCTTTATTCCCAAATCAGTCAATTGACTGATCGTTGGAAATCACCTACATTGTACATTTCTTGATTTCTTTAAAATGACAGCAAGCCAGATGGCATAATTTCACGGGGTGTTTACTTTAGTACATGTTGTACCAGTATGATTTGATCTTTATTCCAAGTGTGCTTTTGGATAAGAATTTGGTAGTTTTTTGGGGGGATAATACAGTTGATCCTGTACTAAGCTCTGAGACTTTCAAAATGTTTCCCTTGTTGTGATGGCCGAAAACTGGTGAAAAGTACATCTTGAAAAGTACAACTTATTAATAATCCATGCCATTTATAACTGTACACACACATTGTGCAAGCCACAAGGGGGATATAATTACACAGCACATTGTAATGATTGTATCATCAATTGATTATGATGCAGTGATCAAGGTTCATGATTGTTCATTTAGAATACAGGCGACCAGGTTACAATTTGTAATTGATTATTGAAGCATGTGCCAACGCATATGTATGCATTGTAGTTTGCTTTGTTCAAATCAAATGCATGAACTGTACATGTATGTATTAAGTCTGTGTGAAGGTCATTATGTGTAAAGTGTGAATTTGTCCTTCACGGATTAGGCACACTGTAGTTCATACTGTATTATGTGTGAAGTACATATAGATCAAATATTGATCATGTCTAGAAAATAGACGTTGAAAGTTTGTACCCCCTTTTGAGGCATACAGTGTGTGGGATCATTTGCTTTTCATGCATTTTTCATTTCCAATAACAGTACATACATTTGTACAAATATACCAATCAAAATCCAAATAAGAATGTTCAAAACCTAAACTGTTGAAGTTTCAGCTCAGTGGATATTACACTTTTGGAGAAAACAGTGACAAACCATGCACAACCTTCTGATGATGAAACACAATTTCGTCCATAGCACTATGTATTTCCAAAAATCAGTCAATTGACTGATCGTTGGAAATCGCCTAACATTTCTTGATTTCCTCTAAATGGCAGCAAGCCAGATGAAACAATTTTACCAGGTGTTTGGTACCAGTACGATCTTTAATTGAATTAAAGCACGGACCATTTACAAAGCTTTTTAATAATTTGGTAGGTTACTTTTGGGGTAAATGCAAATGATCCTGTATGCCTTTCAAGAAATGTACTCTTTTGAATTCGTCCTCAGCAATGTGTTTATATAGTGTGCCAAATATTTGTCACTTGTGTCAGCCGAAGGCATTTGTGGAATGGTGGGATGGAGGTGACCAATTCACAGATGTTGTGCCTGTCAGAACTAGTAATTTGAAGCATCCTGAGATTGTACATGTACCAAATCATAAGACGTACTGAAATTTTATCGAATCTTTAAAAGAAAAGGAACTTAAAAAAAATCTCATGGGAATTTAATTTAGGTTAAAGTTTCTTCAGGGACTTGTAGCTTTTTTTGATCCTGTGCTTGACGTAATCCAAATGGGTGAACAAAAAATCTTTAACTTCCCGTCCCTCCCACGCACATCCTTCCTCGAATGACAGATTCCTCCCCAAAATAGCACCGGCCCAACTTGGGAGTTTTAATTCCACTTTTCTTTCCACCTCCCCGTTTCACAGGAAGCTTGAAATCAGAGGGTTGACGTTAACCTATAAAGCGGTTCAACCAGTACCCACCCTGGCATTCAGTCGCTGGAAATCGGTGTTCGAAGCTGATGGTTGCTCTGTGAGAGTTTCTGCTTGAACTCGTGAGATTTATAAAGAAAAGGGAACAAGTCTACGATCTACTGGATTATTGTAGCTGTGTTACTTTTTTTGGAAAACTAGAAATTACTAGTTGAATTTGGAGAAGCCATGGATCCGCACATGTACAAGCTGCCTGATGGCAAGTATGCCGACGGATCGTGGGAGCTGAACATTTACGTGACAAATCTGGAGCTTGAGAAACAGATTCGTGTCACGGGGGATCTACACATCGGCGGCGTCATGCTCAAACTTGTGGAGTCCCTTGGTAAGATTTGTCAAATGTTATTTTTGTGTGTAAATTTGATTTCAGACTTTGAATGGTGGAATGACATTATCCATTTTGCATTGCTGAAAATGCCATGTACCAGGGGACTAGGCATACTGCTTAACACATTGAGAAGACCATAATGTCCCGTGTTTGAACTGATTTGTTTCTTTGGTGATTCCTGCTGGCACCAAAGGGCCAGCGGGTAGCAGAGTCCTCTTTGTGCATACATGTACCTTTGTCACTGACTGACTGGCTGACCAATTGACTGACTGACTCCCCGTCACTTGTGACTTAGCCTGGTTGTAGACTGGTGAAGAGTGCCGGGCAGTGCTGTTGTATAGGATTACCTATAATGCCAATGAGATGGATAAAATTAGCCTGTTTGTGTATACCAGATGCATGAAAAATGAACAGCCATTCTGAATTTAAGTGAATAGAATTTTGTGTGCTCTGGGACCAGCTTTAGTAGGCTGGTTTAGTTTTTTTTCTTGTTTGCTTTCAACAAAAACTTACCTGTACAAACTATATTAGTTATTTTTAAAACAACATCAAAAGCGTTCTTAAAGTATGCAAACAGTTTCTCATACAGACACGTATACATGTTTAATGTACCGGTATGTATACATGAACAAGTACCTGACTTATGGTACAGTTTGTAGGATTAACCGATTATGCATTGAAACATGTAGCTGGAATAACAATACATGCACGTATGTTTGCCATTCTTTAGAGGATCCATGATACATAATACTTCCTTTCATGCAGAAAGTCAACAACTACAGGAAAGAATACGTGTACGTGTAGTGTACCTAAAGCCTTTGAACTTATGGAGTCTAATGAGTATATTTACATCATGTACAGGTACCGGTATTAGTGGTTTCTTTGTTTACATGAAGTTGAGCTACATGTAATTGAATACATACTCTGTATAACATTGTGAGCTGCATTATGTGTCTCGCCTGCCCATTTTGAAATCAACATACATGTAGGTCCCACCGTGAGCTGAACCAAGTCCCATAAAACACACGGGTAGGCAAAGCATTTCTACCTGGGAAGAGCCTCTCAACCCTGATCCTGACCAGGGCTGGATTTTACACATGTAGAGGGCCAGAAACGTGTAGAAATTAGCTGTTTGATTCTTGCTACATGTACATGTAGTGCGATAAGGGTTCCTGAAATCTCGAGGTTTGATACGGCACGTGTACAACACAGAGATTTTTAGAAAGAACCTCAAGATATACATGTCTGCATTGCAATACATGTCTACAGCAAGATGACAACATTACATGTATCATGGAGCTACATTGTACATTGTATCTGTTTCATGGTCAATATGGTAGACTGGGGTATTGACACAGTATAGCCCACATAGAGTGACCTTGTATGAATTGAATAATAAACCAGTCAATCCTCTTTGCATACCTTTAGGGTTCCCCTTTTATGATTTATCCCACACACTAGTAGGGTACTGGCACTGACCTGTACCTGGTACTTGTTGCAGTTTTATACCCTACCAGTACATGTATATGTACATGTACATACACATTTTTGTACATCACCGAATCTTGCATGCATGGTCTGGTACAAACACTAGTACATGTATTTGTGTACACTTTACATGACTTTGCTTTGTAAAACCTTTACACCAGTGATGCATGGATTCATGTGCAATTGTAGTTGTACAGTTTTATTTGATACGGTGAAACTAAAAACTTCAAAGTTTCAAGTTCCAATGCATGATTTCCCCTTATGATTACTGAATACAAACATACATTTCTGAGGTTGCCTTTTAAGTTTTAGGTTTTACAACTACCAGTAGTTTAGTAGCGTGCAGTAAAATCTTCATGTGCACATTGCACCAGCATGTAATGTGGACTTTGGTATTACGGTACATATTATTGTACAACATGCACTTGTAATGATCGTGAGTTGTTTACAGGTTGCTGAGTACTCCAGAAGTCAAGAATTAGTCCCCTTGTCCCCTCTACTTTGACAAACAAGAAAGTTACAGTTATCAACAACAAAACCTTTGGCTAGTCAAGCACAACCCCCAAAATAGAAATAGGCCCTCACATACCGGTACCTAGACCTCTTGTACTGTGTACAATAACTAATTTACCTGGAAAAGACATCGTTTTTTGTCTTCATTGACCCCAAATTGCATTGCGGGGGAGTGAGTGCTTTGCATTGCCAGTTTGGCTTCAGCGACTCCAACTTTTTTTGGAATCAATACAGGGTCCAAACTACCGTAGTCCCAATATATTGCACGATAGTTCAGTTGGTTTGCATAATTTCAAATATTTTCTGCGTTAACCAAATTTCTTCAAAATAGCATCGCCACAAAAAACGCCCCAGGAATCACAAGTCTCATGCACTGTATTGCCCTGCATGTGATTTTTACAAACTTTGCAAAATCTGTTTCTTCCAACAATTGCACAATTTTCAAAATCACTTTGAAAACACTCCATCTTTAGCTTAGTGTTGGGCGCTGTCTGGAATCAATTGTCCTCTCTTTACAAACTAGAATCGAGGGAAACAATCAGTGAATTGATTCCTCAAAAAGACGGCATCACGATTCCCCTCCCGACTTCGGAATTGAGTCTGTTAATTCCTGTGCATACGGTACATGTATGTACTGTACATGCACATGTGCATTTTATTTCCAGTAATTTAGGTAATTGGATTGAACCCAACCTTTAATTCGATATGACAGCATATTAGTACACACAGACATGACAGACGTCTACAATTTTTGTGTATACATGTGTATGCACAGTGCATACATACATGTGTACATGTGTACATGTGTTTACTTTTCAAAGTTACGAACCTGGTGTACAAATGCACATAATGATATAAATTTATATAGGTGGGGGGGGGTACCCTTTACATTTTAAGAGAAACTCATGAATGCTTTTTGTGTATACATGCATGTACTTGTACATGGTGTTGGTAACATTGTCTAAAATACCAGCAGTCTTGTCAATTCTGAAGGGATTTTTCCAAGTCAAGGTCATACACTTTGCATTGAAACCAGATTATCTGGAGCCTGGCAAATTTTCAGGTAAATGTACTACATGTACATGTACATGTACATGTACACACTGCATGTACTGGTAAACCCATGGACCTTGGGCCATGGTGCCTGTGTTTTTTTTTTTCTGTCACAGTTTTTTATTTAGACCATGCATATATTTTGAGATAGGCGTGTACCCTGCAAGTTGGTACATTCCCATATAAACAATGTACATGTACATGAACACAGCCGTTTTGTTCCTTCGCTGGAACTTATTTTGAAGCACATTTCACCATGTACATGTTCAACAATAGATGCTTGTAGTACATGTATTAAACATGGAGACCTCCATGCTTGTAAGAACATGTAAGATTTGTGCAAACGGTTTCCCAAGTACAGTATTGCACTCTATGTACCGTATCTTAAGTTTACTTAGATGGGCATTTCCACGGTTACTCACGTTACATTTTCGTAACGTGAGTAACCAATTTTGTGCGTCTTGTTTATCATACATAACACATTTTTCTGGATGTCATCTTTGGTGCTTAGGTAGGTCTACATGTAGGTCTACTCTATCTACCATGGGGATAACAGTTATTAAACCTTTTCAGTAAGGTAATTACAGCCCAAGGAAACTCAAAAGTACATCAAAAATGTAACGTGAGTAACCGTGGAATTGCCCAGATGCATTTGTGGGTTTTTACTTTGTAAATGTGAAGGTTTGCGGTTTTTAAAGATGGTATGTCAATTTGCTAAGTTACAAATAGGCCTATAACAATTGCTTTAGTACTAGTACATGTACCACCTGATATTCTTCAGTGGGAAACATATATACCCCAAAACATTTTTAGCCAAATTCAGCAAGCATGTACAGCTTACAATCGACATTTTACATATTTATATTTGGTTGTGAAATAGTTCAATATTATTTTTTTTTTATTGTATCCACTTTTATGATTTTGATAATGTAACATGAAACTGAAATCTCTACCCTGTTTTAATAGTCAAAATATATTTCTGACTATATCTGGATATATTTAATATTTTTTTTTTTACCTTGGTGTGTGGTTCCTTTCGTCATACCGGCATCTATGTCCTTCAAGAACAAAGCCATTACTCCAAAAACATGGAAGTGGTAACTGGGAAGTTGACTTTGTATTATCTATTACCATGTTGACATGACATTCTCTTCCCACTCACATAACTTTGTAAACAAATTCCACTACACCCCCACATAACAAAACAACAAACCAAACCAAATCAACCGGAAGAAGTTCCTGTTATTGTGCATTCTTGAATTATAAAAAAAAAAGTCGAATTTAAATTTAGCATTCAGTATTACTGTCTCCAGGTTTTGACAATGGATGTTGTTTTGCCCACCACGGAAGGTAGTGGAAAATAATGCTCCACTTTTTGTTATTATATGTGGTCATTTAGGAGACCATAAGAAGCTTGTTATTGCTTCATCTGAATCATAAGATGAAAACTGATTGTTTCCAACATCTTTTTGGTTTGGGGATGAAACAGCAACCATGTGAATAAACTTGGTGCACGTTGTGTAACGATTGCAGTGGATAGATGTGCTTGTGCTCATTTAAGAATGTTGGCCCAAAAGTAGTCTGAGACTACAAAAAAATGTTTAAAGGGAAGATACAACATTTGCACACATCAAAAAACGAAATGATCAAATTATCATGAAATATCTTAGTGGATTGTTAGGGAATGACAGTCAAAAGCATCCTGTAAAATCGTGGCTTCTGGTGTGCTGATATTTTTAAGAAAATTTGTATTTTTCCCATGATGGTTCCTAAGTTTTCATATTTTTTTGCATTATTGCATTTTCTTTGCAATTGATTACACACCTGTAAAAGGGTACAAGCCTGCTAGACTGATTCTTTGACCATACAATTCCCCAAAGTCTATAAATTGTTCCGGTTCATCTTAAGTGGGGTCAGGGAACCAGACTACAAGAATATGGTTG